ATATATATATATATATATATATATATATATATATATATATATATATGAGAGTGTTTATGGACGAATAAAAGACGAGAACGTGATCTACTCCATTGTCAAAGGATTATTTGTATATTAGTTACCTCTTTCTTTATAAAAATCATATGAAAAATACAAGATCAAAATAAATAAACATATATAAATACACACACAAATAAATATATGTGAATGTATATATATATATATACATATATATAGATTATAATATAAATATATATTACAGAGCTGATATCCCTCCGTCTTTTAGTTCAGCAGCATTTACAACGTTAATAAATTAAAGGAAAATTCTATAGCGTGAATACATTTATAAATATTGTTATATCATTGCTATAGAATGAAAATGATTGGGAATAGAAGGCAAAATTTATGCTTATATACCAAATGAAATCGATGCTATATCTCTCATACAGTTTCCGTTTACTCTCTAGTGATTAAAAGTGGCATTAAAAGGGACTTTTAACCACAAAAGAAATACTAAAACTATTTAATACAGCTAACTATATGTTTTCTTCAACTTATTATAAACGAAAATTCTACCTGCAGGTCGTCTCCCAAGCGTTCTGTACAGCATCCGTTTTATGAAATACGAGTAACGCTGTGGCAGATCGTTTCCCAACAAATGCTCCCAATTTTCCGTCTTCCATATGATCGTCAAGCGTTCCCTAGATTAGATATAAAAGGATTTTAAAAAAAATTTAGTATTATACTAATTAGTAATATGTTAGTCTTCTAATGTTTCATCTAGCGCCCCTTGACATTATGCTCAATTATTCCAAATGCAATTCGTTAATTAAATTTTTTTTCCTGATTTTTTTTTTACTTTTTCTTAATAATGTTTTATTTTTATGTATATTATTAATCTTTTACTATTTTTTTTTAAAAAAAAAATGCTTTAAGGAAATAACTTGGAAAAAAAATAATAATAAAAAAGCTAATTACACAATATGAAATAATTGTTAAAGCAAAATTATCATAAAAGGCGCGAAAAAATAGTGAGTAGGTAATAAGCATATTGATGTTATTTAAATAAAATGTAAAATATATATACAGTATATATATATATATATATATGCTGTATGGATATTTATATATATTATACATAATATTCCCAAAATCTAAGGACAACATTGTATATACCATGATAAGGATGGAAATTTTCTTAATCTTTAAAAAGCCTATCAGAAAAAAAATTAAAAAAAAATACATGGGGAAAGAGATCCAATTAATGCATAAAGATAGCTTTTTACAATGACTGATGCTCTAGTATAATATATGATACTTCAAAGTCTAATACATGCAAAAAGATAAATATATATATATATACTATACACTATATACGCATACTGCGTTGAAAGCAAGTGAATAAATGGGAAAATATATTCAGTATATCCATATACTGAATATATGTATGTATATATAAAGATATGGAAACCCACTGAGCTATTTTACTACGTTCAGCCTCTTCAACAGCTTGTTAACCACTTGCTATGCATGTGATTTAATGTGCCGTCTTGGAGTCAAGTTTGCTTCTTTACTATTTATTATAATTATTAATAGAACATAGAAAAACAACTCAAAAAGGCCTCCTTCTCTAAAACTAATTGAACGCCTTATTCTTTCTCTCACAGCTAATTTTTGGGTTGTGTCATCATCTGACAATCTCCCATCCACTTTCCTCCGATCAAATGGTGTTTCGGTTGTCTTTGAGCAACAAAGGCAGAAATTGTTGAAAATAGACCTTTCGACCTTCAGTTTTTTTATTGTCCCATATATAGTTTCCATAGTAACGCCGTCTAGGTGACGGCCAATTATAAAGAGTATGTACACTTACTTTAGACGGATTCTGATATTCTAACGACGATTGGGATAAGTGAACGCTCGATGCGCAGCCCATAATTTGGCTAGGGCCGCATGTTGAGTATATTTAGTGTTTATATCCGAAATGTTTCTGAAACAATTGATTTCCAAATGAGAAATTTGTTATGAAAATATTTGAAAAAAGTGCATCAACAGAATCAACACAAAAATGTTAGTCATTAACCAATTTAGCCTATATATCTCTACGCATGACGACACCTAGCTACGAGATAGTATTATCTGAAAAATTGTACTTTGATCTTTCCGCGCTTTTTATCAACTAGGCTTTTTAAAGGGAGAAAAAAGTAGAAATGAAATAATTAACATATTGAATAGCCACTTAGAAGAAAACTTTTCTTATTCATAAAAGAGTAGAAAGTTAACATAGAAATCACTTATATATGAAATATGTATACAGTACTGTTTGTACACTGATGAATGAATGTTGAAAAAGGAAAGAAAGAAGAAAAGAAGGAAAGTAAAAAGAAAGTGAGAGAGAGAGAGAGAGAGAGAGAAAGAGTCTGATAGTTTGTAAGAAAATCCTTTTATATAAAGACAGTTATAATTAATATATTATCTTATATATAAAAAAAAATATTATGAAAACAACGACTGGATAAGCATTATGTAATAAATTATAATTATGAAATATATTCAAATTTGAATTACTACAATAGATAACGACTTACACACATATATATATATATATTAATGTATATAAAATAAGAATATTACAATAATAAACAGTAAAATAATTACTTTTTTATCGTTTTTAAGGCGTGGGAAATTCTCTTTTTCGTATATTCCATTTATTTTCGAATTTGATATCTTACTATATTGTTCTTTTTTTTTTTCATCTATGAATCTCAATAGACAGTATTGAAATATTTAAGTATAGTACAAAGATCAATAAGTGTAATGTATTCGTTACGAATTGGTCTAATTTTTTTTTAAATAAAACATAAATATATACGAAATATAACATATATAAATAAATCTATTTATAGATACTGGTAAATACTATATATTAGTATAACACTATAAAATATACTATATATGTTAAAAAACACTATTTTAAATGTCTTAAGAAGAAGTCTACACAATAATACGAAATTCAACTAAATAAATCTTTGCATTTTACGATAAATCATAAAAAAAGGGAAAAGTAGAAAGAAAATTACAACAAAAGCATTCTGTTCTTCATCAATTACTTTTCGACTTTTGTTTAACCTTTGTTTTGTATAAGAAGGTGGAAAAATAAGGAAAAATTAGCTTGCATTTGGGATATATTTCTTTTATAAACATAATCCATTTTCAAGACAACATACGTATATGAGAATTAATCAAAGTCTTTTTATTTCTATCTATGATACGAGTATTCTTTTACTGAATAATATAGTATATACATATTAATTTGACACTCTATTATGGCATAAGTTTAGACAATTTGTGTTTATTAAAATATAATTTATTTAAAAGTACTCAATTTCAATATGTTTATTTATGAAATCTCGTATACAATCAACACATTTGAAGGGGATGCGTCAAATGTTAAGCATACCAGATTTCTGCCACATTATAGATATTCCGGAAAAAAATCTGGAAAATATCTTGCCTTTGAAAAAAGAGCTCTTACATAAACAATTTAACTATATATTGAATGGATTTTTGATACTTTACCTATTGCTATTATAAATATATACATTATATGTATATACAAACATATTTCTTTACAAGAGAGAAAAAAACGTAGAGAAAGGATGATAGAGCGAGAGAGAGAGAGAGAGGGAGGGAGGAGGGGAGGGAGTGGAGAGAGAGAGAGAGAGAAAGAAAGGAAACAAGTTGCAAAGTTTATTACAACAAGGTCCCTGAATCGGCTTAGACGCTCTATAGCCATGGTTTTTTTTTACCATTTTGTTCAGTTTTCTCATTTTTTTTTATCATACAATTGTGTCGTTTCAATTACATCATAGTAACAAAGAGTTTAAGAAATTTTAGAAAGTGCTAATAATTCAATACATAAATCTCTCTTAAGTGCTATTATTTTTCGATTACCGAAACTAAAAAATTTGAAAGAATACTCTATTTAATGATATAAAAAATACAAAAGAATGTAACCTGATGTAAGTTAATACCTAAATAACATGTTAAAGAAGCTAAAAAGCATGAATTTTTATCTAGTAGTAGACTATTTAAATAATGCATACCTTTTTTTTAATTGGAATAATTAAAGACCCAGAAAATTCTTTAGTACAAATCTTTCACACCAAGGTTCATTTTGATTAGCTAATTTATATGTTAAATATTTAAAATTATTCTATATTAAATTCATTATTACAGATTCCTATTTTTTTTATACAACAACAGAAAAGGTTACGTGCCTCGTGTATAATGTCAAATGGTTTAGAATGTTGAAATTATTCCTCGCTTGTTTACTAACGTACAAGTAGGAACGAGAGAGGAGAAAGAGAGCGAGATATATATATATATACTGTATATACTGTATAGAAGAGAGAAACAGAGAGAGAGAGAGAGAGAGAGACAGAGAGAAGCAGACTTAGAGAGAGAGAGAGAGAGAGAGAAGGAAGAGAAGTACGGTACGTAGGAAAAAAAGAAAAGAGAAAAATTAAAGCAAAACGCTATTGGCTACCAAGATATCTTTGACAAATATGCTTATTTTTCTCAATAAATATCACTCGATGTGACCATAAGCTTGTATAATAATATAGAAAAATATTTAAATGAAAAAATCAATTGTTAGTTCAATTTGTTTGAGAAAATAAGTAAATTCAACAAAAATAAATCAACAGTATTTTACTAAAAGCTAAATTATTTTACAAAAAAAAACTTACAGTTAAGGCTGGAACGTGCAGCGATTTGCAAACTCACATTAGCCTCGTTTAAGATTTAAACGAAAGGGGGCACTATTAAAACGATCTGACAGCCATCTAGAGTGAATATTTGATTTCAGAGTAAAAAGAACAATTTATTTTTCAAAAGTATTATTCAAATGAAAAATCTGTTCAAAAGATAAATCAAGTGTTTTGAAGCTTTGTTATACAGACTTTATGGAAAACGTGAAATAAGATAATTCAAGAGTTCTTTTAGTCAGAGTCACTTATAACTATTAGCACGTTTGATGAGTCAGTTTGTTTTTGTGTTTCTCTCTTAACTGGTTGCAGTATTTGCTTTGCTACTTCAGGTGGAATTTGATAATTATTCACTTCACTACTAGCTTTTACATGAAGAATAAGAATATCGTCATCTTCGTCAGCTTCTAAACTATTGACATTTTTTGGCGATGAGGAAGGCAGCGGTGATGGTGCTTTTACTACTGCTCGTTTTCTAACAGCTGTTGATTTGCGAGCTGTAGAGCGTAGTGGTTCCGTTCTTTTTGGCGATGTTTCGTCCTTTTCTTTTAAATTATTTAAACTATCTTCACATGCTCCAATACGTGAAATTACAATTTCATCTTCAGTATCATCTACTAATAAACACCTGGGAGTAATTCAATGGTGATGACTAACTAATGAACTAACCACTTTCCTCTGATATTTCAAACAGAGGGACCGAACCCTCTGTTGATGAGGGAAAATCTTCGAGTAGCTCTTGAGAAACTGTAATTAAGTATCAATTCAATATATTTGATAATATAAAGGAAATTGAAAAAGAAGAACCGTCAAGAATAGTCTCATCATCGCAACTTTCAGAATCACTTCCGTCTTCTTCAGTCGACGATTCTTCTTGATCATCTTGCTTTTCTTCTTGTAATCTTGTATATTTATTCATTATCTGTCTAGCAATTTTCATTTAAATGCATTTGTTATATAATGAGAATACTAACATCATCAATATTTTTAATATTAATTTTTCTATTTTCATCAAGTTTTTTTCGTAGCCCGTAATTCATTTCTGCAGGATCCGTTTCGTCTCTTATAAATTAAGTAAAAAGCAAATTCTGCTGTTTATGATATAACATCATATATATAAAAAACAAAAAATCTAGAAACCTTATGCTGTCGGTCAAGTGGCAACCGAAATTCTGGCGATCATCATCTTGTCTTCGTTTTTGCAAAGCATTTCCCACTTCAGTGAAAATTTCCCTTGCTAAACCTTCAATACGTTTATTACTGAAAACGATCTTATATCATTAACCGTCATGAACATTAATGACAAATTTTTACCTGAGATTATAATTATATTTGACATTACACCTTTGAATCAAAGTAAGAACATCACAAAAATCTGGAAAATGTCTTCCCTGATTAATTAACTTTGATACTTTTTTGTTGAGCTCAGTATATTGCGTGGCGGAAAAATTAACTTTCTTTTCCATTTTCCGCCCAAGGGTTAAATCGCGCTCTTCTAATTCGCAAATTTTAGCATAAACAGCCACGAGCTTGCGTTTTAACCTATGGACATACGTGTGAGCGTTTTCACTTTCCATTTCGTCTAGAGAAATTTCTCGTTCATCTTCTTCCTTTATCCTGTAAGAAGGAAAACAGGTGAGAATGAAAGATGGAGAGGGATAGAAAAAAAATGAAAGAAGGGACGATAGAAATGGAAAAACATAAGGTTAAAAAAAAAGCAGCGAACAAGTGATAAGGAAAGGTCAGAATAGATAAATTTTTGGAATATATACAATTAATTAAAAATAGCAACAACTGACAAAGGAGAAACCATAGTTAGAAAATGAAAAAATCATTGTTGCGTTTAAATTGATTTGACTTGTAATTGATTGTTAATTAAAATATATAATATAGTGTGTTATTGAATATGTATATACATTATATATATTAACACACTATATTAATATCAGGTCACATAGAAGTTTGCGAACTATCTATTTCATTTAAACGGACACCCAACTAAACTTTAATGTTTATCGAACTCACCGTTTATGTAAAGATTGTAATAGTTTTTCAAGTTTTTGCAGTCTTTTAGTTCGCACATCTTCCGACATAGTTTCACTTTTTTTCTTTTTTTTCTCGTCTGTCACAATTGGTGTATCGCTTTTTCTCTTTTTTGTTCCTGAATAAGCTTTAAGCTCATCTATAAGCTCATTAATTATTTGATATTTATCTGTTGGCTGATTTCCAAGTCTTTCCATCATTGATAATAGGAAATCGTAAAATCCTTTGGAGTTTAAAAACTTATTGTTTATCTTTTGGAATGGGGCTACAATTTTTCTAGTTATGTCTCCGTCATCTCCCGTCAAATCTTTAACAATATCTAAAATCTGTGTAGTTAGGAATTACTAGAAATATTCTTTGAAAAAAAGGGAAGGGAGGGATAATAAATTGAAAACTTTTTCTCCACCTTGTCCATGATTTTCTGGGAGTCGATTTCATCATTTACTTCTGAAACCGACATTTCTATTAGATTTAACTTTCATGCACAGTCTGAAATATTAGCATAGAAAGCGTAACGGGATTAATTAAACATAAGACGTCTATTTCTTTTTCAAAGATTTGCCGTTTTCACACCGGAAGTGGAAACTCTTAACCATGCTATCATGCTGGAAATACTACGAGCAGGTAGCTCTATATCATGTTGATATAGTACAAATCCATTTAGTTGTATTTACAAATAATATTAATTCAGTTTTATAAATTATAATTTTTAAAATAATTATAAATTATTAGGAAGATTTTAGAGCTTAAATTTACATTTATACGAAAACAACCGGACGCCATTTTACATTGAAATGAAAGTTTGACTAACGGCCTACTACATAGGTGAAATCAACCTATCAGTACAACAAGCATATCTTTGTAAGGTGTTTTTACTATTTTGGATTAAGACATGAATTTCGGTGTTCACTTATGGGTATGTATCTTGTAGTTGCCGCTAAGATATAATTAGTTTGCCATCTGCACCTGACCCACTCCCATTTTTCTCTTATCCTTTTTAAATTACATAACCTGTACAGTCATATTTAATCATACATTTTTCATAAAATATTTACTAACCTGTAAATGATTTTTCTATAATTTTATCAATGAAACTAATAATTATTTTTCTCATTTTAGGATCAGTATGAAAACCTTAGTCAATATACTGATAAAGGGATTATATTTTTGGAAGATATCATCAAGTTCCTGAGAGGTAGAATAAAGATTGAAATAGAATATGCAAAAGAATTAAAGTAAGTTGGTAACATAAACGTTTAGTATGCCTATCTGTTTATTGGTATACTATTAATGATTTTTTGACAGTATTTAAATTGATAAAAAAATACTCAATTGTGTGATTATTCATAATTCGAAGTAGATTAATTATTTATATCTGTAATTAGCCATACATCTGGAAAGTATAAAGTTACCCTACTGGCATCTTGTTTTTCCAATGAATCATTCCAGCCCAATTGAGTCATTGATTTATAAAATAGAAGAAATGTAGACAATATGTTCTATAAAATAACTGTCTTTGTTTATTTCTTCCTGAAATTGATACTCTCAACTTTTTATCACATAATTTATTTTAATCATTTGTTTTTTACAGAAAGCTCGTTAAAAGTCATATATCGACTAATAAGAAAAAGGAAGATAGCTATTATACGTAAGTTATAGTTTTTGGGTCAAATTAAATTTAGCGCATTAATGCTTAATGTCCATGTAATATGATTTCATCGCTTCTTTGTATTCAATTATTATCGGATATACTACACTTGATAACACAATGGCGATCTGTCTTATTATTCTAAATAGTTGACATTTTCAATGTTTATATTTCTGATGTAAACCGAAACTAATAGAAAATTCTGTATTATCTGTAATTTTCAAAGAACGTTTGTCTAATATTTTTGTAATGAATTGCTGAAGGCAAATTGAAGTATTAAATAGCTATAGAACATTTATTTAATAATAATTAAATAATTAACCTAAATAATCTAACGTATTTTTTCAGATTTACTCATGCCACCGCATTTATAACTTACATAAAAGAAATCAGTGATGTCGCAGGCCAACATGACCAAATTGCCGAAGAGTTATCAAAGTATGAAAAGGATATGAACAATAGCATTAATACGTATAAAACGGAAAGAAAAAGAGTATGTGAAAGCAAGACCATTTGTTCTGTACACTTTAAGCATTTATTTAATATTTTTTTGTAGCTGTTTAATAGAGCCCTTAAAGAGCAAGCAGACTTAAGAAATCAAATAGCAAAACATGATAAAGCAAGAAAATTGTATGAAAAATCAGCTAAAGAAGAGGAAAAAGCTAGGGAGAGATATATTGAAATGGAGAACGATGATCTAAAAACTAAAGCTGAAGTTTATAATGTAACTAGATTTTTCTAATGATGACTATTTAAAATTTTCTTTCCCGTTATTAATAATATATGTAAATATATATATATATATACTTATATATATTAGTGTATAAGGGGTTAAACTGGGACAATATCATTCAAATAGCAAATAATTGACAATTGTCCTATTTTTACTTAAACGTCCCATTTCTTTTTAATACTTGAAATATTTGTTCAATTTTTGTATATTTATCTGTATAATTATTATGTGTACTTGTATTATATATATTTTTCAACAATAGGCTAAAGGAATTGCCACTTCCAAGCAACAAATCTGTGAATCGTATAAGACAGATTATGCAGCGGAATTGAAAAAAACAAACGATATGCAAAGGACTCATTATAGTATTGTCATGCCAGATATATACAATGTAAGTTTGTATTTACAAACTTTGATGTTTTCCCTCACATGCTAAACTAATTATTAACACTTCAATAGCATATACAAAACATGGAAGAAGGTCGAATAGAAGAAGTTAAAAATAGACTAATCAGTTTTATGGAGGTTGAAAAAAAAGTAGTACCCATTTTGCAAAGGTGTATAGACGGAATGGAAGCTTGTTGTAAAACGATAAATGCCGAAAAGGTTAAGAGAAATCTTTTTTATTTCATTATTAATTAATTTCCTTATTTATTTTGTAACTCTTGTTTATCATCTATCTGTAGATAAAGTTCGAGTATCGTTTAAGTACTTCATCGTAGGCCTTTCATCTATTACGTTATTCGTAAAAGAAATCATGTTGAATTTGATATTTGTAATATTTATTTTAAAGATAAATTTAAGCAACTAATTAATATTCTTCATTAAAAAATGTACTGTTATTAGGTCTAACAAGAGGGGCGTCTACGAAGATAGTACACGCAAAATAAAAATAGAATAATCACGTGATTTTTATTTTGAGATCAACTGTGCATAGAGTATATTGTTTTGAAAATAACAAATGTTGAATCATTTCGTTTTAGTTTCTAAAAGAGTTTATGAAAGAAAAAATAACTTTCCTCTTTTTTCTAGGATATTCAAACGGTTATCGATTTATATAGAAGTGGATATACACCTAATGGAGATATCGAGTTTGTTGAATATGGTACTTCAACTCCTAATACTACGAAAAAGAAAAATAAACTAAAGGCAGCATCGGTAAGAATAAGTTTCGTTTTATTTATTCAAAGATATTAAATTTTATATATCTTTAAAACTATATTAATTTAGTCGTGAAAAATATTTTCTTACATATCAATGATTTTTTTTTCTTTTCTTTTAATATGTTTCCGGCCATTTTACAGTTTATACGATATCGGGTAGGTTTATATCAAAGCATGATATATCTATTATTATTTTTATTATATAGATGTATTTATATATTACTTAACTACCCCAATTTAATATTATGTACCTTTACCTTTCCTCAGCTTTTAACTTCCCTATTCCAATTTGTAACTTACCTTTTATTAAATCTAACAAAGCGCATGACAAAATGTGTTTATTTATATACATTTATATATACAAATATGTATGTATATTAAATAATTAGCTTAAGTATTCTTAATTTTACAAAAACAACAATTAACAATTCTATTAACAACTCACAGTTACTATTAAAGTGCTTAAATTAAAGTCTATGGAAAAAAATAGAAATTTTCCAGATTGAAGAATTATTTTTATTATTCAATGCAGTGTACTTTATACTGTATTAAATAGTTTGTGATTTCCAAATTATAATTATATCTGAAAACAGTTTTCAATAATTTTATTATTATTGATGCACTAAACATTCAATTAAGAACTCTTGCAATAGAATTAATTGTTAATTTATATTCTAGATATTATTGACTTTGAAAGTAAATATGTACAGTATAAATATATATCTATATATATTTAGATAATATCTTATGGATTAAAATATGGATGCTAAAAGCAGGTAGGCCGTCACTATTCAATATGAATCGATTCATATTTTAAAACTTTTTCTATTGAGTATATTTTTAAAGGAAAATAAAGTCAGTTTGATCTCTATTTTCCAATTTCTTAGTTATATCTGGTCTATTTTTTATTGCATAATACGTTTACTCTTTCAATTACCACATAATTGAGAAAAGTAGAGTTAAAATAAATGAAAATTTTGGATTCTGTAAAATATATTTAAATATATTATTCGTACCTTAATAAAGTACGAAATTTATCCTAGCCCACAATCCTAGCTTAACCGTTTCTGATGGTTTATGTTTAATTAAAGATAGCAAGTTTAAAAGCAATAATTTGATTTTAAAAAAGCAAATTGAACATCAATTTATTCAACATCACGTATTCATTAAATTTTCATCTTGTATAATTAATTAATAATTATAAAGTAAGACGTTGCTGTCCATGATATATTGTTGATTAGTAGTGGAAATTTTTTGTTTTGTTTAGTTGTAACAACATATTTTATTACTTTAGGTTTTAGAACTTTACATTGTTGGTTTATTTGAGTTACGTTATCAGTTATTAACATATTTATCATATTTATTTGTATTTATTTATTTATATATATATTAGTATATAACACAATTTTTATTGTTATATTTTTTACTAAAACTTTTTGCAGTTTTCTGAACGAGCTTTACGACGATTATCCCTGGTCGCACCGGTGATTTTTTTAATATATATATCTATATATCATATGTTTTGTATATGTATTTATTAACTAAACGAGATATTTTCTTTTGTTGAAGCTATCGCATTCTAATTCTGCTTTTAAACTTTTAATATTATAGTAACTTTCTTTTCAAAATCTCTCATATTCGTATATATATTTACATACGTATATTCTTGTTTATACGTGTATCATCTTTTCATACTCATTTAGGTTAATTAATTTGATCAAAATCCTAATTTTTAACTGAATCTATTGAATATTTTGTATCTTTCTTTTATTTCTTAGGAAAAGGCTAGAACTTCTTTAATTTTTTGGCGTTTAAAAGTGACTGTGATTACTATTATTCCAAATTATAAGCTTCTGCTAATTCTTATTTTATATTATTTAAATTGGCTTATCACGTATTTGTAACCAATTTTTAGTTGAATTACAAATGTTTTCCTTATTGGCGAAATTAGTTAATAGTTTATATTGTGAATTGTAATTTCATTGAAACCGAATTTATGTGTAATTTTTATTGTTTAGCCTCATCAAAATGATAAAAAGGATGATCCATTTTTTACCAATCTTCCGCCTCTTCAACAGAAAAAAAAAATAAATGAAAAAATTGTCAATTTTCAGAAAACCTTGTTGAAACTTAACCAAGAGAGGTAAAAGTTAAAAGAACGAGTGATTTTGTTTTACTTTACATGCTTTTTTTTTAAAAAAAGGTCTGGTCTTGAAAAAATGCTTGAAGTTGCTGAAAAAGGGGTTGGAGTTGAAGGTTCGTCAACACCAAAATCTCATATGGGCTTAAGTCAGGACCGTATGAATGAAGAGCTAGACAAGAATAGACAGAATATTGAAAATATACAATCAGAAATTGAAAAATATGAAAATTTTTTAAGAAATATTGGTCATAGCAAAGAGGAGACGAAAAGTCCTAATTTAAATAACCATACGCCGTCAAGCGTTAAAACAACATCTTTGTAAGTATATTTCTATGCTGTTGAAATATTTTTAGGTACCACCTAGAGATGGCGTTAGATATTTTCTTTTGTAAAGTGCCATCATTTCCGGTGACATTTTCAAAACGTATTTTTGTGTGTAATGTTTATAGTGCTTGATGAAATATATATTAATTTCATGTTTCTATTATCAAAGGCCTCCTCCTCCAAAAGAAGAGATAACACCTACGCATTCCATATCTAATAACGATTCTGATATGTTTGAGGAGTTTGAAGAAGACTATTCTGATTCGAATCATATTGAAGATTGTAGTTTGGGAAGAGCTACCGCCAAATACGCTTTTGAGGGTCAAAATGAAGGTTCTCTTGCTATTAGGGATGGTGAAAAATTACAAATCATTGAAGCTGATACGGGCGATGGTTGGACAAGAGTAAAAAATGATAGTGGCGAAGATGGATTTGTACCGACTCTATACATAGAATACGATTGAATCAAAAGTTAATAATTCAAGAAGTTTTTTTTATTTCATATTTAAAAGAAAAAGACTGGTGCTCTATTCGTTTTTTGTTATACGAAAGGCTTCGTGTCTTAATGTTTCGGACATTGAAATACTGCATTATTCGTTGTCTCGGTAACACTTCATTTTTTAATACTAATTCTTAATGATTTTTTTTATTAGATATTTAATATCCATTTATTATAATACACCGTTAAGTGTTTTCAAGAGAAAAGCTTGAGTTGTAGTATAACATTTTGTTTATATATACTATGTATATATACATATATGTATATATATTCTATATTTCAAAGCTTTCGTCTCGTATTTTTGTAACTTAAAGGAAGAATGTCTGTACTATAACGAGAAAAAATATCTTCTATGTCTAATATAATGTATGTTTATTTTTCACCAATCTTTTTTACTATGAAGAGAAACTTTCTGATGTTCTACTCTTTTGTGTTCTTAACTAACAAAATGTCTATTCTGCAAGATGCCTTTGTAGCTTTTGTTTTTTGTTGTCTTATGAGAATCTTATGCAAATTCTTTTAGAGAAAAAGTGATATAGAGAAAGAAATTTTGTGAAAATTCAATAATAATTTGAGATTTGTAAAGAGCGAGAGAAAGAGGGAAAGGAGACGGGAAGGGAGGGGGGAGGTTAGAGTGAAAGAAAAGAAAGATTGACTTTTGTAGTACTTTAGAAAAATTATATTCTTTTCTTTTTGGATATTAATATAAAAGAGTAAGAAATAAAAAACCATGTTATCATGAATGGAAATTTTGTCTTTCAATAGAAATTTCAAAGGCAACTGAAAGTAATGAAAAGAAAGTATTTTAATATCAACAAATTATGATCTCTTAATGGAGTATAAATGTATTATATAGTAGATGCGTTGTATTATGTAATCCTATAATTAATTGGAGTAAACTGTTCTCAATTCCCTCCGATTGATACTTTTGCCTTTTTTAAAAGAAATTTCTAGATTTAGATATTCTTCAACATATTTATTGAATATATTAACTTCCAGAGGAAGAATTAAAATTAATTAGATTTTTTTTTTAATTAAAACTAGTTTTTAGTGCTAAATTTCTTTTCTTTTTTATACGAATCAAAATAAACTAGAAGATCATATTTAAGTTTTTTCACATTTTGCGCCTATTTTATTACAAGTGGTAAAGGAAAAAAAAGACCAATAAAATTGAGCTTTTTGCATTCGTACTTTAAAACTATATTTTCACAAAATTATTCAATGTACACCGTGTCAGGGTGTTTTTTTTTTTTAGAGAATCGAATATCGAATACGTTTCTTTTTTGTTCCAAGCATACTCATCATGGTCATCTTGCGAAACAGTACATTTCTGGGATAAACTCAGGCATATTGTTGATTTTCAGACAATTCTCAGCACAAAATGGTAAATTGGGTTTTCTCCAGTGTACACATCCGATGGCACATACTTCCAGGCATTCTAAATATTGCTGATGCTGAGGGAGCACTTCTACCAAGGAGATGGCGCCTACGAAAAGTAACAGCGCAAAGAGGCGACCCTACAGTAATCAAAATAAACAAGTAGATATATAGTTTCCATAACCGATATATTTTTTGTGAAAACAAATAGATTAAAAGAGAATTAATACAAACAAAAAAGAAGATAATAATTGAAAAATTAATGAAACGAAAATAATAAGCTATCTCCATTAAAGGTCAATTAACCAACACTTCCGGTTAAATTGTTTTTATCCAACACTTTTTTATTTTTTATAGATAACTTTACCTCATAAATATATGTATATATATATATGTATTTATCTCGATAAAGTATTCATAATTCTCCGTTCTACCAAGAAAGCTTATCTCTACGTGAAATTTTAAGCACAAAGAATGGAGAACTAAGGGAGGGATGGTAATGTTTTCTTTTTCACAGGGAAATAGATAGGCTGGGAAAAGTGGGAGGGACTAAGGGAATTGTACTATAAACTATATTTATATACATTTATATATAAATAATTTATTAGATAAATATTTTTCGTCGATTGCTATCAAAATTATTTGATATGTTAGTAAAATAATAATTATTAGTAATATCATAAAGTATAGTAGGAGAAACGAGGTGAAATAAACAATATTAGACTTATTTCAATGTTCCCTTCTAAATAATAGACTTGACAATAACAATATTCTAAAAATGTTAACAAATATAACAAATACTGTTAAGAAAAATAAGATCAAGAAAACAATGAAAGGATGGAGAATTTTTGTTATAAAAGATCAATTTTTATAGTCTTGTCTTAGTCTTGTCTCTTTTTTTATATAAGGATTAATTTAAACTTGTTACCTATTATTTACATTGAATTTCCATTTTTTATGCTTAATCTCTTTATAGGCTAAATTTAAGTTTAATGAGTTTTTCTTCCAGTTTTTTTTAATGTTAAATGTTATAAATTTGTAAATGTACCTAAGACATAATATATGATTGATCTATAATAAATTAGATTATACACTCATTATTCAAAAAGAAATTCTTGTTTTTAATAAAAAAAAAAGAATAAACAGAAATATTACTATTGATATTTAAATGAACTTAACTACAACATAGCTAATTAATTCAATATTCATATAAAACTTTACTTAAAATACCTCAAATTATTAATTATAATATTTTATTTAAACTTTTGGTTAATTATTATTTCCTCATTCAATCTTTTTCTTTCGTTCAGTAAACTTTTTTCAATGATAAGCTTAGAATTTTAACGCTAGATGGCGTATCTAAAAAAAATATACCGTTTCGTTTCATCAAAGAGAGAAATTTTTTTCCAATAGATGAATATATCTGTTTTTTTTTTGAATAATGAGCGTCGAAATTAACAAAAAAGTATCACAACAAAAAGCCTGTTAATAAGGATCAAACAAACTTGACAAACAAAGATAGATTTTAGACAATATCCAAACTATACCGTCGGCATACTGGAGCTTCGAGAGCGAAAAACAAAATAACCAAGAGATTGAACCAAGATGCCCCCTATCAGCATTTGACAGACTAAAATATGCATAACGCTTATAATTTTTTTGCTAGCTTAACATAGCTTAGGGGGAAAATGAAAGGAGCGATAATAAAAAATTTGTTTGTTAAATCTTCCAAATAATGAAAATAAAATATGATATTATCCTAATATGAAGATTCTTTGATAGATTTTAAAGTTTTGGAGATAAAAGTCATACTAATGATTTAAAACATTCTTACTTTAGAAGAGTGAAGTTAGTTTTTATCAAATGTGTGTTTTAATCTCCATAAATCTATCTCTATCTTTTCTTTTACACTGTAAAATATACGTATTTAATAGAAAATAGAAGATATTTATTATGTTGTTTTTTTAAAAAGAAATATTTTCATTGAAAAATGAAGATGGAAAGTATTCTTGTGAATTCTTCATTCTAGAAATAAATCTAACTATTCGAAGAAAACCTAATTTTCATTGATGAAGATAATTTCTTTAAAGTTAATTCTTTCTGGAAGGCATATTCTTTCCTATTCATTCTTTGGTTTCTCTTTTATAGTTAGTTTTTCTCGCTACTTAATAAAGATAAATGTTCTGTTTCCTTATAATATATAAGTTAAGTTATAAATTCATGAATAAAATCTATTGAAAATATTATCAATTAATAAATTAATGTTAATAAGGTATATTTATATACATATGTAATACAGAGAGAGAGAGAGAGAGAGAGAGAGAGAGAGAGAGAGGAGAGAGGGAGAGTGAGTGAGAGAGAGAATGAGTGAGAGAGAGAATGAGTGAGTAAGTGAATGAGTGTAAACGGGAAGAGAAAAGCATAAGGAGAACTGAAGATATTTAAAAATATCAAAGGATTTAGAGTTTTCAAGTTTTCTCTTAAGTCTGCAATGTTCATTAAACATAAAGCAAGCTTAATCAATCTTTTCTTGCTTGATAAGATATTCAGGAAACTAAACTTTAACAATAAAATACCAAATATACTTTCTAAATCAGTTTTGAACGCTTTCTTCTTCTCTCATTCCTTGGTTTTTTACCCTCTAAGTTAAGTTGCGTGAGCCAATTTATTTTCCTCTCCTCTATTTAACTAGTCTTTTAATCTCTGCAGAATGAGTAAGTCACTTTATAATTATAAGAAACGTAATGAATTTGACTCTAACCAAAATTCAATGAATATTGTAATTAGTAAGCTTGTTGACAGTGAAGTTAATTTATTAAATACTCTTGTTTTACGGTATTAAAGGATGACATTCTCAGAGGATCGGATAAGTGTTACTTTTATAAGTCAATACTCCTAATTTTCTTTTTTTTCCATTCATTTAAATAAGAGAAATTGAAGGAGAAAAGTAAAAAATTCCTAGTAATTTGCTCTTTTAAAAAACGAAATGATTCCGAAAAAAAATTACATAACACTAAATGAAAAACTGTATAAAAGGGGAAAAAGCTTAGGGAACAGAAGTAGCTTTAGTTCTGTAATTTAATGTAAAAGATAGAAATTGAATTTATTTTATACCTTGGCGCCAAATGATTGGAAAAGAGTATTTCATATTTGAAATAAATGTGAATGATTAGCCACAGTATACATTTTAAGGAAACTGCTATATGACATTAAACGTGCAATGTATAAGTAATGAGTTCTTTTTGACATAAAGGTCGCTTTATGACATTTAGCAGTCCTCTGTTTTTTTTCTTTCATCGCCCATTATTCCCACTTTACTTATACCCCTTACCGAGCTTCCTCTGTCTAAAGGAAATAGATTAATATTTACTCAATTCGTACTTTGTTTAGGTAAAAAACCATCTTTCACATTATAACTAATGACTTAGTAATGATGCTAGCAAAATGAGAAAACTAAATACGATCAACAAACTGTATTTGTATCTGAATTTTCCTCATCTCTGAACATAATGTCCTTTTAAAAAGAAGAGAAATTAATATTTAAAACTATTTTTTCACTGTTAATTTAAACATTTTAATTAAAATAATGATACTCTACGTTAAATACAATACTGTTTAGTGTTATATATATATATATATATATATATATATATTTATTTCCCTTTAATAGATGATACATTCTGATGATTGATGATTGGCGTGAATAGAAGTGCGAATTTGAAGGTACTCAGCTTTCGTCGTCACGCAGATAGATATTTTCTAATAGTAAAACCTATTTTTTCTTTCTTCTTGGTTCGAAAGGTCTTTCTCTTTAAATCATTTTTCACGCCTACTTTTAAGAGCAATTTGCCGCAAAATTCACTTTTAATTATTGTTGAAATTTTATGCTAATTAACAAAAGTTTTCAATTAGTCATAGATATCTAATCATTATTCTGTCGATTGTGGGCTATTGCTTACAAATTAATTGCATGCTAGTTATACAGTGTACTATTTTACACGAATGTATATATACTATATATATATATATATATATAAGTCTCTCTAACACAGCATAATTAAACATACGACCTACAAGTCTTTAGCTTATAAAAAATATTTCTCTGTATTAAGTCAACTAGAAATTGTTAATATCTTTTCAAAAATATACACTTTCTAACGTTGATACAATGAGTTCTTTTTCTTAAATCTAGCTAAACTTTCACTCTGCTATATTTCTAAATTTATTCTTTTTTTAGTATTCGAGGTAAATAGGATTACTGATATTTCCGATCTAATTTATAGACAGCGTTTGCCTTCTTTAATATAAGCAATTATAACACATTTAAATATAAATTTAACCAATTAAAATCCCGGAAAACATGCAAAATTTACTTTAATATTTATTGTCTATAGTTTAATAAATGTTATAAAAGAAAGGAGACAGAGAGAGAGAGAGAGACAAAGAGAGATAAACAATTGGATAAAGACTGATATTTGTTACTCATGTTTTAATTGAAAACAAAAAAAATGAAATGATTTTATTTAAAAGAAAAAAACAAACAGACTTGAGTACAAACAATTAGATATCTATACAAATCACAGATGTAATTAACAACAAAATTATCAGGAAGGAAGAGACTAACATCTAAATAAATTACCTTACATCGTATTCTCTTCATTCACCTGATGTTTCTCTAAAGCATCCCCATTAATAATTCAGGCTGAAAAAGTATGATTATTGCTAGAGGGATAAAGATAAGCTATGTTATTTAAAAAAAAGACTGTAATATTTTCTATTTCTTTAACAAATCCAATCTTTAGATACAAGTAGGGAAAATGAAATTTCGCATTCGTGCTTAGATTATATTTTCTTTTATTCTTTGTAGAAAAAAATGAAATATATTTTTTCACTGATTTAATTTGATTCTTAAAATAAACAAGCTGTTAATACTGACTTTGCGACGAATTTGGAGAGGGACTGATATATGTTATTAATGAAACATGCAAACTATATGTCTTGTTTTCTAGAAGCTGCACTTAATTCATGAGAATCGAATTAAAAAGACACAATGTGGAAATAACCAATTCTATTTAGAAGTAAGAATCGATAGGTAAGAAGAAGAAGAAATGAATGAGTCTTGATATAAAAATTAAGAGAGAAAGAGAGAAAGAGAGAAAGAGAGAAAGAGGGAGAGAGAAAGAGAGAGAGAGAGAGAGAGAGAGAGAGAGAGAGAGAGAGACGGAGATAGACAGACCGAGGCAGAACGTTAATGATTAAGTGAGTGAGTGAGACAGAGAGAGAGGCAGGCACAGAGAGAATTCTATTTTAACACTCTACCTCTATTCAATCAATAATATGGTTTATAATGAAAATTTTAATTGAAATTATAAACAATATCTTCATTGTTTTGCTGCCAAACTCTTCTATAAATTTAAATTGAACAAGATATAAATAATTTATTGAAATAGCTTCTTCGGAAAAAAATCTTCTATATCTCTTAGGATTTAAATAATTGCTTTTTTCCTTTTACGAAATAGTCAAAACGTATACTTAACAAATTGCTCACGCTTTTGAAAAATAGACAAATATACTTATCTTTATATACTATTAATATCAATGTAATAGTAGTATATACATACATACATGCACCTATGCAACTAAGACTAATAGATTTTCAAGATAAGGTGTATTAGACTCCAATAGTAAATTCCCATTTACTAGAATAAAAGTATAATTAAAACTTTCCTAATTGTTTTAAAAAATCCGCATGAATGAAGGAAAAAGTGTTTATTCATGAAAATTTAATAAATATGCGTAAACGTAATGCTTAGTGCTTTGTAAATATTAATTCCATTAAAACTTTGTCTAGTTAGAAGATCCCACGTTGGCCTCCTCCCACACTTTTCTCTCTTTAAGGTTTACCGTCTTCGTCTTATATGTATCTTAAGATTCCTTTTTTTTCCATTTCACTTTCGACTCGATTTATATCTATTTCGCTTGGTTTCCTTTACCGAAACTACCAAAACAATGGATACTTAAAATTTATATATCTATAAATAAGACCAACTTTATGAACAATAAATCATATTGAATTGATAAATATTATAAATAATAAAAACAACTTGGTGTATTAAAAACTATATAGATATTTTATTATTCTTTTAATTAATACTTTAAAAGAGTTTACAATTTAAGTTTACTTTATTTTAAATATAATCAAAGACTTTCTCTTATAATAATTGATTAGTTTTGTCTATTTAGGAATGAAACCTGCAAAGAGAGCACATAAATTCTATTAAATATAAAGAAATAGTTGAAAATTTAAATATAATAAGATTAATATTCGTTTTTTCTATTAAAAGTAAGATATTTTCCATCCTATACCTTATTCTAGAAAAAAGGAGGAAAAAGAGTTTTCATCTTCAGAGTACATATAATATAGCTTATATACTTATATGCAGATTATGAATAAAATTAAATGCATACAGTGAAAACTGAACGTCAAACCTATACACTGTGGCACATGAGTAGTATTTTTCATCTACAATCCATTGTCAAGGTAAACGAAGAAAAAGAGTTTTCTTTAAATTGTGAATCTTTTACAAACTGTAAGGAATACCTTCAAGTTCTTTTTAATTAATACGTAAATGTAAAATTTCTTATTCTTATTTTCTCTATTTTCTCTCTCACCCCTCTCTCTCTCTCTCTCTCTCTCTCTCTCTCTCTCTCTCTCTCTGTCTCTCTCTATCTCTATGTCTCTCCCTGTGTGTGTCTTTCCCTCACTCCTTCCCCCTCCTATTCTTTACTAATACCTTTTACATGAAGTGAGACATGATTTATGTACATATGATATATGCATGAGAATATATCATGTTAAATGTAATTGAAGGAAGAAAAAAGATTATTCCCTGTTTAGAAAGAAGAAAAGTAAACCCTCCTACTCTATTTCTATAGGCTATTTAGGGAAATTCATTATTTATAAAATAAAATACCTTTGAATTGGACATAAAAATCTGTTGTAGCTACGTATGCAACACTTATACTATACAGTGTTTGTTTTTACCTTAATTATTTATTTTCTGTATTATATTTTTATTATATTTTACCCTCAAGACAATAAAATTAATTTTCCATATTCTTATATGAATTATTAACATCTTATATGCATTCCTATTATAATCTATCTTTCTATCTCAACGAATTTACAATTGTTGAAGCATTACGTCCCTCTAACTTAACTAAAATGTTAATAAAACGAAAACAAACAAAATAAAAACAAAATGTAGGCCTACTGTTAGCTTTTTCATTTATCATTCATTAGAAATGTAAATTAATTTTGTACTAAACATGTATTTGCTAAATATAGACGCTATCTATGTACAACGTTGTATATACCCATACATGGATTTTCTCTACTTTAGGCCAATTAGAATACTGTTTTCATTGCCAAGTACACTTTTTTGTAGTATTTTTTTATGTTTGCTATCCTCGTTTTCTCCTCTCATCTCTCCTTTTTCACTATTTTTCCTTACCTACAACTTTGTAATCATTGATAATTTAATTTTTTTATCTATTGTTTGTTTATTTTTAAGGATTCACTAATCATTTGAAATTAACTATCCTTTACACAACGCACATAATTTAATAGAAAATTAAAAATTTTACTGGCTGAACTTTAATGCAAAAAATATTTTGCAGTTGTCCTTAAATTAGGTCAGACAAAAATCTTTACAAGTTCTTTCTTGTTTGTTATTTATTTTATTTATATTTCATAAGCTTATTGAACAAAGAATGAGACAGACAGACAGCATAGTTGGGTGGAGGAGAGACAGAGACAGAGAAAGAGAAAGACACAGAGAGAGAGAGAGAGAGAGAGAGAGAGAGAGAGAGAGAGAGATAGAGAGAGAATGAAGAGGGGGCGGGAGGACTGATGGAGAATAATAGAAGGTGTTATATTTATCATGCAAAGCAATATCACACAAGTTGGGGTTCTTTAAGAACCTTTAATGTATTGTCTAAGATTTATACTTACGATTAAATACTATGAGAATTCAGATAAAAAATTAAACTGGTTTCATAAAAACAAATACAAAAGCTGCGACTTTTTACGTGGCAAACATTTGCAGCAAAGTTAAAAAAGAATTTATTAAAATTCTAATCAGCTTTATAATTTTCGTTTCGTTTTATTCCTAACCTTTTTGTTATCTTTACATGGAACATAAGATCTTTCAAATTCTAGTCGAATTGAATGTCCTATAGAGGAAAAGCATAAAAAGAAATAGGAAATATACAGTATATATGAATAAGAATCTAAGAGTATTCTATAAATAGAAATAAAAACTGGTAAATTGAAGCAATTGGCTAGGTAATTATCTTAGTTATAATAAAACGTTTATTTACTTATTGGATTGTTTAATTACGTATTGAAAAGAAGAAAGATGTCTTTACGACATAAAATAAAATAATTAAACAATATTATCGTAATAATACAATTTATTGCGTAAGAATAATGTCAACTTTCAAAAACATAACAACTTTTAACGTAGTGTTATGATTAATCTTCATCTCCACTGCTAATAACACCTATTGTCTCCGAGGCGATATCGACACCTTTTTCAACATTTTCATAAGACGGCTGAAAAATAAAATTATCTTATCAGTGCCCCCAAAGAAGAAATAGTTACTTACTGAATTAGAGGATTCTCCGGACGCTATCACTTTATTTCTTGCTGAAGAAGCAGCACCTATTTAAAAAATTTTGATCATATATATTCAGTATTTCAATTAAAGAACAAGAGAGGTGTTAAAAATATATTACCTCGTTCTTGGGTTTTCTTATCCAGTTCGGCTTTCAGATATATTATTTCCGCGTTCAATGTGGATTCTATATTATACCTAGTAGATAAATGACTCTTCAACGCCTGCAAAGAGCATAGAAAAAACAAGAAAGGCACATTATTTTGTAATATGAATTAAGCATTATTTGCTTACATATTTACGTCAATGTATGTTATAATCAGTAAATAGTTTCTATGCTTTTGCATTTAGTTTGTATATTGGCAAATATCAGTACATTTTACAATAAAGTATTTATAAATATTGAAAAAGGAGAAAAGCAAAATCTATTCTTATTCAAGAATAATCAATAACGACTTTATTAAGAGGGAATCTAAAGTAAAGCGGGACTTAAATACTTTCTATCTTAAGAAATCTTTGAAAACTTACTGATACATAAAATTTATCCTTTTATGTTTAGTCTTAGCGACTTCTTAAATGTAAAATACATCTTTGTCAATATTATTCTTTACATCGTGAACAAGTGCTACTTAATTTAAGAAGAAAGAATACATTATATACACAGTATATAAGAGTAGAATTTACTATAAAATATTTTCAATTCGACTACAACAACTATTATTGGGAAACAAATATGAGTAATCAATGGCAGAAAATCGGGACAATTACACCAAAAAATCGAAATAAACTTAAAGAAATTAATAATTTAACGATTCAAGTATGTTTGATATTTCTATTATCCTAAAGAGATTGTACTTACTCTCAAATCATGCCTACCAGTACAGAATTTTTATTACTTTTCATAGAAAATAAACAAAACTAGACATTTACCTCTATGTCTCTATCGGATTTATGTTGCAACTGCTCAAAATCAGCCTTTATCTCTCTTAAATGCAGTTCTTTATCATTTAATCGGCTTGTAAGATCTTCTATGGTTGCTCTATTGACTTCAGACTCTCTCGTTTTTTGATTAAGTTGAGCTTTCAGCGCTGGGTAAAGTGAAAAAAAAATTGTTAAGTAAGTTTTGTAAAAGTATTTGTAAAAATATTTTATTATTTAATAAATAAATTGACCATTAAAGATGAGTGATTAGTTAAATTGTATGAAATAAAACTGTTTATTAAAATAAATAAAGGTACCCATTAAAGTAATTACTCCTTTCGGTTTGACCCAATGTCGTCTATCATAAATTTTATAAAGATCATATTTAAACCCTAAGTAATCAACTACAAACAATATTCTAAATATGATCTTATTCGTGTAAAACATATTATAGCTTATAGAATAGATATTCTACGTTAAAATCAGGTCAATTTGAATTGTCAATTGCTAATCAACACTCTTTTCTATTCAATAAATATTTATAAGAAATAAGATGAAATAATTCAATAGAATAATAAAGATGAACTTAACACAGTCTAGAAGAAAAGAAAATATCTTAGTTGCATAACTACCAAACTTAAATGAAAAAACAAACCAAATCCATAATAAACTCGTTGCAGGTAAAAGGGAAAAAAACCAGCAATAGCAGAAAACAAGAATGGAGCAAAGTTTTAAAGAAATTTTTCAATACATTTTACAGCATATTAAACAATTTACATAACTTCTAAGAAAAAAAACACATCGACGTTAATTTAAGCTTAAGTAGTCTTTTCATGAAAATTAATTAAGACTAAATACAGATAAACCTATATCATCTAGCTAATAGAATTATATCAATTAGTCTTTCTACTCTAAAACTCGGAACATAATATCTTACAAAAAGGTTTCCTTTGAAAAAAATTATCTTACATTGCCTATTATGTAACGTATCAAGTAATTTTTTATCAAGTGGGTGGGCATATCAAAATATATTTACCTTCTTCGTGTTGACTTAGACTATCCAATTGAATTTTAGCCTCGTGCAGTGCAGCATTCCGTTCTTTCAATTCGGCAAGTCTACTCTTATATTGCTGTTGCAACTCACCCATAAGCAGTAATTCTTTTTGCAGCTTCGTTACTCTTTTCTTTTATACAATAAAAACGTTCTCTTATATTGCTATTTCGCTTTTAAAAAGTTTAACAAATATATACTTCTAAAATTTCAGACTGATCAGCTTTAACTCTACTTTGTTGAAACTCTTGTTCGCATTTGAACATATCTGATTTCATTGTATCCATTTCCTTATATAATTAAGAGAAACAATTAGAAAATATGATATATTTAGATTAAAAAATAAATTTTTCATATTACCGAAAGTAAATTTTTAACTTTATCAATTTCCTCATGTAATCTTCCCATAAGATCCATCTTTTCTAATTTAAGGTTGTCAATTGCAACCAAAAAGTTTCTATATGAATAAATAATGATTTATAGTCTAATCTGGATCGTGACTCTTTTAAAAAAAGGGAAGGAAAAGTATAACCTAGAGAGCATTTTCACTCAAAATTATTCCTATAAATCACTTAAATATTAGAAAATAAGTAAAGCTTTTCTAATACAAGGATATAGTTGACAAAAGCTACCTAATTCGCTACGCTCCAGTCTCCAAGAGACATGAATACTCCGTTAAAATGAATATTTTAGATTCTGATGAAAATTTTCATATATAATTTTCCTTGTTCATTTTGACTTTTATATATTTAAGTACTTCATTTCTTTAAATATGCTCCAGGTTTCAATAAAATTACAATAGGGAATATATATTATCTAAAAATGTTAATTAACTTCGTGTATTCGACTCACCTACTTTGCAAATCAATTTCTAAAGTTAATTTTTCTTTTTCATTCTTAAGCCGTTGATTCTCAGATTCACTTTCTTTTAAGCATGCAGCTAGCCTTCGAATTTCATCTTCCCACCAATTCGACTGCTGTTTCTATAGAAACCGTAGTTTTGTCTAGAAATGTAATTGTAAAAAAAAATAAAGTTAAACGAAACCTTAGTAAATCCTTGCTCCTCAAGCATTTTACTTTCGGTTACTTTTTTCAATAGTCTTCGATTTCTATCAGCATGCATTTGCCTTTTGTACCTCTCGAACAGAAGTTCATTTTGAAGAAGTAGGATTTCACCTCGCAAGAGGCTAACCTGTAGAAAAGTTATAAACTTTTACTTCTAATTTATAATTTTATTGTATTACGGTTTGATTCTAAACCTGACATTATAGTTAATCTTATACCTCTTAAACACCTAATAGTATAATTTAATCAGACTACAATACATAGTTATAAATCGCCTTAATAAATAGCTAATTATTTATCGTGTATAATTCAAATAACTCTATAAATACTTTAATAACAATGCTTATCATATTATTAAAGTAACTTACAGCTTATCTTTCGGTTGCTGAATAATTATATTGAATTTTTAAATATTTATGCTAAAATTACATTGTAAACACGATTATTGTATATAAGGTTTGTTTAAGTTAATATCATTACTAACTACAAATGTCTAAAAATCGTGAAAAATAGAGTGTTTGATAATTAAACTCAATGCAATAAAATATAAATGTGCTTTAGAAGACAAATAAAAGTGTACAATGATCTATTTGAAAAGGTACTGAAATTTTCCTCTTTACATATACGTATATATATATATATATATATATATATATATATATTCTACTCTAAGTAAATGATATAGCAATATCATAGGACCTAGCTAAAAGGAATAAAAACTATGAAAGAAAAGTATCTTATAATGAACTACTTGTAGGAATGAAGATATTGTTTGATAAACTTATACATTTCAATCTTACATATTTCTTTCAAAGGTTACTGATGTCAAATATCAAAAAAGAATAATAAAATAAATCAAAAGTAAAATTGATCAAATATTTAAAGAAGCACATTAATATATATATATATATATATATTGTAAGATAAAGTATTGGTTGACGTAAATCAGCCCAAAGAAAGTCAATGACGCACAAAACTTATTTTTAAATCTTCTACATATTTCGAAAGAGTTAATGACAGTTAGTTTACTTTTATAAAAACTATTTAACAAAGTCAATACAATTCTTTATTTTAGAATAAAAGCTTCTTTCTTCCATTAAAATTTCAATTTAAATACAAAAAGTTTAGAGTAAAAAATTTTCGCAAATTATTAAAATAATAAAGTTTGTTCATATTTCAATATCTAGGAGTAAGTAAACTAAAAAATATTGATAGTTCGTGAGTCTAGTATAATGGGAAAAAAAGTAAATAAAACAACTTTCAAACCAAATCACGATGCTATTAATGTAGTTTGATTGATATAAAATTTAAAAACGTGAGTAACTAAAGTCAAATAATATATTAGTATATATATATACTAATATATATATATTGTATATATAATATTAAATATATATATTTAAAGGTATTATATTTGCCATAAAATTGTTCAGGCAAGCAATTATTTTCCTTTTACCTATTCCATTTAACAACACCAACATTAGCGGAAAATGTAATTGTAAATAGTATGTGTTAAATCACTAAAAATAAAAGGTTTTATGGTTTATCACCTCATCAACTGCTAACGATTTCTTTAATAAAGACCATTAGTAATTTATATCTAAAGAGATTAATAATAATTACAGTAGCCCTTTGACTTTTCGATGAAACAGAAAAAACTAACTCATAACCTAATAAAGATGAAAGTAACATTTGTAATTTCGTATAGATATAAATTATACTGTATATACTGTATATACTGTATATATAAATTTATAAATGGATACTGTATATGTATGAAAATTTAACGTTATATTGAAAAATATAAATAATTGCTAACAAAAGGGAACAAGGAGGGGAGAGATAGTGATAGACAGAGAGAAAGTAATATTACACTAACCTTATGTTTTTAATAAATGAGAGATTTTTCCTTTAATATTGATATAATTCACTTTCAAAAATAGAAAATTACCAAATTGGAAGGCAAATATAAAATAAATTATCTTATTGGAACCCCAAAATGAATAATTTTTACACAGAAAACTAAGAATATAGGGATAATTTATTATCATGAAAAAAATAAACCTTGCCGAGAGAAAAGCAGAGACTGAAGGAAAACTATGAGTGTTTATCAAAATATGGAACACAAAGAACCCACAATCTTTTTATTCTACTCAAAAAGCCGATATATTTTGACAAGAGGACTAACCTATGAATACATAACGGTTGATGAAATTATGTCAACTAATCTTATTTTAATTATTTTTCAATCAAACAAAAAAGTTAATTAGTTTATATATAGATATTCACTTTAACTCTCTTACAGTTAATTCTTAATTTGACAGTACCTTTATTAGGAAAATTCTAATTCAAAAAATGAATCATCTAGCGGGAAATATTGCACATTAACTACATTTAACTTAACACGCTTCTAAATTTAATCTTAGCTTAGCTTGGGAAATAATAGTTCAGCCTTGCCATATCTGTTTGCTAAACAAATAAAAAACGTTTCCTACAGTATAGCATACCTTGATTTTACATATAAATAACAAAGCTTTCTCTCAGCAGAGAAATTAATAATCAAAATGTGTAATAAAAAAAAGTTAGAAACTCGTATTGGACTCTTTTCTTAGAATACCATCAGATGCTATTACTCTGTAGCTTATGGCCATGCTACAAGTGGTTAATTTCAACACGATTATAGCTATGGGCTGATGTAGTGGTCAGGACGTTTGGGAATTAAATACAATGTAGCAACACCGGCTAAGCGTTTAACGATTTTTCCAGAATTTCATTGTAATTTTTCTTCAAGGACACATAAATCATGAAATATTCATAATATAACTGATTACAAGAAACAGAATTGCTTTGAATAATACACCTAACTCCTCAAAATCTTATATTAAATCTTATCCTTGCAATATTAGTTTAATACTAAAAGCCAAATTGTTTACTTCTTAATAACTAATTACACCCTTGTATGCGAAATCCTCCAAGAATACAGTAAAAAAAATAACAAGTACTTATCTATCTATTGTTCTTTGCATTAATAACATTAACAGTTATTTTCATACAAAAATCGTTACCTTAAGCTCTCATTAGAAATTTATTCCCCTAGAATATCTTTCAGAAAGAAGCCTTAGAAAAATAAACAGGTAGCTTTCATTTTTTTTTACGTAAATTACGTAATACATTCATAAAAACTTTCAGATATGCTATCCTAAATTTTTTAATATTCCTTTGATATAAGCAAATAACTAAAAAAAAATTGGAAAATAAATGCACATATAAGACATATCTATAATTTCTTATTGAAAAAGAGGCATACTCATAGTTTTTTTCAAAAAAATACAAGACTACAGAAATATTTATTGTAATTCTTAGGTTTCCATCATTTATGATATTGCGAAATGTTTACAAATAACCATCAGTTCTGAGAAAAATCCAAGACTGTTATTTTTTGTATATTAAATATCATGCAAAGTTGCTCTAAGCAAAGGTAATAGTTCCAAAAAAAGAGAGAAAGATTGACATATTTATTATTATAAATAACAATTTCTGCTTTATATAATAACAAATAATTATGGCCTAATGTAAATTATTTTGTGATGGGAAATCAAAAATTTAGTTAATTTATTTAGACAATTGATGCGGTTTTGAATTCTGCTAAATAATGGAATTTATATATAATTACTGTGTAAAAAATACGTTATTCGTGATGTAAAAGAGGAATTGGTTCTAATAATGAGATGACATCAATAAATATGTAAATATGCAGTATATATAATATATACCAGTGGTAGAGGTAATTTATTATGTTCTGGAATATTATCTTCATGTTAATTGATTATTCGTAAAAAAAAAATGTATAAATAGCTCTTTTAGATGTAAGTATAAGCTCTGAATGTTCTTAAAAGTTCGAAGGTATATAGTTTTAATACGGAGTCTATTCTTTGAAAAAAAGATCTATCTACTTTATAATTCTACATAATTTCCCTAATTATTACCATATTTTTTATGCGAATTAATCAATTTCTTTAATGAAAAATTCATGTAGTACGAACCTCATCGGCCGGTGCCACACCTCCAAAATGTGTCCAACTAACATTAGATTGACCAGGGAGTGGTACGTTTCCAAACTATTGATTAATTAGATTAATATAAAACCTAAAATGACAATAGAACAAACAAAACCTTTCTCGATGAAACTTCCGATCCTAATTGTAGATGTTCTTTTAATAAGTCCGGAAGGGGTGTAGAATTATGAATATTGTTTTCATTACTAGATGGTAGTACAAATGGATATTTTAAACTCATTTCCCAATTTTCGATAAAGTTTGATGTTTGCACGCAAGCATCTTTAACATTAGTAGGAGTTTCTTCAAGTTCTTGATTCGGTTTTTCCTCTTCTAATGGAGGAATTGACGGGCAACTATTACACTTTTGTAATTTTGCCATTTGCCCATTGTTCATGATATCTTTAGTATACGAAGATGAAGCTGAAGGTATTGAATCAAATCGGATACGATTTAAAGTCAGCATAAGCTCTTTAACATCTTCAGCTTCTTCATATTGCTCTCTTTTCATTACCGTTGGAACACAATCAGGTGTTTCTTCTTCATCCAAATCTAGGTGTAAAATCAATATCATTATTTAAATTAATGTATTTTCATATAAATGTGAAAATGATCCCTAAAATAAATATTATTTCAAGTAGAGTGATAAAGTTTATAAGGTAATGGGGTTTATCAGTGCAATAGATGGCGTTTTTTATTCTCTTTAGATAGCTGGTGATTTGAAACTAGGATGTAATTAAAAAAAGTGACAGCGAGTTTCTAAATTACATTAGCTTTAATTTAAGGAAAGTCTGGTAGAATGCAAGAAATCAAAAATAGACTTTTTTCCAATAAATAACATACAAAAGATCAAAATAGCTTTGTTAAAACTATATTTAAAATTTAATTTAATTAACGTCCAACTGTTTCTTTCTGATGGATTTTAGAAATTAAAATCAATTGGAGGAAAGGTAAACTATTGGCGCATTTACCATTATACAAAACATTAGATGGTATACAATATATTTATTGTCTACGAAAGAAATTGGGTTAAAGCAACAATACAATTGGGAAAGCAATATTTTTCTTTTCAAAGAGAATAGTTAAGGTAATCATTTCCGTTGACAATATTGTGCAGTAAAATGGATATCGCAAACCACAAGTTTTCCAGGTATTCATTGTATTTCAACTTAGAAATTTATACTTAGCAGTAGATTACGTCTTACTCTTTCAACTCTTTTATTTTCAGAAAACAGTATTTAATATACAGTGTATACTTACACATAAATATATAAAAAGGGCCTAGTTTTCTATAGTAGAAATGACTAAAGCATAATAAGAGAAACGTATATGGTACTTAAGAAAAAAAGTGGATCAAAAGTAGAATCTTCTGCTTAAAAACCTTATTATGCAACTTTACTGTATATTTTATTCAGCCTAAGACAAATACTGCGTAAAAAATTATCGAGAGAACGTAGAGCGGGTAATTTAATTTATCTTCCAAATTAAAAATATATTTATATATATATTAGTATATATATATATATATATAAACAACATTTATTGTTTTTCACTTTTACGCTTTCTATATTTAGAAACTGGTAAATAACTATTTAAAAAAAATAGATTTTTTGTAAGAGGAACATGCATCCAACTTTTTCATGTTTGTTGATGGTAAAAATTTAAAAAGAATAAATCTTATTGATGTTAGAAATTTCGATCAAATGCATCAGGTACATTTAGTAAGAGAGGAAGTAATGTAGATATTGAGTTACAATAGGAAAGACGTATATGTCACTAATTAATGTTCCCAGCAACTCTAGTTTGTTCTAACAATGTATCAATAAGGATTTTGTCCTAGTTTATACATCACTCGAAATTAAGTACTTTTTTTTTAATATTATCCTCGGATATTTCTTTCTATTGCATCATCATTAGGATTGATTGAAGAGTGAACTTACCATTAGAGGAAAGAGGAAAGGGTGAGTTTGTTAATTCCTGATCAATAGACTGCTTGGCAACAAACTGTAATTTTTCAGCTACTATTTCCAAATCTTGGCATGTACTTGTGCTTGGTAAACCAATACTTCTTTCAAGAGGAGTTTGTTCATCAGTCTGCAATACAGAACAGATGTAATATAAGTATTATTAGCTATTTTGTGAGGTATTTTATCAGAGTAGGAAAAAAAAATTTTCAAGCGACAGCAAATGTATACAAAAGAAACAAACTCCAAAAGAGAGTTAAAAGCAAAAGAAGCTATTGCGTTAAGTTCCCAAAAAAAAAAATAGTACAAACAAAATATTTCTTGTCTTGGAAATCTAAGCATCGGCTGATCTTTGATTGATTTTCAAGGGAAAAAGGTGATGGAGGAACACTTCGAATAGGTGTTGACATTGGCGTAGATAAATTAGACGATTTTTCTTCTGTATTAATGTTAGATAATTTCGATCGTCGGCGACGTCTAAAAAGCTGTTTATTTTTAGATGAGTTATTGAACAAGCAATCAATAAAATGTTGAATTAAATTTAATGGTAAAAATAAAAAAAACTCTAAAAATCTATAACTATTGTTTTTCTGAAACTACTCAAACAATTTCTTCATAAAATATGAACATAATATCTTAAAATGATACATGACAAGACGTATCCTCTGCTATTTAAATGATATTCAATGTCTATTAGAATCCAACTGACAAAAAAAAGGATCAAGGAAACGACAATGAAATCTCAAATGGATTTTTCTGTTGGTCGATATCTGGAAAAAAAACCAGCCGTGGAAAATTAGGTACGTTGTACTACAATTATGTCTAATTAACGACTCCGTTAAGACGGGAATGATGTCTTTGAAGATAATTAATAAACATAAAAACATGTATAGAATAATTCCCTAAACAATAATTGACCTTTTCAGCAGAGCTTTCCTCAACTTTATTTACTTCATTTTGGCATTTTCCATCTGAAAAAATTGAAATAATTAATAAATTTATTAGGCGACAATAATTTACAATTATATTCCAATTACCATCTTGAGTTCTATTAGCCCTTGGAGGGGTAGAATAACCACAAAGATCACTTGGACTCCAGAATTGAGACTTTAGAAGCAACAAAACAAAAAGAAAAAAATAATTAAATATATTACTGAATATTTTTTATGGTAAAAATATTTATTAAGTCATTATTCATTTTTTCTTACTTGTAAAGAACTGGCAGCGCTATCTACAAGGGAAGGAGAACTTGATTTTTTCCTTTCGAATTTTAACTCTTCCTTTAGTTTTCTAACACCGTAACGATCTAAATTAGGATTATTTGGAATTTGCTCTTCTTCACGACGAATGTGGCATGTTGAAGGTAGTTCTACAGTTAATTGGCTGCATTCTGCCACTATATCCTGAACCTAAGCGTTTATTTGTGTTGTTGTTTCATCATTATCGTCACATTAGCTTTGTAATTAAAAAAATTTTACTTCTCTTTTTCCTAGTCTTTCTTTACTTAATTCTTCATCTAGAGAGGATGTTATAAGGAGCGGATGTAATTTAATGTGCTTAAGTAAAGGCTAAATATAAAACATAGAAAAATGAATTTATAGTCCAAGAGAGTAGTGCTAAAAATAATTAATTATAAGAATTAAAATTTACATCTATAACATTTTTAAAAACTCCTTTATCACTTGTCCGAGGATAGGTGTTTCTCAGATAGGCTAAAAAATGACAAGGAAACATTCCATACAACGTATTAAATAAGGAAAATAGTGTAATTTGCGCATGTGAAGCATAAGCTTTGGCGTTGTTCCCTGATATATAAAAATATATATGTATGAATTAGAATATGATAACATAATACTAATGAATAAAAGAAATTGTATCAATTTCTATTACCTGGTAGAGCATGCACAAAATTGGCAAACTTTATAAATACATCAAATATTTCTTGTAGATGATTAGCAACTGGCGCAGCAACAGATGGAAGAATTATACACAAGTCCAAAGCAGCAGTAAGCAGAACAGGTACATTCGATGCGTCAGTCTATAGGTATCAGAGTTGTTAAAGAATTGAGTAACAACCTCAGAAAGGAATTACTAATTACTTTCAATATTTGAAGAATGGCCTTGAATGTGTTGCAGCGAACAATTTTTCCTAACCATAAGGGTTGTTTTGTAACAATACAACCTAATAGAAGAAGTGCTCTATACCGATACTGTTGGTTCTTTAAGAATTCATTAAGTTTTTCGAAGAATAGCTGAAAATAGTATAATATTCAGGCTATAATTAACTAATACAGATTTTAATTTAATATAATAAACCTTATCATTTGGCTCTTCGATCTTTGCTAAAACTTCCATGCAATTTTCAGCACCTTTCTCAGTTACATATATTTCTATAAGGCTGTATACAAGCCAACCTGGATCTTTAACTAAATTGATTTAATAAAATTAAATGACCTCTATCAATGTTTTATGCACTTAAAATTGAAAACTTGCTTGTTTTTAATGCATTAATCACAAGTCCTTTTGTATTTGATACTACTTCGATATCGTCTGATTCCAGTTGATGCAGCGCTTGAACTAAACTAGCTTCCATATTGCTTAAAGTTAGGAAAAGCAGAAGGTTTTTGTAGATTTTCGTATTTTTATGAATGCAGTTTGGGGTCAACGAGAAATTCTCTGCCAGAAAGTATATTATAAGACAACTATCTTCCCGAGCGATAAATGGTTTAAGCTTAATCTGGTGATGCTAAAATTGGTGAAGAGTTGCGTGTGGGTGTTGAATTTTATTTAATAGTTTTTTAAGGTAGATATATATATATATATATATATATATATTTGCAAAAAAATTCACTTAAGTGTTATTAAAGGACTAAAAAATAAAATAAATAAATTACAGGCATAAACTCCAATTTGATTTAATTAGTCAAAATACAAAAGCCAAAACGACAGATCGTTTTTAACGGCTTAGATAATTATCTAAGTAGTTCGTAGAAAGCATAATTAGCAATTGACATATGAAATAATTTCCAGGGAATCATTGACAATAGCATCATGTGTCTCAATAAAAAGGAGCCCTGGACATTGGCTTATAGGAAATACTTTCGATAACAAGGACAAATTACGCCATCTACAACTCTACTAAATTGGTGTAACTTTGAGATTTTCCTCATGCTTTGATTAATAAAGATCATCATTTTTGCATTCTTGCTGAATATTATAGTTAAAAGTTCTAGTAGGCCCTGATCGTAATGAATCATTATAAATTTTAGGTTTGGTTTACAATTAGCAGATATTAAAACAAATCTTCCTTTTGGAGCTAAAGTCCCAAGGTAAGAACTGTTAATTTTTTTTCGTATTTGTTGTAAGAAATGCTAATATCTTTAACCTTTGCAAGATCTTTGACTTACAACAGTTTTTAAACAGTGTAAAGCTAAGAATAATGATAAAATATAATAGGATACTATTACACAGACCTATTCTTAATATTAGCTAATGCGTAGTTTAGGAAATCCATTATCCTAATTGTTTTCTTTTAGGTGAATATGGAAGAATATCAAGGTAACTTTCGGAAAACGAAATGCCCTGTAGTTCTATTAACGAAGCTACTTTCAACTTTAATCATCTACATAACAACAACAATACAAACAAGTCAGGCTCAACCAAACTATAATTTTCCACCTTATAATGTTTCGGAAAAGAGTCTTGAACCTCGATATGTAAAGATGTATGATAAAATTCAAGTTGAATTGAATATAACCTGCAACCATTTTTCTGGCAACGTGGGGAAAATTTACATGGTATCACATGATGAAAGCGTTGTAAAAGTTCAGCAGGAACCTGTTGATATTATTTGTTATCATGAAAAAATTAATATAGTTAGCTTTATGATTAAAGGAGAATTTCTTGGAAAGACAAAAGTTAAATTAAAGTTTTTTGGAAAATCTAATAATAAATTAGACGAAAAAGACCTTGATCTAAAAGTTATCGTTAAAAACAGACGTCTGACCAATATATTCATAATAATTGTGGCGTCTTTTATGATCATTCTTAATTTTGGATTTGGTTGTAAGATTGAAATTAATGTTATAAAGGAAATCTTAAAAAAGCCTATACCGCCTTTAATTGGTATTCTCTGTCAATTCATTTTGATGCCAATTGTAAGTTTATAGTTATTTGTAACAGAGAAAAAAATCTATTGATATATATTGTTCTTTTCTATCTATTTCAGTTGGGTTTGACAATATCACAAGCCTTTCAAATGAACAATGACATAGGTTTTGGTTTATTAGTTTTAGCAACATCTCCCGGAGGCGGAGGCAGTAACGTCTGGACTTTGATGTTAGGTGGAGACCTCAATTTGAGTTTATGTATGACATTATTCAGTAAAATAGCAGCTTTGTGTAAGTAAATTTATTAGAATTAAATTCTAGACCAACTGAGTTAATTAAAAAAATTACACCTCCAGTTATGATGCCTTTGTGGTTGTACGCCGTTAGTCGTCTTTATATATCAGAAACTGCTAGTGTACCTTACAAGCATATTGCTATGGGTCTGTTGGCTCTTCTTGTTCCTTGCCTCTGTGGTGTAGTCCTTCGTAAATGGAAGCCTCGGGTTGCAGAATTTATCGAAAAAATAATAAAACCTGTAGCGGTAATATTTGTTATTTTCGTAATAACAATGGGAAGCATAACGAATGTATATATCTACTTAATGTGGGCTCGAAAATGGTATATAGTTCCATCCGCGTTATTGATCACTTACTTAGGCTATGCACTAGGCTATGCTTTTGCACGTATTACAAAACAGGGGCATACACGTTCCCTTACTATAGCTATAGAAACTGGCATTCAGGACACAGGAGTTGCTATTGTACTCCTGCAAGGTACTTTTAATGAACCGGGTGGTGATATAGCAGCTGCTCTTCCAATGACAGCAGCATTGTTCACGCCTTTTCCGTTAATGATATTGTTAACTATATTGCATATTCACATTTGTTGGAAAAATGGAAAATGTGAACGATTTGGTGGACCAAAAAATCAGAAAGATAATAGTGTAGATATAGATAGTCTTCAACAGAATGAAAAGAGTTTACCCCTTAATACAACTCAACTTTCAAGTACGGACTATTCTCCAGTAAAGAATATTGAATGTTAATTAGATTAATGCTTTAATCAGGCTTTAATGTCTAATCTCAAGGAATATTTTTTGTTTTTTTGCTAATATATATTATTTTTACCTATTTTTTTCAAGAAATGAAATTGAAATGCTATATCCTGTCTATCTTCGTATAATCTTTGATAATAAGAATGCCTTATTATAAAATTGTTCTTTGATATCTATTATATCATAAAAATTTTTGTTTATATTTGTCAGTTAAACGATGATAACAATAAAAATATCATGATGAATGTAAATCGTTATCTCTATAAATTTTTCTTTATTCCGGATTTAAACACGAACTTTCAACCAACTTTATTCTTTAGTTTATAAACTCTAATTTCGTATTGTAAAGTTTAAAACTGTACACTCTTACTAAGAGAACGCTAGTCTATCAAAACTTTTGCATCAGTACAAACATTGTAGAACTCTTTTAAAATGGATAATTAACATATAGAAAAAATTTATGACAATTTTGCATTATGTTCCCTTTCGAGAATTTCCTCGATTTGTCATTTTTGATGCTATTAAATAAATGAGAATAATAAAAACTATGATATTTGATTTTCCCCTTTTATTTCTACAGATTGAAAAATGACAGAAAAAGTTTTAGTTTCTTTATTCAAAGTAAAGATTTTCTTTACCAAAGAAACTTCTCTTTCTTTTTTAACCAAAAAGAAAGTATTTCCTTTAAACTTGATCAGTTTTCTAAAAAAAAAGTACCTCTTTTTTATTCTCTTTTAGTCTTATTTAATATACCCTAATTGTACTTTAAGTATTAATTTTATAGTATTCGGATATACTTCCACACACCGTAGCAGAATTCGAAAACGTTTTAAAAAATCCCTAGTCTTTACTAATTGAGTTTAATATAAATATAAAAATCTCATTTGTTAATAATATACCTTTATAGAAAAAGCTAAGAGAGCTTTTCGAATAAACTTTTAATTAATCTATATCTTCTCTTAGTGGTTTTTTCGTGCAAAATTTGCACTTATTTACAGGATTTTTTATTAAAATGACTCTCGTTAGAGTACTTTTTTTTCTTGGGAAGAAAGTCAGTTTTATTTCTTAGTAATTATTAACTTACTTATTCATAGACTACAACTATCTATTGAATTTTTCATTAAAATACTAATTTGCCTATGATCATTCTTATTCTTGATAATTTTCTAGATAACATGATAAAGATCAGCATGACATATATATTTATTATCAAAAATTCATCATTAACATTTGTTATCATAATGGAGCTAGATAAAACTGTATATAAATTTTGCTGAGTATTATAATGTGATTAATTAGGAGAGGATGTTCGCCGAGTCGAAGGAATTTGCAATGAAAGCATCGACAACTGGTTGTCCATTTATGAAAATTTTCTTTGGTTTTCTTGCGTTTTCAACATCCTTCTCTAAAGCACAATCAATAGAAGATGACTTTCCACCTTTTAATGCAAGCTTAGTGAGACCAAACGTTTATCTAAGAATGACATATCAGACCACAGTACCTATGTTACTTTCTTGCTTAACCTTGGAAGATATCGATGGCTATGTAAAGGTTCATACAGATGATACAAAGATTGCAACAGTAGCCCCAAATCATGTGAATGTCAGTTGTCAGAATGAACCATTTAAAATGGTAAATCTAACTGTTCGTGGAGTTTTTATTGGAAGAACAAGATTGAGAGTGAAAACGTACAACATTTCGAATATCGAACAAGGGGAACATAATATTCCTGTAGTTATTATGGTACCCAATAGAATGCTAACTGGAATCTTTATTGTTTGTGTTATATTCTTTATGCTACTCTTAAATTTCGGATTTGGATGTAAGTTAGAAGTAGATGTTATAAAAGAGATTATTAAGAAACCTATACCTCCGTTGATAGGATTTTTATGTCAATCTGCTCTTATGCCATTAGTAAGTATGGTTTGTATAGTTTAAATTGCAGAGTTAATATATTCTCATTCTTAGATCGGTTTAGCTCTATCAAAGGCAATGAGAATGAGTAATGATATTGGTTTCGGAATATTGGTATTAGCGGCGTCTCCTGGTGGTGGTGGTAGTAACGTTTGGACTTTAATGTTGGGTGGGGACTTAAATTTAAGTTTATGTATGACCTTCTTCAGTAAAATCGCTGCACTCTGTAAATATTTAGTACAATATAAATACATTAAATTAACTATTAAATCTATTAATATATTCAAATTTTTCATATTAGTTATGATGCCTTTTTGGTTGTTTGTTCTTGGACGAATGTACGAATACGAGTCTGCAAATATACCATTTAGAAGCATTGCTACTGGTTTAGTGACTCTTATCGTACCAGTTTTACTTGGTTTGGCTTTGAGAAAGTGTAAACCAAGCGCTGGAGAATTTGTTATAAAATGCCTTAAGCCTCTGGCTTTAATATTTGTCATATTTGTCATTGTATTTGGCAGTATAACAAATAAGTATATTTATCAAATGTGGGGAATGCATTGGTACCTGGTTCCTGGATCATTACTCTGCATATATTTTGGTTATACTCTCGGCTATCTAATAGCCAGGTTAACACGACAAGGGCACAGAAAAGCTCTTACCATTGCTATAGAAACGGGAGTTCAAGATACTGGTATCGCAATAGTTCTCCTTCAAGGTGCATTCAAATTTCCAATGGGAGATTTAGCAGCGTCCGTTCCAATGACAGCAGCGCTGTTTACCCCTGTTCCTCTACTCTGTATTCTAATAGGAATGCGTATAAGATATTGCTGTCAAGAAGGTAGATGCGTCTTACGACCTCAAAACGCAGTTGATTCTGAAAAAGTCGATATTGAGAAAAAGAGTCCTGAATGTGCAATAAGCACAATAGATATAGATGATAATTATAAATTAGAAAAGAAGGAAGATCCTCAGGAATTATATACTATAAAATTGTAATGTATCAATGCAAATATTCTTAACTATTTATTAAATATAAAAATCATATTTTCTACTTATGAATCACAGAAACTAGTAGTTTAAATGGTAATTTCATTATTCAGTTAGAAGAGATTTTTAAGCTTAGCTCTTTTTGATATAAGATATGAAATTGTACCATAAAGGTTTATAGATTATAAATAATGTTTTTATTTCAGTGTATTTTTATAGAATAAACTTAATCTTAATTAGTCGGTTTCATGTTTCATAATCATTTCTATAGTAGACGTCCTCTATCAAAGGCAATAACTGTTATATAAATTTCTTAAATATTATTCCAAATTGTTGACTGGACAGAGCAGTTTATGATAGAACTATGCAATCATCACGGAGTATGATATAAAGTATTTTGAGAACTATTACAAAAGATGGTCCTTTTCCTATAAAAAGCAAAACTCTGATGAGTCGGGAGAGATGACCACATCAACTGCTTAAAGCAGAATAGTTATATTTATATTTTCACTATTTGTAAAAGCATAATCTAGTGAAATATCTTCTGTATTAATTGTTAAGCAATTAGATATATCTTTCATAATTATTAATTTAAAAATGTTTAAAATTTTGGAATTGTAGATATCGCCTCTTTCAACATTTGTTTATCGATGTTGAGCTATGAGAATCTACTTTTTGTATTTTCAATGGCCCTTGATTGCTTTTGTACCAACTATTTTCCTTTGAACTATCTTATTTAGTATTCTAATTATCAGAAAATCAGAGTTTTTTCATGTATAATGAAGCATACGAGATTAGGTTTTTCACTCTGTTGATTACCTAATTAAACTTGCAACGATATAAATTTCTTATTTTATCTACAGAAAATCAATATGCTATTTACAAAAAAAGAGATATTTATTTATTAATAAACCAACAATAAACATTAAAATCAATCAATTACTTGCCATATTTTCATTATGGTAAAAATGATGTCCAATTAATTCTTTAATAACTGGATACGTTGCGTTAGTCCTGATTGAACGATCGCAAAAATGTGTTTTACATGCTTGATAGTTTGCTGAACGAAGCAGCTCAACTATTTTTCTAGATCTGTAATTATTATTTAAATAAATATTCAGATAAATATAATAAAATATATTGGATTAATAGACGATAATTAATATTAGATCCATAGCCTTAAGAATCACCTTGGTAAATTCATATCCTTTAAATTTAATTTATGAAGATTTAAATAAAACATAGGCGCTGTAGAAGAATTGTCAACGGTCTCTTCCCTTTCCCTCTTGCCTGTAGAAATATCTCCTTTATTAGTTTCTTCCGAAAAAAGTTCATCTTCCTTTTTATTTGTGTCTGGACAAACACTTTCTAAAAGAAGAACTTTTGTTAGGTGCATAAAATCATCATCAATAGGTAGAGTTTTCTTCAAGTCATTAGAATTAGAGATAAAGCTCTTAAGAAACGCCTGATTATGAATAGAACCAACCCTTAAAAAGAAATGAAAAAAGTATTAAATGATAATTTTAATATTCTCGTTTAAATATCCACCACATTGGTCCTATTTCAACACCCATTTTTGCTGATGAATCTTGATAACATGGGCAGTCGAGTAACTTGTAAGGATTTTCTATGAACAAATTATTTTTTAATAAATCAAATTGCTTAAGTCAAAGTTACCAGGTGGGTGATGAGATTCAGGATGAATTGTCCATTGTTGACAAAAGCTGCAATGTATAACTCTCTTAACCTTGAAAAAAAATTGATTATTATAATTAGCTTTAATTTTTTTTTAATAATATTTGTTTTTACGTTTGTTAAGCTGTTATCGGCTTTTAACGCTCCTCTCAAAACTTGAACGGCGACTTGAATAAAATGACCAACAGCAACAGAATAAAGAATTCTGACTCCTTTATTGCATCTTGCCAAAGTTCTGAAATAGATTAGGGAGTGTTTGAAACATTAAAAGTACAAACTGCATGTAATTATATCTTTATAATATCTTTAAAATAACTCTATGTTAACCTGCAAATAGCCCCTATAAGAATTCTCACGCCAAGTTCTTTGATATAATCACATTTGAAAGTTGTTGCTTGATAATTACGTAGTAGAACTGAGGGAGCATTCCCGAATAATGCTGCTATATCTGTTGCTGTAACTACAATAATTCCTTTGTTATAAGTATTTCGGCAAGCTGCCTCTAAAAAATGAACAGGACATCCAAACGGGTCAAGATGTCTAAGAGAGAAAAATGGAACGACAAATCAGATAAGCATATCATTTAATAAAAAAAAATAATTTTATGTCTTACACAAAGTGATACTGTTTGGAATGCATTAAAACGTTAGCATCTTGTTGGGTTATTATCACTGCATTATCATCAATGGTTTTTTCATTTTCGACAAATTGAACATTATTTAGAATACAATTTGTTTTAATAGAACTTATGGAATCTTCCTTTATATCATTCATTGTTACTTCAACATTATCAACGTATTTATTCCACAACATACCCGAAATTCCTTTAGAACAATAATATCATCAGCTATTAGCAACATATTATTTCAAGTTTTGCTATTTACCGGTAGCTGAAAATGCATCTAAACATTTTAACTTTCCATTATATTCCAATGTGTTGCGTAGCGTTCGTAAGCAAATTAGAGACAGTAATCTAAAAAGTAATTTGCGTTAAGAGCGATAATAAGGATGCACATTACCACACTAAACAAGGATTCACCTATTATATTGCATTTTATCATTGTAAAAAGATGACTTTGTTGATGGAGATGAACTATCATAATTCACCAATACTTTTATGCCGAATTCTAATATTTCCTTTGTCTCGATTTCATCATTTGATGGAGATTTTTTATTGTTTTTCCGACCCATACTTGTGCTTATTGATTTAATCTCCTTAAAACGAATGAAGATCGTTCACCTAATCAAATCTTTTAGCTTAACAAGCGTTTTTTATAAGCAGCTATTTAAATCTAACTCCGGCATGGTGAAAAAAGCTTCTAATATGGTGACTTGTAAAATTTCGATTTTAATAATATAATTTCGGGCACGGAACTAGAAGCCATATTATCTGCTATTGTTACCAATGATAAAATCTTGGCTTATTTTTCTTTTCTGATAATTAAGTCCGATAAATTATTCAGGTACAAAAATTCTTCAGAATTGAATATCGAACCTAGGCAAATATCAATTGTAATTATTTAGTAAACTACTTAATTTTATTATTCGAATTTACCGGTCATTTTTTTGCTTAAAGTTCAGAAAAACTTTTGGAATAAAAAAGGTCAAGGCCATATATGTAAGTAACATTTGCCATGTGGGCTTTACTTTTAAATACTGCAAAGAACGGGTTTGTTATTAGAAGAATACCACATAAAGGTATTTATTATTTGCCGGTTTACATTTTCTAATGATCATTTTACGATGAATTAAGAAATATATTAAAATATTTTATTATTGTGTATTATCGTCCTGTTACATGTAGTATCATCAGACTCGTATGACATTGAACCTTAAAGTGTTAATCGCATTTCCTACTATTTTTATAGCATTCAGTGTTTACTCTACGATAAGTGGTCCGATCAGGTTAATTGGGAAAAATGACAAGTGAGATTTTCATTAGACACTGTTCCTTTTTCTTACAAATTCATTCTAATGTAGGATATTGCACGAAATTGCACATAATCGAGAGCTTCTGTCAAATATTCTATCAATAAACGCAAGACATTTACATACATCTCAATCACTGCTTAAAAAGGATGAATCTAAAGTAGAACAAGCTGTAAAGGCTTTAAAAGAAAGTGTAGAAGAGCAAACAAAAGATGGCAAAGACGAAAATGAGCAAACAAAGTCCTTATCGACTAGAACAGTGGAAAGTGTAAAACCGGCAACCGTGATCCCGAAAAAGAAATTAAGCCAACGAATTATTGATGAAGTAAAGCATTATTACCATGGATTTCGATTGTTATTTATTGATGTTCGTGTTTGCTCTCGTTTAATTTGGCAAGTGCTAAATGGAAAAACGTTAAGTAGACGAGAGAGAAGACAAGTAAGTTTATTTAATCATTTAATTTCACTGTATCATATAACGGTCATATTTTGCTTATCATTATACCAAAATTAAATAAAAATTTTACTGTTCAGCTCGTTACAACGACTTCTGACCTATTCCGCTTGGTTCCATTTCTTGTATTTATGATTGTTCCTTTCATGGAATTCTTAATACCGGTCGCTCTTAAACTTTTTCCAAATATGTTGCCTTCAACTTTCCAAGATGAGAATCGAGAAGTATTTACAATCGCTGGTGTACAGCACAATAGTACAAATAAAGAGTATTTAACAGAGTGAGAAAATAAAGAAAATGCTAAAAGTTCGACTCGAAATGGCAAAGTTTCTACAGGATACTATCGAGGATACAGCTCTAACGAAAAAGAGAGCTGGAAAAATAGATGAAGATGAAACAAAGCTGGAAGAATTCCATAAATTTATTGAATCTGTAAGAAAATGTTTTTTATAAAAAAAAACTAAAAATAGTTCACTTGTGATTTTATACCGAATCACTGATGAACCCTAGAAATTAATTAAAGAACAGGATAACTCTTATATAAAATTTATAGAACTGGATAATTTAAGTTTTCAATTGCTATAAAGATGCGTTAATATTAGTTATTGCTTATTTGCAGATCAGAACTTCAGGTACTCTTGTTTCTAATGAACAAATTCTCAAATATTCGAAATTATTCGAAGATGACATTACATTAGACAGTCTTAATCAAGGACAATTAAAGGTACTAAAAAATAAATTTTTCCAACAAGCCTATAGTAACTATGCATTTTCTGTTTATTTATAGGCTTTATGTCGTTTATTGGGAATCCCTGTGCTGGGAAATAACACTCTTCTTCGTTTTCAACTTAGAATGAAACTTAGGCAATTGGAAGCTGATGACAGGGTAAATTCTTATAGGCTTCTCCTTGTAGCAAGAAATTAATAAATTTAATTTTTTTTTCACATTTAGATGATAAAAAATGAAGGCATAGACTCCTTAACTATTTGGGAATTGCAAGATGCTTGTAGAGCTAGAGGAATGAGAGCTCTTGGTCTTTCTGAAGAAAGATTGAAATCGCAATTGGCATCTGTAGGCATTACTATTATTATTATGATATAATATAATTTTTTTATGTTTAGTGGCTTGATTTGCATTTGAATAATCAAGTACCCGCTTCACTGCTACTGCTATCAAGAACTTTGTTTATGGTTGAAAATCTCTCAACTGAAGCGCAATTGGCAGCAACATTATCAGAGTTACCACACCAAACTGTAAGAACTTATTTCATTTCTGTACTTGGTATATTAATATCTTGTTCTTATTTTCAGGCTGATAGTGCTAAAATTAAAATCACTGAGGCAATTGGAGAGCGTATTGACAATAAGACTAAATTAGAGCTCATTAAGAAAGAGGAGGCTGCAATTAAAGCTGAAGCAAAGGAGATAGCGGAAGAGGAAGCCAAAAATAAAAAAGAAGCTGAGCAAGCTGAAGCTGAGTTGAAGGAAAAAGAGGTTTAAATTTCTGTTAAATAATATAACAGAGTCCTTTCTGTTTATGCCTGATATTTTACCCCAGACTTCCACCGAAAAAGTTATTGATGAAAAACTGATTAAAAGTGATGTTGAAGATATTCTTGTTGACAAAGCAGAAGAATTGAAATCTTCACCTCAAGAAGGTTTGATATATATTATACAAATCCCCTTAGTTTTATTTCTCTTTGTGAACAGTCCTCATAGACAAAGCTGAGGACGTTGCAGAATCTGAAAAAGATGAAGAAATTACCACAACTGATCTAGAAAAGGTTGAAACTGTGCTTGAAAAAATTGCTGAAGAAAAAGTTTATGAACTTGAAACAAAAGAACTAAAAGAAGATGTTGAAGAGTATGATCGAGACTTAGCTGAGTTGAAAGATGTTGTCATGACAACTGGAACTTCTGAAGAGCTACAAGAAACTTTAGCAGCCAAGAGATTACGTTCTCAGGTCAATAAGCTTATTAATCAAATAGATACAGTAGTCACGGATTTCCATAAAGAAAAAGCAGAAATTATAGAAGCAATAGAAGTTAAGGAAGTAAAAATGAAGAGAAATTTAAATCTATTGGAGGATCAAGAGCAAAGACAAAACATCCAAGATCAAATTAATAAAAAAAAGTATATATTATTTATATTGATTAGATTTTTCTTGTACGCGTTTACTTATATTATAATTATTTGATAGGGAAAATCTTATAACAATTAATGAATTGATGCTTGGTATGAAGAGACTGCAGAAATTAGATGATGATACAAAATTTCAAAAGATCGCGGAAGTGTTAGATGAAGATGGGGACGGAGCTATTGATCTTGAACATGCAATGAAAGTATGTATAAATTATAAATAGTCATCTTATTATTAATTTAAATATAATTGTTTGTCCTTGTTTTAAAGGTAATAGAATTATTAGGAAAGGAAAATGTAAAAATTGGATCCAGTCAAATTGCAGAAATAGTTAGTATCCTAAAGAAGGAAGCTGTTTTAGAAGAGGAAGATAAGAAAAAAGAGAAAGAACAGATAGAATCACAGGACAGGCAGATTTAAGCATACCATTAAGAGTGAATATTTGTACTTTTACCATATGTTGTTAAGTAAATTAAGTACAGTTCCATTTTCGATTATTACTGTTTTTGCTTAGAAAATGAATGTGAATTATAGACTGTAAATATAAGTGAACACTTTTTGTGCCGCACAATACTTCGTCTTTCAGTAAGATTTTGTATGCAAGTGTGGTTAATGAAAGAATCAAAAAAATATTTAAAAAACCTCAAGAACTGCTTATTTAATTATATTTATCTGAATGTTTAAAGGTTCGTTTACTTTGTGTCTATCGTTCGATGTTTGTAATCGTATTAACTTCAACTATCGGAAGAGGGTGACGGACATCGCATAGTTCCAACGCCATCTCTATGCCTACATCCAAAGTAACTGCCATGTACACTTGGTAGTATGGAATCATAATTTATTTTATACATTGGTCCTGGTATTACTGAGGAATATGTGGGTGGTTCATGCCTTGATTGAATAGAAAATGCCGGAGCATCAAGTTTTGTTTTATGTCCTAGTTGATAACGAGGGCAGTCGTTTGACTGAAAAGTAAAATAATTTCATTAAAGATTCCAATAAAAAAGACAGGTAAAGACTTTCAATGTTTTTGCTTTCCATCTTCCTGACAAAGAAAATGATGGGCCTTTACCCAGAGTAGATGAGATACAGTATCTATTAGGTGCAGGAGAATCTTCATTTTTAACTTTTGGATAATTCTTAGACTGTATTGTAAAAGCTGGCTGAGAACGATATAATTTTGAATCACTTGGACCAATGTTTCGCAGTTTAGGATCTGCTAAAGAAAAGTAATTAAACTTTCTTCTATGACAGAAATGTTTCTAGATGTACCATCTCGTTTTAAAGATTGAAAAAAATTTCGACCCTTTATGGAAATTTCTGGACCTTTATTAACTCCTGTATTTGTTAAAAACTTAGCGATCATTACTTTTCCCGGTCCAGGACCACACCCAATTTCTAAACAATTGTAATAATGGTAATTATTCTAAAAAAACCGGTAATTTAAGAACTATAACCTTCCTTAGTCTTTATTTTGCCTGCAATAGATATAGCCGGAGCTCGTTTCTTGGTTACATCGTGACAGTCATAGGCAAAAGTCGATGGAAGAAGGTAAGCAGCTGGTCCTGGTCCAACTAGACAACTATTTTCCATATAGTTCTACTAAGATATTGAATTTTTTACCTGAGCTATTTTTAAATACGTGAAAAGAGCACATTTCAAAGAAATGATAACTCTAGAATAAAATAGTTAGAAACATATAGATTGCAATGTTATGTATTAAACTCTCAATCAAAACAAAAAGGATGGGATATTTTTAGGAATATTATTTAAATATATATTCTGATGTCATTATTCTATTTCCATTGCCGAACTTTCAACATTTTTAGTTTGTTTTTTCTTTGTGGGAGTTTTCTTTGTTGTCTTTTCTTGTGGTTTGACTTCCATCATCTCTTCATCTACAAAAAGAGTATATTTTACATCTTGCTATTTTAACAGAAATAAGTTGAGTAGCTTATAAGAGATCATATACTTACCATTTGTAGGGTTTGAACCTGTTTTAGAATGCTTCAATCGTTTTAAGATCCTGCGCTTCTTTTTACCAGAAAGGGATACCTTCGCATGGGGATTAGTTCTGAAAGATTTGAGAATAAACCCAATTTTATATTAGATGTTAGACAGCCGAACCTTCTCTTTTTTAAAATATCTTCAGTGATTATTTCTTTATTAGGTATATCAGTTTTAATATTTGCTTTAAGTTTCCTGGCTTTAACATTATCTTTATGCTGAAACACATGGTTTTTTAAAGGGCGATAATATAAAAACTAAATGTTCTTTGACTAATTCAGACTTACTGCCTTTCTCCGGCGACCCATTTCGCACAAATAATTTCAAATAACTGTTGCTTAAGTGTTTTGAAATGTAAAGAATAATAATATTTAAAGAATTAAGTTTCGAATTGGAATTAAAGCTGTAGTACTTTTAAAATACGTAGTAAAAACTGGTGTTATTCAACTCACTGTTAAGAAAACCTTCTTAAAAATAATTTTTTTTTCAATGTTTCACATTAATAAATTATCAAACAAATCAAAATTATTAATTACTTTTTACAGATTAACTCTAATTAACACTTTTTGACTATTTCTTTGAGTTATTATATAACTAATATATAACAGTGCGAGCCTAATTCTGGCGCTCAGTTTTACTAATTTTTACACTTCCGGTAGTTCGAAGCCGCATAAAGCATTTTTTTAAGTTCTTTTTTAGGCATCGAGCGAATAGATTCTTGTATTTTTTAAAAAGACACTTTATAGTAAAAACGATGGGTGTAAGTTACAGTAATTAAAATGTTTTAATTCGGATCATTGAGAGTTCGTTTTTTCAGAAACCGTCAAAAAAGCGAAGCAAAGAAAAAAAAGAAAAATGGAAATTTGTTAGTTTAAATAATATGTAATATACCTATTAAAATATATTTTGTTCTTTAAATAGGAATCTGGAAAGATTGCTCAATCTCAAAAGTTAGTGGCTGATGCCAATGAAGTAAGTTTTATAAAATATTTCTCTAATCTTTAACTATTAATTTAATAGATTGCAGATCCTATGACTCTGATTGAACCGTTTCGAAAATTTGATAGAAATGGGTAAATTTTATTTAGCTGTCTAAAATTCCACTCTGATTGATATCCAATTCAGGTTGACTATTAATATATCTTGCGAATGGGCAGCGAAAATGGACGTGAAATGTCGTGATTGGGCAATTAATTTAACAAGAAAAAATATGAAAGAACTGTTAGTATTTTTATTCTGTTGACATGAAATAGTAAAATAACTAAATTTTTATAGGTATGAAGCATGTGAATGGGGATGGAACGACAAAGCAAAGAAATCTGAAATGGAAGAAGATGCTGCTCGATATCTCATTGCCAGAGACGAAAAAGGCGATCCGCAGGCCTGCGTTCACTTTCGCTTTGATTTGGATGATGATATCGAAGTCGTATACTGGTTTGTAAACTTAAACTATAAAATCAAATAATGGTATATTAAAAGATTTTTCAGTTATGAGATTCAGCTCGAAGAGTCTGTGAGAAGAAAAGGACTAGGCAAGTTTCTCATGCAGATACTGGAATTGCTAGCATTAAAGTAAGTAAAACATAACGACTGGCATTAGTTAAACGGTGCATAAATTTCAGAACTGGAATGAAGAAAGTTGTTGCTACAGTTTTGAAGCATCACGTAGTTTCAAAATCCTTCTTTGAAAAATTGAAGTTAGCTTTCAATCTATTATATCATTATTTGCAGAAATTAAGATGTCACAAATAAAATTTCAGGTATCAGCTCGATGACACAAATCCTGATGATCAGATATCTTCAGTCGTTAACAACGTCGAATATTGCTACATAATCGTTAGCAAAATCATTCCAGTAAAGAAAGCGTGAAACATTTCATTGTACTGTTGATATATATGCCTTTTTTGTTAGAAATACAGTTATTTTAACCAAGTTCAAAATAAATTACACAGCAATCACATGTTTTTAAATGCTATCAAGTTTTTATTAGATTAATTGCACTTTTTATAAGTATTTCACAGACTTAAAATGTCAATTAATCATGATATACTTCAGAATGACCATTTCAAAAGGTGATTTGGAGATGAATTCATAAAACATAACAAATTTTATTTAACTATCCTTAATATCTACATAAATATATATATATACCAAATTTTGTTTATTTGTATATACAAGTAAATATAACCGATATATACAATGTATATATATATATAAATATATATATTATATCAATAGGTACGTACGTATTAACGCCTGGCACAAAAGAATCACGTGGAAATTCATACACGTTTCAAGTGTGACCGACGAAATGAAAAAATATATATCCTACTTTAATTCATGACAAATTATACAAAGCACTAACTCTAAGCGTAAAGACTGAATCTCAAACAATTCACCACCTGACAAGATAATTCAAAACATGTGTTAGGTGTACAAATGTAGAATATCAGTTCTTATCACATCGGAGTTATTCGTTGTTACAAACGTTTTACTGTTAGATAACTGATATATCGTTTATAAATTGATATACTTAAATGAAATAATAAGTACGATTTATTGAGAGTGACCCAGTCTCACGTACATAGAATAAGTGCAAAATATACAGAGCAAAAGCGAGAAGAAACTTTTGAAAGACTAAAAATCACTTTACTGTTTCTCCTCCCTTGGTTTTCCCGTACCAAATATACTAGCATTTCTCTTCACCTCATCGTTTTGATTAGCATCCTTGCTTCTTGGCTGGAGTTTCAACTTGGGTCTAGCTGCAGCCGAGCTAGGACTCGGTTCGCGAAAGTCTGTTTGCCCTCCAGGTCTACTTCCACTATCACGTCGTTCTCGACGATTTGAACTAAATGACGCCGTTTGGCGAAATTGCCCACCTCCCCCATGATTTCCACCAGCTGCTTGACCACCTCCTCGTCCGCGTTCAAATCCTCCTCTATATGATTGGTTTGCTGGGGCGCGCCCTCGATTACTGCGACCTCCTCGAGAGTCATTTCTTTTGTCACTTGCAACATCCACTCGAATTTCACGTTGTTCGAATAACTGTACAATGTGTTTAGTTTAGTAAATGCGACTTACTACTTAGCCAATTAATACATTGACGAAACTAATTTTTGGTAATTTTTAATAAATTATAATTTATCTATTGAAATTTTTTTTGCCAAGATAACTTAGTTTTTTTTTCAATTTACCTATATACTAGTTTTATCTTTCAAAGGTGTAAAGTTTTAACATTTTAAACAGGATTTAGAATATTATTAGGTAAAGTGCTCAGACTTTTTTTAAGCAATAAAAACAAGATTTTCTACTGAAATTTCATGTAGGACTTTTTTTTTATAATAAAATAATTAAGCTAAACTAAATAATAATTAATAAAGGTATATGGAATAATGAAATACTTACGGCCCCATTGTAAGTTAAAGCTTCTTTCAAAGACTTGAGATCAGTAAACTCGACGTAAGCGAAACCTAGGAAATAGCATTTCATCATTTTGAGAATCACCGACATAACATTTTAAAGATTATTACCTTTGAATTTATCTGTTTCTTTATCTCTTACTAATCGTACACTCTTAACAGACAACTTAACAAACATTTGATCTATGTCTCCCTGAACTAAACCGTCAGGCAGATTTCCAACGTAAGCTGTATAAGGTGGTTCCTGGGGAAGTGGTCGAGATCCATTGCCACCTCCTCTGTATCCTCCGTAATTTCCCCTCCTTTGTCCACCTCCGAATCTGAACAATTTTTCAGTTAGTAATTTAAAAATTTGGATTATTTTTTTAAAAGTAAATTTGGATATAGTGACACAAATATATGCATGTTTTCTCATGCTCTGACTTACTGTTACACTTTTTACCAATTCATTATAGAATAGAATGGCGAAAATAAATAGCTGACGAAAACGTGATATAGTCAGTCACATGGTATCTCAAAACATGCTTGTTATGAGACCTAATGTTCAACTCTTTACTCAATTAATTATATAAGGATAACTAGTTTGAATAAAAACCATAAAATAAGTTCTTGTTTATTTATTAGAAAGATAACCAAGTTCGTTTTTACGGCTTTTTTAACACGCCTCTTACATAAACCATCAGTGCAACTTATAGGAGTCATTAAAAAAAATTTTAACATGCTAGTCTCTTGGTAGTAATTAATTTCTCTATGTCAAAAACCAAAATAATTTGTAATTTACAGTTTTTACCCTGAATTTTCCAAATTAGCAGCTTGATTGTAATTCCGAGAGTCGGCCATTTTGAGTCGGCCTATTCGCGCATGTGCACTTGATACTTTTCCAGAATTATAGAACAAAAAGAAAATCAAAATGGCAGATATATTGTCATTAAGGCAGTCATGTCTATTTCCATAATTTATAAAAAGTAGTACATGTAGATGAAAGATTTTTGGCGGAAAATTATCATTTACTTCAAGTTTATTAAGACATTTTTTTAGAATAAGCTATTCACCAATGACAAACTAAATAATTTATTTTATTATCCAAGCAAACTTTTGGTAAAAGTTGAGAATACTCAATGAAAAATATTTATGCTTCACACTAAGTCCTATAGATCACGCTATTATCGACTGAAACATTTTACGATTGCAGAAATAATAATCCTAAACAGCAGGCTTCTGCCAAAACTAATTTGTGTTTTTTTTCGAAATACTTAAATATACCGTATTAAGAAGAAAGACTAGGATCTGCTATGCTTCAAAAAGACTTTGTTGAAACGTGTCATGGATGATTTAGGTATTTTTATTCTTAATTGAACATTCTAATTACATACCATTATTCATGTAATCCTAGGCCTATTTTAATCATAATCTTTCGAGAAAGGGTTTTGCAAACATTATTGTAAACTAAATAAAATCATTCTTCAATGTTATTCTATTTATCAAGAGTTTGTCTTTGAGAAGTTAATTGTTTTATTAAGAAGACTTAATCCCTTTCACTATGAATATTTAAACAACAAAGGTTACCGTGAAACTTAATATTTTTTAAGATAATCTTTATTTAGAACTTAAAAGAATGTTTCATTTCTTTCTCATTAATTGTCCAATTTTGCTTCTACGAAAGAGAGCTTATTCTTTTTATGAATATTTAATCGTATATAATACTGCTTAACCGATATATTGCTTTTAATTGATCAAAAAATGTAATTGACTTACAAAGTCAACCAAAGTTAGAAGTGAATAAGGCCTATATAATGCGATCCACAAATAACTATAATTTTAGCTAACATAGCCATTTTTATTTGTTCTCGTCAACATGATATTGATCATATCCTGATAATATATCCATACCAATTAATGAACATATCAGTTAGTTATTTCGTATTAAAAGAGACATAGCTTTTTAACTTCATTATTTTTTTAATATTAAAATCTTATCACAAGAAATTTTTATTTCTTAAAGAAAACAGTAGCTTTGTGTTTTTTTAAATACAAGTTTTGAAAGATAATATGAGATAACTTACTGATCTTTTTTTTACATATAGTTAATTGATATACTGTGTATTAATACAAGCATAGGGTATGTATAACAAGTCCTTTCTTTTATTCTTATGAGCTTTTTTTTGAGGCATGAAAAGCTTATTTGCACGCAATTTATATCCTTCAGAAAAAGATAAAAAGATACCACTGCTTAAATTATAATTATTTATTAATTATTAATTGATTTAATAATACTTTTTTGAACAGACGAACTTTTAGACGCTCTTCAAGCTAGTAGTAAATTACATCCGAATGGAATACAGCGTAATTCTATGGGTAAATGATATTTACTATTTACAGTATATTCTGATATTTACGAAGACTATTGTGCAATATCTAATTCACAGATGAAATGAGTTTACCAAAACCTTGTAACCAAAGTTTGAATGCCGACTACGACTTTCCAGATGAAGACTTTCCAGCTCCTCCTCCAGAAATTTTAGCCGAGCCGAAAACTGGAGAGGAAAACTCAAAATTGGGTAAAAACCTTAACGAGTTGGATAATCTATTACGTGATTTATCATCAGCTCAGTTTCATGCTCAAATTTCGCAAGAAGGTTTCATGCAATTTAGCCTTAAGTTACGCAGTCATAACATTTTGTTTGTAGATAATGGAAAGATTAAACCTGATAAACAAAATACTATGGTAAAAGATCCGTCTGTAAATACAATGCTATCTCAACTGGAGGAGGATTTAGAATCGCGCAATGACACTTCTAATGTTTACAACAAAATACGGCCGGATAGCACTGGTGGAGGATCTTCCGGAGCAAGTAGCGGTACAGCTCTTTCGGCTACTCAAGAACTAGATACACTTCTTGAATCTTTAAATGACTTTCAAGTTTGTAACAGTTTTTATAAGCCTCTTTATGTAAACAACTAATGACAAGATATTAAGTTACTTAAGTCACTATGAAATACGTTCAGATCAGTCAACAATCTTCTAATGCAAAACCCATAGAAGTGGAGAAACAATCGAATGAAGTAAGTGACCTTTTTCTGTTTTCCCTCCCACTCGAAATTATTTCTCTATGAAAAACTTTATGAATTACCGTTACGCTAAATAAGTAAAACTTAATCACTCACCTAACTGCTACTGAGAAAAGACTCTTAGATAGGGAATTATAGATAATAAAAATAGAAAATATTGTTATTGTCGAAAGTTGTCTTTATTATATTTCTTGTAATATCATAATGTCATCTAAAGGAACCAATCTACTCCGTTCCAAAGAAATGGAAGGATAGAGAATTAAAAGCTTTATCCTCTTCTGATGAACAGGTCATTTAAGAAATTTCTTTTAAGCCTTTTTTCGCATGTAGAAGTATTTTGTTTTGTATACATTTTCTGACTTAATGTTTTTTGCCCTCCTTATTCTATACTTTGTCTATTTATTTTCCAAATTAAGTGTTTTCAATTAATAGTATAATAAAAACACTTAATTTGCTTCCGTTGCCACCTTATTGTTGCATGTGTACCGAATGATATCCGCACAGATTAGACTATATATGTATAAATATACTCTTTCAAATTTATATATACTTGTTAAATTTATGTTATTACTTTGCCAAACATAACTATACTTATACAGCATACAATCGATTTATATGTAATATTCCTTTGAAATATTTCCCCCTTTTTTATTTACAGATTAATTTATTGTTTTTAAATAAGTATTTTCTTGAATTTTTAAATGAATGCTCTGTTTAAACAAGTTAAAGAAAATTCAAGAAAGTCAAAAATATATTGTTGTTCTTATTAGCTCTAAACTTTCTAATTGACTTTAAAAGAGTTTTAAGAATGTTTTCTATTTTTAACCTTAGCCTGCAAACAACGTAGATCAACTGGATAATATGTTGGGTAACTTGCAACAGGATATGATCAAGCAAGGAGTACAAATGATACCAAAGGGTCATTGTGCCGCTTGCACTAATCCCATTATTGGACAAGTAAATATACTCTTTTAAGTGCCTTCCAGGAAAAGATTAACATTATCTATTAAAAAATTTGCTTCTTTACAGGTTATTACCGCCTTGGGTTTTATGTGGCATCCCGAACACTTTGTATGCTATCATTGTAAAAAAGCTTTGGGAACGAATACTTTTTTCGAAAGGGATGGAAAACCATATTGCGAGCATGATTACCATCTTTTATATTCACCCCAATGCGCAGCTTGTAGCGATCCTATTTTAGATGTAAATATTGTCATCTTTATTATTTATTTTTATATTCATTAAGAATTTTATGAAATGTTATATAATTATAATAAATTTTATAGCATTGTCTAACTGCCCTAAATAAAACCTGGCACCCTGAACATTTTTGTTGCACGAATTGTGGCCAATCTTTTGGGACAGAAGGTTTTCACGAAAAGGATGGTAAACCATTCTGCAGGTAATTTTAAATTTAAATTAACTATTAAGTTAATTTTAAAGATATTTACTTATATTATCCAATACAGAAAGGATTACTTTGAAATGTTTGCTCCTAAATGTAGCAGTTGTGATAATGTGATACGAAACAATTACATTTCCGCTTTAAATAAACACTGGCATCCAGAATGTTTTGTATGTCAGGTAATTTATTGGAGTTGTAAATAATTGCTATTAACAATCTTATTGTCATATTATATATCTAGCAGCAAAGTTTATTATTTCAATTCCACAGGAATGCCGTAAACCTTTCGGGAAAGGAAGCTTTTTCGAGTATGAAAAATTACCATATTGTGAAACAGATTTCTATAAAGTGCGTGGTTCTATCTGCGCCGTTTGTCAAACTGCTATTGCTGGCCGTTGTGTTACGGCTATGAATAAGAAATTCCACCCTGATCATTTTAGATGCCAGTATTGCAATAATGTATTAAATAAGGGCACATTTAAGGAACAAGACAGCAAGCCCTATTGTCACGCCTGCTTCATAAAACTACATGGGCTCTAAAGAGAGAAAGACTCAGCGTTCTACTTAATTCTTTTCTTGTTAGATAATTTAATTGAAATACGAGAATCGCTATTCATCGAGCTTTTTTTAATTTTTTTATATTATATAGTAGATAATACCTTTTATTAGTTAATTTTTTAATATGTTTATGTTTATTATGTCTTACTGCATTTATTGGTGCTATTATCAAGTTCGATTAAGGAAATATAATGTTTAAACGAGCTTATAATAAGCAACTTTTGTATTAGCTTGGCTTTTTTTTCATGAAATACAGTTTTAGTACAAAACAATGGTATTACAATATAAATTTATATATATATATGTATATATTATTGCTATTACAGTAATTTGGTTATTCCCCTTATTACCTTCAGCGCTTTAATTAGGTTAATATTTTAGGACGAAAAAAATGACCAATAGTCCTATCTCAAAGTCTCTAAAGAATTTTTTCTTTCAATTGAAACCTAACAAAAAATTGAATGGTTATAATTCTTTGCAAAGATTAATTGAATAAATTAAAATAGTTATAATAAATATGTATATAAACTTATTGTACTTGACCATAATCTGTCTTCAAGTTATCTAGTTATTATGTAAAATAGTATTTTTAAATGTTTTAAGTCGTGAATTTATTGTAGAAGTAGTATATATAACTTAATTTTTTTATGTAATAAAAAACAAGAATATATTGTTGCTCATCTTGAGAAGATGCTTTCTACATCTTTAACACATATTTATATAACACTCTGTAAGTAGGAATAAAATTTGAATTTTAAGGTTAAAACCATTGTGTCATCATTACTATGTACAACCTTTAGACTAGAAGAAGCTTGATAATAAGAAAAATAAACCTATATAGCAGAGAAGATTACTTGAGCACAAAAAAGAACTCTCACGTAACTCTAATTCTTGTGATTCTTTTACTGGAATCAGGACATAAATATATATCTAAGTATACTGTATATTTACAAACACAAGTTTATAGTATCTCTTATAAATCATGTATTTAATAAATATATGTTATACAATTCATAAGAATTGTTTATCAATATGATAAATAAGCTCCTTTCGAGACGAATGAATTAAAATATTTGACTCTTTTACTCAAATTTCCAAACTTTGGTTGTCATCAATCCATTGTTTTCCTTTCGAACATTTTCTGGTAAATTATAAGTTGCCTTTATGCTTAAACGACCGTCTAATGAACTTAGAATATCATTTCTTTGCGGATCTCCTAAATATATTTCTAATTAAAGAAAGATAATTCTCTGTTAATAACAAAAGAGTTATTATACGAGGAAAGTATACCTTTCCCTTCTTTTGATAATTTATCCATCCATCCAATTAGTTCTTTGGCAATAGACTCGTCATAGAACATATCCCCAATGAGAACAATATCGTATGGGAAATATTCTGTATGTGCATTTATTAGATTTGAAGTAACTTTCTTAATAGCATCACTATCTATAAAGTTTAATTTGCAATTCATATCCAAAATCACCATAGCCTCTCTATTTATATCATTCGCCGTGACGAATGAAGCTTTAGACATGATTGATGCTATACTAGATGCTCCGCATCCCGAACCTATGTCTAATACGTTTTTATTTTTTATTAAATCACTATTATCAAGGATAAATCTGAAATTAAAATTAATCATTAAAAATGCATTATTTGAGTATTTTCAATGTAACTAATAAACTTGTGAACTTGTTTTTATGATAAATAATGTAGAAAGTTTTAATATTCATCATCCAATTAACCTTGAGAGACCTTGGCCTCCTGGCCAATAGAATGCATAAAATGGTTCAAAAAGTTTGGAGTCTTTCCCATCGGAGTACCACGTGGGAGTATTCGGGGTTACCAAATGAAGACTAATTTCTGGTGTCAAATGCACATTGCTTACTTCCGTTTCAGCTTCTATATATGTTTTTAAAGTCTTTGTACAAATTATAGAATTATGCGACGGTGTGAAGTATCGCTTAAATCGGCTAATCGGCAAAATTGCTTGCCGAACTTTACTAGTCATTCCAATAGTCAAAAGATTAACCGGAAACGGAAGTTAAGCTAGTAAATTTTCGCGGTTTTTTTGAAAATATTTTCGAGGTATTTAAGGAATTTATATTATCAATCAATCAGTCTTTATAAATATTTAAAGGCCAGAAAAAAACCATTTATTTGAGCGGGAAAATCCTATTTTGGAATATATCTTATTCTAGCAATTGTGTTCATTTTGCTGACGAAAGCATTTCTCTTATCCAAACTAGGAGAATTTCCTTTTAAAAGATATCTTTGCACAATGTAATCAATAATTTTATGTAAACTTAATAAATATCTAGTATTGTTTTTGTAATTCTTTAAAAATGATAAGTTTATTGTCATAAAATATGTATGCATTCATATTATCACTAGACTTAATGTTATTCTAAAAGGAAAGATATATTATATCATAATACAAAGCACTTTCAATCATATTTTTGCTAGTTGTATCACCCACTTCTTCTTTTCTATACATTTTACTTTCCTACTTCCTTGTCATAGTAGGTGTAATTATTGCATTTCTTTATTCCTTCCATCTCTCTGTGTCGCTCTCATTTATCTTTAAAATTGTAAAGAGTGAAATTTTTTCTTGATCTGATGATTAGATACTAGAACGGCGATCCGTGTAGTTTTGTATTTGGTTAAACATTCCGGAAGTAATCAAGTAATCTAGATACCGGACAAGCTGAATTGATAAAATTTGCCTTTGTTCCTGGACAAAGAGATTCCTTACTATTTAAATGAAAAAATTACTATTTATAGCTATAACTTTTATTTAATTCAAATGTTATTATTTGTAATGAAATTAGATTATACTGTAAAATTAATTTTGTTACATAGGTGCAAATTTTAAAAATAGGCCTTACATTAAACTTATAAATAGAGATTACAAGTCTCTACCTGTATTGTGAGAGTAAAAGATAAATAGTTTCGATACAAATCCAGATTAGTCTGGATATTCAAATAAAAAACTGAAAGAGAGACAATAACATAGACAAGAGGCCAAAAAGAAGCCAGCACGCAAAACTTTCCTCTTTCAAAAACTTAACCTTAAGTTGACTTTGAAAGAAGGAAACCTACATGCCGTATTGCACCTTTTAAATAAGATGATAACTGTTCATGAACTTTAACTGTAAACAGAAACAAATATATTGCAGCATATCCTTTATATATGGAATTTAATGTTTACTTTGAAAGTTTAGCCATATCGTTATTTATATAAATAAATACAATAAATGAAGAAAAAATGCAATCAATTCATAAAATTAACGATTATTAATAAATCGATTTCGCAATTGGTAAGCATTACTCAAAGAAGGAGAAAAAGAAGAAAGCTGTTGTTTTTGCCATAACAAGTAATATTTATATATTAGTCTATATATAAGTTATATAAATTTATGAAATTATAATATTACACTGTTGCTATTGATGATAAAAGTTAAACAAATAAACTGTACGAAATTGCTTAATTTTTTATCTATATTATAGAGAATTTAAAAATAACCCCTTCACTTTTCTTCTTAATCAATATCATCATCGTCATCGCTATTAATTATCAACTTGATTATCACCCTTATTATCATCATCATTCCCACCGTTACATTAATTAGCTTCTTTATTTCTCCTCCTCCTCCTCCTCCTCCTCCTCGGTCTCCTCATCTTTCTCTCTTTTCAATATTATATTTTTAGAAATAGAACCAAATGCAAAATCCTTCATAGTTTTTTATTTCTCTTACATTGAGAAAGCGATAATAGAAAAGGGAAGTTGACTTATTTCTACCTGCTCAATATTTCATTTATTGAATCAGTGCAATGCATGATTGTTTTTCATTTAAGAATGTTGAGAACTTGCTAAAGAGTAAGTCGATACGGATTCTTATGTATCTTATGTGTAATGCATACATTATATATATATATTGTCATTTCTAAATATATATATATATATATATTTATATATCTAGACACTTTTACATGCACAATAAAAGGTGATATTATCATGTTTCTCAAATGAGGATTATAAAATAAATTAAAGTATACAGCATTTCTTCCTAATGTTTTAGATTTTTGTTTTTGTTTTTCGTTCTTAAAATTAAGATTGTAATTAGGTTAACAAAGAACCAATTTAATCGGTTGCATAATATTGAATTACGCCCACGCAGTCAAAGGTAGACTTCCGACGTTTGATGAGTATATTAAATAGCTCTATAAATAGATTAGAATGAGCTTTCTTTCTTATGAGAATAATATTCCTTGACAGACAATATATATTTAATGAATATTTAAGAGGTTCTATCGTGCATAACTTACTTTATGACCTAAAAATTCAAAACTTCGTTTTTCTTTATCTAAACTGATAGTTCTTTCAAGCATTTTTCGCTTCCTATATGAAACACTGGCTTAGATTCCGTTATCACTCCGATAAACACTGATGTACATAAATGCATAATTCATATATAATCGGTTCATTTTCTCCTAGGTCCAATTAGCATTTAAGAATTTTAGACTTAAAGTCAAGAATTGAAGATTACAAATAAATTTCAGAGTGATATTTTTTTAATAGATATTTCATGTACAATTTAGATTCTATAGGCCTCAGTATGAATAAATCAGTCACGTTTTTAGCTTTCCTCATTTTCAAGAAATTGAAATTTTATTATGTATAATTATAGCCTTGGTTGTGTTAAAGTTTGTTGACTCCTATAGGCCTAAATGAAAGCTGCACTAAAATATGATTTACAAATTCATTTAAAAGTAAATAATGTTGAAGTAGCATTTAGATGATGATACTTAATTGTAAGAGAATTATTTCCTATAGTTGAACTAATTGATTAAAAAGCAAATAAACGGCCCATTAACATATTTTTCTTTATGTAATTATTATAATTTTATATAATTAAAATGAAATGAACTTTTAACTTTTGATATTCTTAGTATAAAGTTGAATAAAATTAAATTTCTTTTAATATAATAAAGTTAAAATAGTTAAAACGACTACAAATTTTTTAAACAACATACATCCGGAAACGATATTATAGTGTGATGAACTCTATTTACACTGATTTTTAACGGTGATAAAATAGATTTATACGAATTCAATTGTTATAAAAATTAAGAATAATTTTATACATAAATACACTTTATTCAGTTAAAATATTGTATTTCTTCTGTGTCACGCCGGTATGTCACGTGTAACATAGCATTTAGGCCTATAAAAATAACTGGCGCCCGCAGTACCAACCTTGACGCTGAACGGGCTAGAGTAAGATGAACTTACCAATAAAGGTAAAGAAAAATTTTCAAACTAATAAAAATGATATCTCGTAAATATGTAAAACGGATAATATAATAACTCTGCATTTAGATAAAGTCGCATCTCCCGCAATAATGGTTATAAATAGATAAGTTTTTTCTTTTTTGCAGATCTCTAAATTGTTTTTCCTCTACTTGATTTTATGCTTTATAATAGTAAAACCGCATCCTATAAGAAATGCGGTAAAAGAACGCCTACTTGGAAACTACAAAAAAACAATTGCGAAATTGGAAGAAATAAGATTCGAACAGTGTGCGTGTGACCGCTCCAAATGTGATTTGAAAAATATGAAGGTTAAAACTTGTATAGAACATTCTTACTGCTTTAGTTGTTTTATTACAAGTATGGGAAAAAGATCATTGAAATTAAGGAGAAAGAAGGAATAACATGTTTAACTTATTAAATTTATATAAATATAGTATATATATTTATATTTATATATATTTAAATATATATATATATATATATATATATATATATATATATATATATATTTAAGCGTAAATATATAGGCCTGTTAAACTCATGTTCAGACATATTCAATGTCCACTGTCCAGTCAGTTTGCTATATTTAACCTTCGCTACACCGAACTTTCAACTGGGACATTGACCAGGAATATACGAACGCGGGCTTCTAGTATTTCTTGTTTTGAACTTTTGAATGACTTATAGTGATTATTTAAATCATAATATTTTGTTGACAAATATTTAATTGCTAATTGTAATTTATTTGCTTGTTTTGTTTTGTTTTGTTTTTTCATTTTTCTATTTAAGAAGTGCAATGAAAAGTTCATTCACTCATTATAATATGACTTTTTTCCATTACAAAAATGAAAACAACTACTTTCTTACTTAAAAATATGAGAATCTTATTCTTCATGATCAAATATATGTATATATATTTGTCTATTTATTATATAATTTTTTATCTGTTACAAATATTTTAATAAATATGAATAATAAATAATAAAACTTTATTTTAGAAGTAAAAGTTTAATTGAAATTATTTTCTAAAGTTTAGGCTTTAAATAGTTACATATTATTCTTTATGGTTAATAAAGAATATTCTCTATTCTCTGATATATTCTTAGAAAGATTTAATGAAAATATTATCAAGATTACTTCACTTGAAACTAACAATGCTAATAGTATTTTATCCAAAGCAATCATACGCTCATTCAATTTTAAATTGATAGAGATATTGTGATATTGAAATGTAACAATTGATATATCTTTGTGTATTTATATAATACAAGGAAAAAATATATATATATATTTTGGCTTTGTATTGTTTTGGATAGGAGGAGTGTGAATATTCAATGGAAGAGAATTAAACAACAAACAAAAGAGTTATAAATGTAGCTCAACTAGAAAGCAGTTCTTCCCTCCAAATCGAAACTTGGTGCTTTTCCACTTTTTTTTGAGCCATTCCTATTCCTAAAGATCAACGAACAAGTTAAGCAAATGAATAGGAGGGATAACAGTATCAACCAAATTAAAAGGCCAAGTATAACAAGAGGATTTAATAATTTGTTGCACCACGGGGCACATTCCTCAACAATTTCATCTGAAGATAAAAAAAATATAAATAACTTACAAACAAACGAAAAAAACTTTTGATGAATGTAAAAGGTAAATAATCAGTTTTTAAAATATTGACTATTGAAGAAATAATTAATTAATAATAGTATTTAAAACATTGTACTTATATATAATAATAGTCAAATTCCAATATATAAAGCTATATTAAATGCCATTGTCATACTCTAATTATAAATATTAATCGGTCATTGGTTTTTTAAGTCATCAAAATTGCCTATTCCATAATAAAATTATTTTTGATCTCTAAGTATAAGTCTATTTCTTGAAAAGTGACGTAACAGTTACGCAGAATACATTCATTAAGGGATAAGTTACGGTTTGGCCTAAAAAAGGGAAGAGAGGGTGAATAACCTCTCTCGTCTTTCCATAAGTATTCTAATATCCTATTCTTACTTTGTAGTAAGTGACTGAGTACAAAGAAATTATATACTAACCAAAGTTCCATTTCGAACTTGAAATTGACCCTGAAGAAGGTATATCTTTTCCTGGATCACCTTTAGGCCCCGGTGGACCAGGAAGTCCTTTCTCGCCCTTTTCTCCGGAAGGTCCTTTTGGTCCTGTTGCGCCTATGGAGCCTACAGGTCCTTTTGGTCCCGTTGCGCCTGCAGGTCCTGTAGGTCCCGTAGCACCGGCAGGTCCCTAGTGATTGAAAAAGAAGTTTAAGATAAGAAAATGTATTTGGGACAACTACCTCAGTTAACGATTCAGAAGTTGGATGTTCGCTATCATTGGGTATTTGTAATTGGTTTCGACAAGGTTGTTTTTTTTCATCTTTATCGTAGTTTGTAAGGTCTAACCAATAAAAAAAGAGATATACATTAAGATTAAACAAAAGATATATAAAGACAATATTTAAGCTAAATATAGCAAAAGATTAGCGCAATTAGTGTTAAGTCTTTATCTTTTTAGTAGGACTACAAAAATAGGGATATTTGTTTTTGTGTAATTCTATGAATGTCAATTGAATACTCTTAAAGATTAATAAACTCTCTTTTCATCTCTTTTGATTTAAAGAGTTTGTTGAAAGAATAAGAAGATTATGCGAAAATAAGAAAGAAAATTTATTTATGCTGTATTTACCTGTATCTATTGCTGCCTGAGCAGAAAACATATATGGATAGGGACCGACTGCATCAACTATATCACCCTCTATTAATCTTTTTTGAACGACATAAGATTCGCCTCCAGTTGTAATGAATTTTGTTGCTATTGGAGGAGGGGAGACATCGGAAAATATACCTATCAGATCATTTTTCTCTACTAAAATGCAGAGTGTAGAATAATCCTTATCTAAATAGAACTGAAATATAAAATTAATATTATATAACTTTCTCATATATAAATCTCTTATTTATTCATGTTTTTCTTTACTTACGTCCTGTCTACCTAACGATTTAGTTGGTTTAAATAAAAATTGAGCTCTTAATTTAAAAGTACTTCTACCGGAAGCTGGTGACCAAACTTGAAAGTAGAGTGGAGATTCTCGTACGAAATATGCAGAGAATGCGAATAGAATTCCTCTTTGACTAACTTTAGCATCTAAAATATAGCTTGTGTTTTTACTGATAAGATCTTCTTTAATATTTCCTTTAAAAATGTCATTACCAACAAATTGAATTCTTTTTCCTGAATCAGACATGACAATGTAACTAGATATTATATAAATAAATATATATATATACATATCTATATATATACAGTATATACAATAATATTTTAAACTATTACCAGCAAAAGATATTTCCAAATTTAATAGAACAATGAAAAATGTAAATCTAATAGAACTAAACATGCTTAGTTTGGATAAATATTCAGTGCACAGCAGACAACAAACGCCCCATTCATTTTTAATACAACAATCCACCCTGTTCAATACTAACTTGGTCTACTTCTTCAATATGTAAGCTTTCTTATTACTATCATGCTTTTCATATATTTTTCATTTGGTATTATTGAATTTCTTTAAAAAGTGATATATATATATAACTCTAAATAAACAATTTTTAGTTGCTTTACAATTTGCCTATGTCTTATTTTTTTCAATATTGTCAACATTATTCAACAAAAAATACACCTTACGTACTTTCCAGGTAAAACTTTATTCTGTCCAATTTATCCATTAGATGGTAGCACCCATCCTCTTTAGTTGACGGTTTTTCCATATTCTTTTACATATAGTTTATTATTTAATAGAAGAAACACATGTATAATATGTAAAATATGTATGTTTATATATATTTTTATTATTTATATATACAATAAGTCTTTATATACAATAATTTATTTTTCTCTGTATCAGATAAAGAGATGATTACATAATTTTGAACAGTAGGCATAGTTAGGGAAGAAGAAACTTATACCATGCTTTTATTTGTATGTATATCAGTTTAAACTATTCTGTTACATTCTGAAAAAGATCATTGTATATACATGGCATTATTTTTTATCTAAATATATTTTTTTAATATATTTTCTCTACTTTATTGGCTACACAATATAAGAGGTTTCATGTAGTGCTTTTTCATAAAAATGTGTGTCAATTTCATCACAGCCAGTCTTAAGGTCTTTTTTAACACTGTTGAACAAATCTGATCGGGGCTTATCAGATATATTAGATTATATCTAAGTCTGGATAATTCGCTAATCAATCCAAAAATTTAATAAATATTTCCGTTCAATAGATTTCTGCGGCTGAAGCTCTGTGCATTGGAGGAATTCTTCTCTAAACTTGATACAACCCGACAATATTAAATAATAAGAAACAATCTGCATGTAGTATTCCACCTTCATTTTGTGGTTTTACAAATACCAAGAGAGTTCTTAGAGGAAACCTTACCCCATGCCATTAAATCACTTCTTCTCGAATACATATATTTTTATCCTCCTTTTCGAGATCGTCAAGTCAAAAAATTGAATTTTTTCTCATCATTGAACAATTTTCTTATTGTAATTTTTCTTCAACAATGCAGGAACTTTTCCCAGAGGTAAAATAAGATGATGTACAAAAACTGCTCCGCCAAATGTATACAAAAAGCAAAAATAAAACAATTGTCATATTTCAGTTTAACAAAAAATTGCATTGGCCGGGAATCGAACCCGGGTCGCCCGCGTGGCAGGCGAGCATTCTACCACTGAACCACCAATGCTTACGTTAACATAAAACTTTAATGCAGTATAGATAGATTTTACTAGTCAAAAATATTTCGTTATTAATAGAATTTAGAGTGTACAGTTTAAATTACAATCATGTAAACGTTAACTATAGAGAATTTAATTAAATTGTTATCAGTTATATTATTTTAAATGTACTTTTTCTAGTTTTCCAAGAAAACTGTTCATTATTAGATTGTCAATTCACATGGAAAAACGTTAAGCAGAATAGTTTGAATAAAAATGAATTATGAATAGAAAAATAAACAAATTACCTAAATAAATGAAGTTATTCAGTACAAAAATATTATAATAAATTATGCTTTTCTATAATATTTACATATATATGCGCGTATAGATTCTTTTTCGGTTGTTATTTAGCTTTATCAACATAATAGACTTTAGATTGCTACCTAAAAGAGGATTATATCAAATTCCTCAATGAGGTTTTTGTTATAAAACAATAGAAGTTGAAACAATACTAATTTTGTTTTTTTTTTCACACAGCGCCACCTGTAGTTTTATGGAAGCTTTTTTTATTTATGAAATAAGCCTATAAAACAATCAAAATTCGATCGTTTATTGATTAGATCGACTGTTTTAGTAAGTTTTTTTTATTTTATAATATTAACTATGGCCTAATCCATTTTAATTTGTATTGGATTATGCTTCATAACATATCCAAGCAAAGTTTTCCCATTTTATGATACTTTATTAATATGTCAAATAACAAAATATCTGTTAAATTTGTAAGTAAATTTCTTTATAGAATAACAGAAAGAATATTTATATATAATAAATAAAGAGATATTATAACTTAACAGTTAAGTAGTAATTGTATTATTAACGTTTCTTTTGTAAAGGGAGCCATTAAAGTTCATCCTGGCGTTCTTTCACCAACAGAAAACGCTAAAACTTATGTTGTTACAAGTGAAACAACTTGTAATGAATTAGTTATAGCCGTTCTTAATAACTATTCAATAGTTACAACTGAAGAAGATTTATTTTCATTAGTAAACAATGAAACAGGTATAACTGTGTATTTATGACTTAATGATTAGTCCATTAATTAATAATGTATTATTTATTTCTTTCCATATTTAGAAGATGAAGTAGATTCGGATTGTAAGCCTTTACAGTTAGTTAGTAATACTACTATAAAACCCATGTTAGTACTAGTATTTTATACCCTATTTTTCAATTACATTACAAATTGGCCTATATAATCAATAAAAATAATAGAATATAGCTTTTACCTGTAGATACAAGATACGAATGAAATCCTTCGCAGGATTAGTATCTGTCAGGGATGGACTTGACCAATCGGTAATATTTGTAAACAATTTTAAAATATTCAATATAAATTAGTTAACCTTTAAATTTGTTAATAGAAAGCCACAAAACCTATAACAATCTTTATAAACCGACAAACAACTGCTGACAAGATATTAAGAACTTTTATAAAATCAACCAAATACGATAATGAACGTTTAGAATGCTATTGTTTATATCGTATTCATGCCTATACCAGAGGTAATATTGATTAAAATATTTTTATATAAACAAACGATAAAAACGTTGTCTTTTTAAGAGTGTCGATTGTTTAAACCTTTATCTTATTTGCTTGCTTGTACGACCGTTCATTTAGGAAGAAATATTACTTTAAAATGCATAATTTACATATTTATCATCGTCTATCCTTTTACCAACAGTAGTCTTAGCCTACTTGTATAAATTCTATCTTTTAGGACGCAAATCCCAACAGACTAACTATTAAGCTGTAAAATCTTTGTTATCAAATCATACGCTCTTATCTACGACAGATAAGCAGATTTTTTTCTTTTTCAGAATCAAAACGTGTTCGCTTATCGGATAAACTATTATCTTGTGAGCCGGATTTAAGGGAATATTATTTAGAAGTTCGATCCAACGAAAGATTGGTAAGGGGGGAGATTTCAATACTAAAAAAACTTTTATTTATTGAAAAAAATTTCTCGCGTTGGCCTTTGTAGGTTAGATCAGTCAGCTTGGACGATCTACATGTTTCCGTCTATCCGACTAAGGTACGATATTTTCTAATAAGAGATTTCGTTTGACAATTCAAAATTTAGAAAAGATACTATACTAATATTAATATATTTCTTGATACTTATATATATATTTATGTATGTTTATTCTCAGTATATTGAATAGTACTTTTTCAATAGGAGTTAAAATTGCCGAAAAAACCTATTACAGAAGATAATACCACTTCGTCTGAACGTACAATGGCAAAATTAAAAGATTCTTTGAGTAAATTAAGGTCACACTTGGATAAATTACACAAAAGAGAGGAAGTGAACGTAGTCCAAAGACAATATCAATTCGATTACAAAAGAGAGGGTGATGATCTTAAGGATGAATCAGATAGTTCTGTAAGTACTATAAATAGCACAATTTCTTTTAATAAAAAAAAAAATAACTTATTACGTAGAAAAAAAAATAAACTAAGCCTAACTAGATGTTTTTTTATACATATTCCTTAATATATTAAATTCAGCATATAGAATTAGGAATTTATTGTGAAAATAAGAATAAAAGAAATCTTTAAATTCTGTACTTTACCATAATAAAAGAAAACGATAAAGTAAATTTTTTAACAAAAGGTTTAGCTAAAGTTAAAGGAAAGGGGAATGGAATATATAATAGTATGGTATACAGCTTAAGTTTGTATTGAAAAATTTCCTCTCTAAAAGGTAAAAGATTGTAAAACTTGATAAGTTAATTTTCGAATTGATACAATAAATATTTTTAACATCGTCTTCTTCTTAATTAGATATAAATAATATTTTTTTTTAATTATCAATTGCTATAAGAATTATAGAATAAAAACCCTATTCATAAAATATTATGGGTAATTAACCTCCTTTGACGCTTTTATTGACAACTATTCTTTGAATAGAGCTTTCTGTAAATACACCCCAATTTAAAGTATTTTTCCTTTTGCCACCTCTTTCTTCACTGTTACTACTGGTCTCTCTCTGTCTCTCTAATCTCACATTCCCTTTCATTCTTCAAATTATATGCATTCTGTTTTTAACAATAGCATAATTTGTATTAAAAATGGCAAATATTTGATTTTAGCATGTTGATTTTATATACGTCTCTTTACTGCTTTCATTCATCCTCTATTTACTAAATGTTAACATTGGGAAACAAGGTGCAAAACAGAAATTAAAGAGAGTAAAAGCTAAATAGTTAGTAGATTTTATGAAAAATACAGTACTACATGTATTTATATATTTTTCCTTAGCATATAGAAGAAGCACCTATTAATCCTCTTAAAATTCCCTCTGTAAACAAAGTAATTCCCTCAATGCATTGTGTTGCAAAAAGACCTTCAATTTGAGTGTTGTTTTTATAATTTACAAGAGCAACAACTTTAAAAACTATTTAGTTGTCGTTCAGAGTGAGAGAGCATTTAGCTTGTTAGAAATGTTTTCTCAAGATATGAATATATATATATATATATATGTATATATGAATAAAAAAAATGATTTGTCCAACTATTTACTTTCTTTAATAAGTTAAACATGATCAATGTTAAGAAATAAATAAGATTAATTACTAACCTTAATCCGTTTTGGTTTAGTAAGGTAAAAAGTGAAAGAGATTTGGAATAATTCATAAAATGACAGCTCGTAAATTCAATACTTAATTGATAGAGCATACGCCTAGGAAAATCTTGCATATTTGACATACCACGAATGTGTTTCTAAGATATATAATCTATTTAATATGGTTGTATATTTGAAAAAAAATAAATTGTCTTCTCCATAGTTAAATGAAAAAGCGGGCTATGTAGCAGACGATCAAAGTGATTCATCAGAAGCCAATTCCAGACCTCCTACTGATAGTGCATATGCTAGCGATAGGTCTAGAAAAAAGACTCAACCTTCGGAAAGAAGGACTTTCTCTTCAATGCAACGTGAAAGATTACAGTTTATGCAACAGCAAAATAGTCGATTGTATTCAGCAATTTCGGACGAACATCTTAATGAATTTGATCCGAGGCCTATACCTAGATCTCAAAGCTTTACAATAAAATCCTCATCAAGGTCATCATCAGCCAGGAAAAGTAAGAGAACGCTGCCAAAACTGCCACTTAACAATCCAAGTGATTTAGAGGAGAGAAAGAAACGAATGTCTAACGAAGCTCTTAATAAGGTCGGATTATCTGATGATGAGGGACTTTGTAGATATGCGAGTTTAGATTGTTTGTATAAGAGAGAAACGTCCCAAGACTCTCTTCAGCGAATTATCAATGACTTAAAAAATGGATCAGAACCGCTAAGGCCTATTGCTCGTAAAGCTGACGATATTTGTAAAGTCGATTTGGACCATCCTAGTTTATTTCATCTCCTGCAGACTTGTGATTTGATTACTTTAGTTTTACGAAGCGATAGTGGGAGTTTTGGTTTAAAATTATTTGAGTCGTCCTGGTCGACAAAAAAGTGCGCTGTTTACCGATCTCCAACGGGTAGAAAGCCAATATTAGGAGGTATGAATACTGAGTTAATCATTTATTTGATAAACCCTATTTAGCTGATTGCAATCTAAATCCTTCTTTTCTAATAGGAAGAAAGAGTGCTTTCCTTCCGGTCAGTGATAAAAATCACTTTTCTGTCATAGCTGTTGACAGAATCGAAGAGGGAAGTCCGGCTGAAAGGGCTGGTATACTTGAAGGTAGCTATATCATTGAAGCTAATGGAACTTATGTAGTCAACTATAATCTTGAGGAAGTTCTGAATGAGTTTGAAGATTCGGATAGTGTAGAGCTAGTGATTGCTAGGCCAAAAGAACGCCTTGATCAGTCAAACGTCCATTCAGCTTGGCCTTCAAATGAAGAAATGGAAAGAGAATACGAAAAACTTAAACTGAAATATTCAGCATTACAAGATGAATGCGAAAGATCAATTGATCAATTAGCCGAGCTAAAATTACAATTAAAACAGAAGGATGAAAGATTAAGGCATTACGTGCATGAAACTAGAAGGAAAGAGGCAGAATTGAAAAAGATGGAAAAACTAACTAGATCACAAGACGAAAGAATTGGTCACTTAAAAATAGATATTCAACAACGATTAAGAGAATCGGCTTATGCAGCTCGAGAATTAAAACAAAAAGAATTAAGAATTATTGAACTAAGAAAGACGCTTCTGAATAAATCAGATTTTGAATCAGAAACTGAAGATGTTTCTGCTGTTTAAACAAAGCTCTCTCTTAATTTCATTTAAGATAAAAGTTTATACTAAAGAAAACAAGTTTATGTAAATAATTTATATATACTTTATATTTTCTTTGTTAGTTTGTTTGTTTGTTTTTATATGAAAAGTTTTATGAACTAGTTGTATGCAGTATTTATAGTAGATACAATGTATCGTTTTACTGATAATTCTCCCTCTTTGCCTTTCTATCTCTCTTTCTTTTAAATCTTTTTCCTTCCAACAGAACAATACTTATTAAAGTACAAAATATTAAATAAATAGAACAAGGGATAACGTTAGATTTGTTTCTGTTTCTACGTTTTTATTTCTCTCTTCTTCTCTCTTCTATCCCACTTTCCACCTTCTTCTATCTCTATAGTGAATACTGTAGACAAACGGACAAAACATTAAGTATAAAGAGCTGTTTTCTTTTCTGGCTTTATAAAACGAAAGAATATCATTTTTTTAAAATTATTTCTTATAGTTTTTTTTGTATGTGAGAGTTTACAAAAAAAAAATACTGTTTTGAACTAGTCGTCTTTGACCAATACAAGTGAGCTTGAACGTTATGTTTTTCTTGAGATACATAGTCTCATATTTGGCAATCGATGACATATGGCAGAAAAAATAGTCATTGAACTAGCAGTAATAATAGTAGAACTGTTACAGTTGTACGTTGCAGTGAAAAGTTACGTAATGGTAGCAGTTTATAAGAATAACTTTTGAAATAGATGTTGATTAGTTCAATAAGTCTTTGGTTCAAGATTAAAAGTAACCTTCTTTCTGTTATCCTTTGATTCAGTTTCTCTATTATTAGTCATTAAACTTGTGACGTTGTCATGAACAAGATTGCATTTTTCCAAAAGAGTCTCTTTTTTAATTCGAACAATATAGCTGTCCCTTTTTTCCGGTTCGAAATGAACGTTTGACGAATCAAATTCATCCCAATTAACTTTACATGACATTCTCTTTAATTTATCCCCAGCAAATTTACTACCAATACTAGCACAAATAATACAGACAATTGTCATAATATTCTTAAGAAACCAAATAAAAAAGCTCCCGTGTAATGTTGAACCATTTTCCCCTAATATTATCTTCATTCTAGCTACTATTAGTGGTATTTCACAGAAGCATATACCTACAATAGCCACTAAACTACGAAATACTAAATTGAATCTATCGTAATCGGAAGAATCGTTATCTGTTGGCGTTAAATAAGAGCAGAGCGTCACTGCAGCATAACTGTTTGTCAATATTTGAGTAATGACGATGATAGTTGATGTAGTTATAACTGTATGCTTATCCTTTATCAGTTCTATATGAGAGTCTAGCAGTGATGCAGTTTCCAAAGTAACCACAAACCAATAAGCAAAGGATAAAAGAAAGGTTGTCAAGTACATTTTGCGAGTTCTTCTACCCAGAATAAAGATTAAAATGGCTGGTAAAACTATTGAAGCTTGAATGAGAATTAGCTGTTTTTTCTGCAATTAAATATTTTATATTAGTGGTTTTGTTGATGTAATTATTACTATTTGTAAGATTCTTAACATACTGTACGGTTAATAGCAATAATAGTATAAAAACCTTTCTATCAAGCAACACACTATCGCATATTGTTTCATCCAGTTCAGTTGTTGATATATTTATTTGGCAAACGGTTTGATTGAATTTTTGTAGGCACGATATATCATTGAGAATATCCGGTAATTTATTCAATATTAGAAATGGACCAATAGTTATTGAAGATAATATAGGATCAGTGAGAACATATCCAGCTCTAAAAAGTCGAAAGATAATGCTAATTATATATAATTAGTCAATAAGAGTAAGATAATTTTGAAAGATTCTCTTTTTAGTATAACAAAAGAATAGTTGTAAAGTGGGATGAAATATAATTACATAGTATAGAAGGTATACGATTTCGACGAACCTTAATAGTCCACTACCCCTTCTACCGCTTGTATTACTGTATATAGCAGTTAAAACTGGAAGTAGAACAACACTTAAAATGGCAAATAAATAGAACGCAATATGTTCCTTCATATTAAAGAATTGCGACATTAAGGTCATTAAAATCGACCATATAAACATTAACCAGAGGCATCTTGATTTAGCATTTGAACTTGACAACATAATTTTTTTGTACTTGGCTGCTTTTTCTCGACCGTTGTTTAGTTGTAGTTAGTAGTCTATAATATAATTCAGCCTTTGAACCGACCGTTTAGGCACAATTGGCAATTTAATACAAATCTTTCAGCGCCATCTAGCAGGAAAAGTAACTGATAAACTCTAGAAAAGGATTACATACCGTGTATAAAAAAGTTATCTGAATAAGGTACCAAAGTGACCTTGTAATTGACCGAATTATCATTAAATAAAACACTCTCCTTCTCCTTTATCATCAGTGGTATTCGATAAAATGTACTTAATAAATACGTATTAATAACGATAAGGTTAAATAAGCCTATCCTTTGTACTCCTAATAGAATAGTTTATCTTTTAAAAAGTTACTGTGATAACGATAAAAATCGATATAAATGCAAGCGAAAGATGATTAATATACAATAAATATTCATGAATTTTTATAAAAGAAATTCAAGCATCTTTCATTAAATATTATTAAAATAGGTTAAAAATAAAGAAAAAAAATGACAAGTAACTCATCTGGGATATAGAATAAAAGACTTTATGTAAACTAGATGAAGATGAAATAAAAGATAATGTGAATGTTTAAATTAGACAAAAGTTATCAAGTTAAAAGGAAAACATTTTTTATTTACATTTACTAAGTTAATTAATTATTCCATAGCATAAAAATGATTGAAGGTTTACCTCACTCTAAGTAATTAGGTCAATATTTTGCAAATCTTAACAATATACAAGTTCTTTACAAACCAAATAAATATAATTTATTTAAAATTCTATTATCAACCAATCAGAATATAACTTTCAAAAATTAATTTCCATATATCAACAACGACCTACTATCCATAAACTAGAAAGCTTGTATCTGTGATTTGTTCATTATTTAAAGAAATTGTCATTAAATATGATTTATTATACATTTAATAATTTATGGATGAAAAGCAAGTAAAAAGGTCTAATTCGGTCCAGAAGAAGGGAACAACGGTAACTATAGTAATCTTTAATTTCCTATTCAACTGTGAATAGGTCTAATTGTCAATTTGTTTTGTAAATAAAACTAAAAAAAAAATAAAATAAAGAATTACGACAACTCAACCAAAAGTAAGAGGGGAAGAAAAGCGACAAGAATAGATAATATAGCTAGATTGGAGAGAAGTAGACAGAGTGCTAGAGAGTGCAGAGCCAGAAAAAAATTAAGGTTCGATCATTGATCTTTACTTCATTAATATTCTTTCTAATTTTGTTTTATATTCTTATCCTATCTTGTCTACTTTTTAGATATCAGTATCTAGATGAATTAGTAATTAACAGAGAAAGAGCGATAGTACTTTTAAGAGAAGAACTCGAAAAGGTAAAACAGTAAAGTAAGAGTAATAATACTGTAAAGCTGTGGTTTCATTGATTACAATGTATTCTTTATACTCATCAAATATATTAAGTAATTTTTTTTCTCTATAATTTAAATTAACATAAAAGGATAAAGTATCACATTTCAATCTTTTAACTGATAGAATATCTATCCCCAATTTTTATATTGTATCGAGTTTTATGTTGTTATTTTAAACTTCCAAGTTTTAATTAACAATTCGACAAACCTAATAAATAATACTCTTTTCTTGTCAGATGATTAAACACTTTCTACTTGCTTGTGTTGCATTATATGAATACTGTATTATCATTAATTATAAGATAGTAACGGAAGTGAAGAGAGGAAAGAGTGGAAATTTAGAATTTTTTCTAATTTGCTCTAAAAAAACCTTATAAATATTAATGATGTCTTTTCCCTACTCACTAATGTAATATTTAAAAAAAATAATTGCAGTATAAAACCCTGGTAAAGCAGTTGGACCAGGGCACTACTCCTAAAGAAATAACAAAAATGATGGAATGTTATCATAGCTCAAATGAAGATGGATCCAACCAGTCGTCACCTGTTGAGTGATACCATTTTCGGCGAATAAAAAATAAGAAACTTGTCAATTTTAATATTTGTAGTAATTAGTTTATTAGTTGACTAATTATTACAAATATTCTATATACATTTATAAGATTTTCTCTTATATTTAGAGTAGTTTGTATTCAAATTTTTTCCTTTCAAGACTGACAATATCATTATATAATGTATATTGAATATTGAATTAGTATATATTTTATATGAACATTCTGTACATAAGATAAAAACATGTGTACAATATTACACTTTCTAAAATGTTACAGTATATTATTTACAATATATGCAATATATTGATTATTACTAGACAGAATATTACTTGGTTTCTGAACAGAAGATGACTTGTATATAGTATATACGCATATACGCATATAATATGTATATATGTTTATTTATTTATAAGGTTTAATATCCTTTTTTTCAGTTTATTTTCTAAAATGTAAAAAGTATTTTTTTTTTATAAAAAAAAGCCAATAAGAACATAAAAACGCTTTTTGAACAGAAAACTGAAGAATTGAATGTAATTGATGTAGGTTTACAAAATATTTATTATAATCTATGTAGGATAATTGATAATGTTATTATTTTGTAACAAACCTGCAAACATTTTGTGCCCCAGTATCGATATTTTTATACAATGATCTACTATCCAATAACTGCTTATATACAAGTCAGACAAAATGGCGGTTTTATTGCAGTTTTCGTTGTGGAGAAGATATAAAAATGAACATATATATATATAGATATATATAAAATTCCTATATTTATATATTCATTTGTTTCTTCAATGCACTGTAAATGTTTAGGAATACAGTATATACTTGTTTATTGATCTATTATACACCTTGTTTTAATTGTTCACAAAATTTCGTTTCATGTTCCGTTTATCTTGGTCCATCATCCCAATTTTTTTCCGTAAATTAGGAGAGAGGAAAAAAATAAGACATAAAAAGACATGCAGGCACGAAGGAACGACTAGATGATGGAGACTTTTTTTTTGTTTTATACAATATACTGTACATATATGATGCAAAGTCATTTTGTTGTGTATAGTACATATTTCATAATACATAAATAAAATCAATATAGATAATGTACTTTTAAATGAAGACGGATTTTTTTCTAATAGAAATCTACTTCTTTGCTTTTATTCAAGGATAGTTTTTTATTCCAGACTGCCTTCTAAGTCAATGGTTATATACGCTTATATCTGTAATGTACTATAAATGTAAGTGTGTATATACCTTTATTTCTTTTTCACTTCTTCTCGTCTATTTTAATGATTTTCGAACGTTTCTACCAATTTACTCTTAGTATTATTAATAAAATTTATGTCTTTCATTTTTATTGACATACTGAAAATTTAATGATAATTTCCTATCATGAATAGTGCCTTTAATCAATTTGTAATATTTCATCTAATTTGAAACCATTTGGAAAAGAGGAAAACGAGAATGCCCAGTAAAATATTTATTTACAAAATTTTACTATTGATCGTTGATTATAATTATCACAAATATCTTATCTAGAAGAATTTATATTGTATTACTTTAATACAATATTTTCTTTCCATAAACTTATTCTATAATATCTAGAGCGTTTTCTATAGCATTTCAATAAAGAAGTAAGAAAGATGCTAATTCATCCCCTTATAAAGTCATTGCCCTATGCGGATAATGATTTTGATGGATGAGTTTTCTTTTCGTTCCCTTTTATAAGAAAAATCTCAGCTCTTTCAAAAGGAATATTTTTTTTAGCTTTTCGTGGTATTGTCTTTTGTGGCTTGTATAGTTAATTTCCCGTGGGATAAATAGGAAATATAGGAAATCAGATTATCAGTTCGCTCTATTTTCTTGTTTTTTATATTTGTTATCAATACATATAAATATATATATACTTTATATATATGTATATATAGTCATAGATATCTATGGATATAAACAACTCTTTTGAAAGAAACGACTATCGTTATTTCAAATGCTATTGTACCATATATATACTATATATAGTACTTATATATAGATACATATAATCTGTGAATTCCGTACCGTATGTACATTATTTATATATAATACAAATGTTGCAATTTCGGTACTCTTAACATCCGAGTAAAATATTTAAAATAATAAAAAACCTATAATTTTTGGCTGTAAAATACTGTAAACCGTCTTCATTTTAACAATTCTCTTTCTTTCATATGATAAAAATGTTTACGAATGAATAAAAATCACCTAACCGAAATCCTTCAAAATATGCCACCTTGCGACTGGTTGCCTACATTTTTGGAACATTTCATTCCAATGTTTTACTTCTATTGGACCACTTCTAGCCCCTAAAACAACTTGACCGATTAGTTCATTTCTTCCAAGTTTATCATAATCCATAACGGAAATTATTAAAGATGTTTGCCTTATTTTTTGATACGGAACATCAAATGTAAAGGTTTCATTAAATGTAGGATTCAAATTGGATTGTTTTGTTGATGTTTTCTTCTTTTCAATCTTTTTGCCATCCTGTAGCATCCATATTTTAACATAAGGATCAGAAGTACCGGAAATGTCCTTGGCCTTTAAATCTCTGCCTTTAATGACTACAATTGATATCTTACCAGTTGCAGGTTGATAACAAAGAGAGATAAGTAGTTCACCCAATTTCCCTGAATGACCTTTACAGGGCTGTAAGTTCTTCCACATCGTTTGATGTTCTGTCAAGTTAACGTCTGATAAGGGGATGGCAACTTCTCCAATAGGATCATCTCTGGAAAATCTGTCATAATCCAAGACTTGCATGTATAATATACGATTCTGTATTTTTTGAAAAGGAAATCCTTCAAAAGCAAATGTTTCATTCCAAATCGGATTTAGGTTCCTTCTTTTAATATTCGTTTGTAATTTTGTCTTTTTATCCGGCAATAACATGATCTTTACGTACGGATCACTCGTTCCTGAGAAATCTTTAGCAGGTAATTGATTAGCACGCATTATCTTCAAAGTTAAAGTCATTTCCTGGAAGTCATAGGATAGACTAAATTGGATGCGTCCCAGATTATCTGTTAATTCAGGCTCTGGCAGAGGATCTGGCATATCGAAACTAGAAGTTGCACTTCCTGCACCATTTTCTGATCGTAAACTTAATGAATCCTGTCAAATCAAAAAGAAACATATATATTAAAATGACAAATATTAATAATAGACGTTCCAATAACAAACAGAGTAAATATGTAAGCAATATATTTAATATATAGAGGCAATCATTAGCATTAGTTAAAAAATCTCGCGGTGAGTTGCTAATTATAGCTATTCTCTCAAAAATGAACAAATAATTAGTAACCTTCTAATAGATATATTGATTTGTATCGATATAATGCTTACGCAATCAATAATCGTTTAATTTTAGCTGAAAATTATATATTTCATATAAAACGTGTAATTAACCCCAATAGAAAAGGTTTTGCGTAAAGTGAGAATACCATTCATAATTGCAGCGACTATACTTTTATTTATCCTGTTAATTAACGCTTGCCTTTTAGTGAAACTTCCATTACTCATACCAATCTCTCTTGTCTTACATCTATTGAAGATAACATACAAATTCAACTAAGTAGGATAAATCCAGCTAAAATTTCTTTAACTAATTAATCTAGGCTTAAATAAACGCTGATCTCAGCTATAATTTAACTGATTTGCAAAAATATTATGCATAATCTTTGATTGAATAATACTGATATTATACTAATAATCAGTAATGTAATACGAATGAAGAGAAATGAAAAATTAATTATAAGCACAAAAAGCTTGATATTTTTTTTTCTTTTCGCAATAAAGCAAAAAAACAAAATAAATTGCAGTATTCATCTAAATTTCTCATATTTTATTGGCGTTGTAAAGAAAAATAAATTACTTATTAAATGTTTTTCTCTTTTATTGATGAAAAGAGGTAACAATTCTCAAAATTTTCTTTTTTTTTCTTTCTTTCTCTCTCTCTCTCTCTCTCTTTACCTCCCTCTTTCATTAATTTCAAAATCTTTCTCTCACACCCTGTGTCTCTTTTTATCTTCGCCCCCTCACTTTTTTTCTGCTATGTTTTAGCAACATAGTGAAAAAAAGAGGTAGGTCGGTTAATTTGCCATCTAATTTTTATGTTTATATAGTTATTATGAATGTTTGACGTAGAATAAGAGGTTGTAATTATTAAAACAATAAAAAAAAAGTCTAGAGTATAGGCTAAAAAAATTAATAAGGCAAAGTCTATGAGAATCAGTGATGTTTTTACATTTGTTTTTAAAAATATAATTAAATTGTCAATAAAGTATGTAATATGATAAGATGATTAAACTTTACAGTTTCTTTCTTTTTTTTCATCTAAAAAAAAAGAAAGGATAAAAAATGGCTAGTGTGTAAATTAACACGATATGCTCTACTCTTGATAGCTATTGGTTTTTAGAAAGAAAGAGAAAAGAGCATTCTTGTCCTCGAATTCATTTCTATGCTCGTAATTAGTACTTTAATGAGTAAAAAGAATGAAACTACCGTTCTTTTTTCTCTTTTGTATTATGAACTAGGCAACTTTCTGTCTCTCTACCCCCTACCTCTCTCCAGGTCACTCACTCACTCACTCACTCGCTCACTCTATATTCCTTTGTTGTTCGTTTTGGTTAGTTTTCTCTTTCTTTCTGTCTCTAAATCTTTCCTACTTATAAAATTCCTTTCAATCAGTTAGACAAGCACGTCCTCAGTTAGTTAAGGTTCGATGATTAACGTCCCAAAAATGTCTTATAGCATAGTGATAAATGTATATTTTATTCTTAAAATTTCTAAGTGTTTGTTGTGGCAAGAGACAATATTAAAAGAGTCATAGTAGTGTGTCAGTTCTAAAATTAAAATTAATCAATAAAAAGTTAAACTGGAAAAGAGATATTAAAGATTTAGAGAATCGTAATAGTGATGAATCGAGTTATAAGTATGACCTTTTACCAGCTGTATCGCTAATATAGTAAATAAATGTCAAATCATTGCGGGGACATTATAGTTCGTGCACATTTTTCACCATGTTTTACTTAAATAAACGAATATATATCGTTATGAAATACAGTACTAAAAGATCTTAAAAAATACTTGTACGAATTTTTTGAATAGAAAATTCTATATATCAGATAATTCGATTTCTCCTTAGTTATTCATCTTACCGGCTTAAGTGTTTTATTAATTGATTGAAATTTCCGTTACATGTTTTCTTATAAATCTATAAAGATTCTTTACTTACATTCTGACATATATGGATAGTATATTAGCCCTATTTACCCCCGTCCTCCCACGTCCCCTTTACCTTTCCCCCTCCTCTTTGTTAAGTAAATACTACAAGAAAAGAATTTCTCTTCGAAAGATGAAAACAAGACAAAGTTTTTTGTGATTGTAGTATAGCTTTTTGTATATATCTGCATAAATCCCTGTTATATAATAATCGATAAAAATTGACAAAGATCCAAACAAATTTATCACATGTTATGTTTACATTTCCTAGGGAAACTTCTTAGAAATTACATTACAAAACGAAGAAGAAGAAGGGAGAAGAAGAAACGACTAATCATTATGTCTTCCTATTTTCTTTATACTTTTATTTCTTTCTTTTTTTTTTTTTAAAAAAATAGTCTTCTACTCTCTTTTATATATTTCTTTTTACTTTCTATGCCTTATAGAGATAGATGAGTTGTTACCAGTTGGTACAAAACTGCTAGAATTCATCGTAAGAATGGTAAACAGTTCCAGATTAATTTACACGCTAAAAAGCGGAAAGGGTGAGAAGAGTGATAAGAACAATTTTCTTTCAATCATAAAGTGAATATTATCTAATTCAAAGATAACTTTTATAAAATATATTTTCTAGTTCAAAAAATTAATTAATCGTTTTTTTTTTAAAAAAAAAAAATATTAAATTTCATTTTTCTTTTTTTCTTTGCACCAAAAATCAGATTGTTAAACATTTAATAACAATAGAAAAATAAGAATGTTTTTCTTTTATTAAGAGCACTTACCAAACTAAAAGATTATTAAGGATAGTAATATTTTCTTTTTAATATCCTATCCGGTTATTTTTGTCAGTAGAATAAAAAAAAATAACTGACACTGGACGTAAGTGGAAGTTGGATAAAAGAGAAGGAGGTATTTTTGGGGCTTTGATTGATGAATTTTTTTTCTATTTCCAGGCAAATTTCCACTTTAAGCCGATAAGTGGTTAATAGGATATAGAAATCAGCTAATAATTTATATAATTATTCAAGCAAATTGTGGTCAAGCTTGTTATAGATGCATATAGGGTTGTATCTGTCTATTTATATATGTAATCCTTTATCTGATAGCTAAAAATGCGTTAAATAGAGGGAAAACTTCTCTTCGATAGATTCCAAGTTATATAAAATGCTGCAGGTATTCAAAACTTTAATTACAGCAATTAATCAAGGCATTCTAAAAGCCGGATTCGCAATAGAATAGCAGTAGGCCAAAAGCTAATAAAATGAGTTGCACAGGCCTAAGAATAATTTCGTGTTTACCGGTGTCATAAACTTTCGCCTGAGAAAATCGGAAGCTCGCCTTATCGACGACGGATTCGTATTATCGAATTGCTGTACGTTCTATAAGACCGCAAATAATCGCAGTCGCATTGCAGTAGAGGGACGGGTTATCAAATAATGTAACTTACCGTCACGGTCGTATCCTTGCTACGAACCGCCATCGATCTTCCGTAGGCCTCCGGCTGTACAGTTTCGGCAGTAAATTTGCGGTCTGAAGGGTTTTCAAATCTGTAAGAATAATCACGATAGAGAGAAAAAATTCCTCCAGTATGCAATCTTTTAAAAACCTTTCTACATTATCAAACAAGTAAGATAATAGTTCGGTCATCATCCCGGCCGTACTGCGTTGCAGTACGGTCCAGGAAAATGCGCCGGAAAACGGCGTTGAATCGGAGCGTCGTTGAGCCGTGTTGGAATAAAAACCGTCACCGTCTAAAATTGGCGGTACGTTTGTTTATTCGCTATCGGCTCGTAGACGGCGCTGGCGACTGCAAAAACTGCGTTATGACCTTTATAAAAAAAAACACTTAACTCCCTGGACAGTTTCATCTTGTGAAAAGTTTTATTCCTGTCGGAAAGTTGCCTTAAAATGTTTACAGCTTAATTTTGTTTACTTTGCAGTTGACACTTGCAATTTTCAACTGACTTAGCAACTACAAAAAATCGGATTTCTTTCTACTGGGTTTTTTAAAATAGATATACTGCAAAAATACAGATTTATACATTTATGTAAAAACTGTGCAAATCTTGGATATTAACTCCCCCAAAATACTGATCATCTATGTTTTTTGTACCTTAATTACAGTGTTAGAACACTCTAGTTTGACCTAATTTCATTTATTTACTATATTCTCTCTACTTTATTTTTCCATTTCAAAGTCAATACATTAGGTGTTAGCGTCTTTTTCAAATTTAACCGTAGTTTTTTTAAAGGTCCATTACTAGAATCGTTTTCTCTAATAGCTTCTGATGAATCATGAAAGTGTTCGACCTGATTTCTCTACTTTTTTTCACTCATTTCCCTTACTTTTCTTTCTATGCTTGTTCCATTTCTAATTTTTCTTTAAATATACATTTTTCATTAATTAAACATCTTAAATATTTTACTTTCTTCTTTTTATATTAAAAAAAAGAAACAAAAAAAAGAAAAGAAACTTCTTCCTTCAACCTTTAATTAACTTGTACTAAAAGAATTTTTCATCAGTACTTATAACTTTCTCTTGGTTATAAGTTAACAGAAAAAAGCTTGTTTTATTAAAAAAAATTATAAAAAGTGAGTACTCCTTCTCCTTAAATAAATTTATGTAACCAGGGCAAAAATGTTGGCGTATAAATGTTTTATTTAGCTATTAAGACTGATTATTAAAGCTAATTAAGAGTGCTTCAATCTGGAAAAATGGTTATAATTTGATCTCTAGCCTAATTCCTTTAGAGAGGGACGGGAGAGAGAGAGATAGTTAGAGAGGGAAGGAGAAAAAAGGACAGAGAGAGTTAAAAAAAGAACAGAATTTAGTTAGTTTCGCTTTTTCTTTCTCTATCAATAGATGAAAAATTCTATATATAACAAAAAGATTACATGTTGTACTTGCGAGTAAAGCTAACAGTATTGTTTTGCAACTGGGCGAGTCTATCATATTAATATCGAAGATATATTAGAAAAAAAGCATCCAGGTAGTGTTTCCCTCGGACTTTATGACTATATATCAGCGGTAGGATGCCATTGAAGTAAACCAGTCATGTCGTGTATCATTGTAATAAACGACAAAAGGGATAAATAGACTATTATAGATTCTTTTTTATTAAGAAAAATTTTTAACTAAATATGAACAAACTAAATATAGTTTTCTTTATAGAAAAGTAGAGAAACATAACTCAGGTATAAAGTAGAAAACTTTAAATAAGGGAAAAGACAAGAAGAATCAAAAATGCCTTGTTCATTATAAACAGGAACTAAATGTTTACCTTCCTTATCTCATTAATAATTTATTCATAGCAACCGGAAAGAATTTTTTTGTTCTCTGTCAACAGAGAGATTTTTTGCTTACGATTTAAAAAAAAATGAGAAAGGATGGATGAACTTGTAAAGAAAATAGATATAATAATCACTTATGTTCTTTTAAGGAAAGAATAAAGAGAAGGAAATATTCTTCATTTCTATAAATAGGTTTTAGACGCAATTTTTGTAGATAATTTGTCATGTTTAGCTTATTTTCTATAATTTATTGATAAAATAAAGTAAGAGAATTACTATTAAAAAAGACTTAGCCTGCTTTTTTTATATCTTCTACATACTACATATCTTTAGCTATGGTTGGAAATTTTCATTTTTTAAACCAAACGCCAATTTTTTTTTATCTTACCCGACTAGAATTGCTAAACTATTTGGATTAAATTTGGTTCTGTTCCATAAATTGGACAATACGGACAGTTTGTTGTATACAAAATTTTGTCAAGAATTTCATCATAACATCCTAAATTTGTTAGCTGAATAATCGTGTCGTTTATGGTATATTAAAAAATATACGCTTTCACAGACTACATTAAATCAGGCATAAAGAAAAAGAGTATTGAATTTTACCGTCACCTTAGGTTCTAAATTTTCAGCTATAAACCGCGCATATTTATAGATAAAGGAATTTTAAAATCAGTTCTTCCCTTAGGGAATTGAGATATTAGTTGATTAGCACATACGGAATTATATTTAGACTGCATCTGCAAAAGACGCTTCTACCATAGATGTTCATTACTACTGTCTTCAGGGCACATAACATAAAAGCGTGGGAGAACATCTCCAATAATTTTGCAGTCGCCCCCGTCTGATAAGGCTTTATTTTTTAATTAAGTTTCTATGTCTCTCCTTTTTACCATGAGGTTTTTAAAGGTCTTACTAAAGGACAAAAAATGAAGAGGAGAAAACCAAGAACATTATCACAAAGATAACAAAATAGAAAAAAATTATGGAGATAAAAGCACAATAGAGAGAGAGAGGAGAGACAGATAGCTAGACAGCAAAGATACAGTAAGATTAAAATTAAAAAAAAACCACTGTCAATTGTGTTATTAAAACACCAACCAGGGATGACTAACGATTTATACAAGATAGGAGTACAAGAAGGGCACAAAAAGAGGGCTTAAATAGAAATAAAATTTAAAGAAGGGTGTTAGAAAATCAAATCAAAGTCATGCATAATTTTTAGGGATAAAGTACAAAGATTTTACACAGAGAACTTTGTTTCTTTACTATGTATAGATGTTGCGTTTTGTATGTTTGTTTGTTTATTTGTTTGTTTGTTTGTCTAATATTTTTTTACCTCATTTTTCTCATAATTCGGCTGTTTGGAAATAAATTGTGGGAGGAAAAAAAATTGATGAAAAAAGGTAAAAAATGAAAACGTTAATACAAAACATTATTAATAATTATAAAGGAGTTTAAATGAGAAAAGATTAGTATTTAGATTTCCTCATTAAAATCATTTATTATATAGATATACAGTATAAACTAATATTTACATATAAATTGTTTATTACATCTTTTGGAATATTTAAGAAACAAATCATCAAGTATCATAAAAAATATATTCATTGAAATGTTTATCCCAATTCCTTTCTCCTACATCTACCATCTATATACTACCCTCTTCTCTTCCTTCTTCTTTTTCTCTTTATTGCAAGTAGGAAATAATGGAAAGGCCTTAAGGCAGATGAAAAAAGAGAAAAAAAGTTAGAGAAGAGATAAATAAAGTACTAAAAATGTCTTTCCTTTCATTCTTTAGTTTACTTATCTAGAAATTCAAATAAAACAATTGTTTTACTGGTCATGTTTATAAACATAGTAGAAAAGTAGGCTGAAATAGGAATAGGCTAAAGCTATTTACTTTTTCCAAGAAATTTATTTTGCAGTATTTAGCATGGTGAAAGAGTAGATTAAAATAATAGGAGGAAAAATACTATAAAAAGGAAATTTTAAGCTTAAGTACACATCTGTGCCTGAATGAACGTCAATATTCATCACTGAACATAAAATCCTGGGCCTTTCTGTCGATCGGTCTGACAATCGTTTCCAGGTAACGAAACTCAACGCCCTTTGCACAATTTATTACGCTTATGTTGGTTTTTCTTGTTTATTTATCATGTAATTTATAGAGTCTACCAATTTCCTTTCTTAGGCCTATCGGATGAGCGTCTCTTTTCATTATACTTTCTTAAACGTAAATGAAAGACTATTGTGGATAAAATTTAAATAGAAAGACGACCGGCAATCTTGATTTAGTCCTCCTTTTCGGAGTAATCAAAACTTACAGATATGGTATAATTTGTTAAAGGAGAGGATATCTATTATATGTAATATGCAAATCTAATAAAAAATTTCAATAAAGTAGGCCTAAATATGGTCTGCTAATTTTATTACCGATTCGTTAAATTTTTTTTTGCTGAAATTGTGGTTTTTTTGTTAAGAACAGCAATAATACAGAAAAAAGTCCAGGAAGCAGAAATAAGGAGAGAACGAAGAAAAGAGAAAGTAAAGTATCTAGTTTAAGGGAAGTAGGCGCCATCTGTTGTTTTTTATAAACAAAGTAGAAAGAGAAGATAGAAAATTTTTTCTTATTTTATTCCATCATCTTAAAATCTATAGAGATAGAATAAAGAAGGAAATGAGAGAATTTCAAGAAACGGTACTTATCTTCGTTTTGAAAGTAGTATTGAATTTTCTTTGTAAAGCTCGATACAAAACAAGAACTTTTTAATTATTTTCAACTATTTCAACTAACTAAGGACTTTTAAAATTTAAAAACAATACAAACAGATAAAATCTCTAATTAGGTTATACTATTAAATAAGGGATTATCAACTAACGCTACTCGTATAATTTATGTTATGATCCGTAATAAAAACTAGTTGAAAACAACAAAAACTTTCATAAAGAACTATCAGTGTTGTAATTATACCCAGAAGAGAATTAATATCGATTCTTTATTTCCTATCCTTACTTAATATTAGTTACTTTCATTAGTGAAAGTTGGAAATGTGTAGGTGAGGTCTTATTTGATAAATGAGAATACTTCATAGTGTATATGTCTTTATTAGAAAACAAAGGGTTAGTTAAGGGCCTTCATATAACGATTGAAATATTATATATTTAAATTTTAATACTATAAATAGATATAAAAACAATGATAAACAATTGTCTATAAGCCTCTAACAATATGTTAATGAAACATCTCTAATTCTTCCTCTTTTGAGAAAATGGAGTAACACGCAATTAGATAAAAAAAAGAGACATTTTTACGCTAGACAAGGAAAAACAAGAACTCTATAGAGAAAGAGGAATTTCATACAAATCTAATCTAACAGAAGAGTATTTCGTTTTCTCCTTTTCTTTCTGTTCTCTAATGATACTCCGGTTTTGTTTGGTTTGCTTGTGTGTGGGTTTTGTTTTTGAGGAGGCGAATAAATATCAAAGAAATAAAACCAAGAAATAATAGGGTGATGTGTGACGGAAAAATTGTAAATAATTTAGAAATGACAAGCATTTCTTCATGCCACCTGTTTTCAGCGTGGGCGATGCTAAGTAACTTATTGCTAGGAATTATATATTATTGCTTCTACTTCAAAAATAAAATGAATTCATGTCTCATTTTGCATATTCAGCTAAATATATATATATATACTGTATATTGTCTAAATATACAGCGATCTACATACATAGGGGAAGATAAACTTAATAATATATTGTATAATAATGTCTTTTATTATTGAATCTATTCAGTTTTTTTTAGTTTTTATGGTTGAAATTATCAATTTCCGGTTGTGCATATATAAAGATCTTTTTGAAATTAGACTCTTTTTACAATACGTACGTTGTCTAAAAGTTTTTTTTATGATATAAAAACTTAGCTTTTCTTCGTTTTTATATAAACATATTTTTACCGGTTTATTCTCTTACAATCAGGGTAAAAGGAGATGGAAATATTATATCTCTAATGTAACATTAGCTAATAATTGCATATGATTTGATTCATTCTGTTTTCATTTGTTTTCATTGATATTTGATGTACTAAAGTTAACCTAGAGTATTTAAACAAAGTATCACGGTTGAATTGTTTATGAAAGAGATTAAACTGGGATTGAAGAGGGACAGAATGAGCAATAGAAAACAGATAGAGAATATACATGTGTCTTTTAGTCTAAAAATAGAAAATAACGGTTATTCTGAATAGGGAATAATATAAACACAAGCATATATCTTTGCTAAATGAACAATCTGAATTCCTTTAGCTTACTCAAACTAATCACGACAATACTTAAGTCAGAGAGAAATGAATAATATAGTGGATCATAAAGCCTGTCAATAATTAATAAATATATAGAATATTCTCTTATTCTCTTATTACATTTAATGTTAAGCTCCTTTTTTTATACTGCCTAAGCTATATTCTAAGCTTGTACATTTCCTTTATTGGTCCATCTAATTTCGTAGTTGCGACTAAAATCCAGGTTAGACAGACATGATGTAAGGAACTTTTTAGGTGTTAACGGTAAGTAATTTTTTTCTATATCTCAGTAAACATATTATTCAACACATCCTGGTATTTAATCTCTTAATAGGATTATTCATCGAATTGAGATCCTTGATGATTTGCACTTTTATAATCCTTCCGTAAAGAAAAATATTGCTACAACCCCCTCTATCGGAAGAGGGCTGTGGCAGAAATATAAAAAAAAAATTTTCAAAACGTACTCAATGGTCCTTCCTCCAAAAATTGGTGTCGCTTTCTTCTTTCTTGTTAATCTTTCCTTGCTACTATTTAATCCGCTTTCGGCATCAATATCTTCGTAGTCATCTTCTTCCCGCCGCCGATAGCAACAAGAACACAGAAAAACGCCGAAAATTAATGCCAGTGTTGAAGCAACGCTACCCAAAACAACAGCTAAAGTGACGCTCTCCATTGTCGAGCCGAGAGTCGGCGGCGTTTCTAAAAAAAAAGAGAAAATAAATAAAATTTATCAACTATAAGCAAATAACATATATGTATTTATAGTGAATCAATAACGGATATATATATATATGTATATTTCTCATCAGTCTAACAGTCTATTGGAAGTAAATAATTATTAGCCTTCAACTTCACTAGGTATTTAACCTTTCCTAAAAGATTCAAAAAGTTCTTGATGACTGTACATCTACACTGGTTTTAATTGTATTTATTCATTCGTCTATCGATTATTCTGGTTAATAAAGTAACCGAGTACTTATAAGAAAAAGGTTTATCAATAAAATTCTCCTTTCTCAGACCTTCTTACATCCTTCAAATACTCTCTCTTCTCCTAACTTTTTCGCTCTCCCAGTCATTTTCTCATTTTTTCCGCCTTAATCTTTTATGTTCGCTTTGTTTTTAGTTTCAAAACACAAGCGTATATTTAAGTATAATTACCTGATGGACGATGGAGCGCACACCTATACAGTATATACTTTATCTCCTATTTTCTAATATCAAATAGTGAAAGTTTTTCACTTTACAAAAGAAATATTTATATTCTAAAAAAAATGTAAACTTACAAAACCCTTAAAAAACAGCTAAGCGTATTGAATTCAATAAAGAAAATAGATAAAGTGGTCGATAGAAATCATGATTAGCGTTAGACAAGCAGCTATATTTTATAAATCCAAAAGGGAATTGTAAAGATTCCTGTAACTCAACATTGTATAATATTTAATTTTATATTTAATTGTAATATCATCCAATATTTCTCTACTTATTGTTTTTAGTAACTTAAAAGATCTCTTAAATTATTCATTCACAGAGATTATTAATTATCACATTGTGCTGAAAAATTAGGTAGAGAGGGCGTAGTTTCTCTCTCTCTCACTCTCACTAGGTCTCTATCACTCTCTTCTTTAAAATTATATCATTCATGTTTCTTATTTCTATTCATAAAATAGATACAAAAATAAATAATATAATAAGATTTTGGCAACGCATACGGGTGACAATTTCGTCTTTATTAGGCTGAATTTTCTCCATCACCCTCTCTGCCTACCCCTTATAGGATCTTCTATATCTGTCAAAGTATTTCAGTAAAGTCTATACGTGAGTTTGTAACAAGCTACAATATAATCTAAAAATACAATTTGTTCAGCAATACTCTATGCCTATCCTTGACAGAGATAGGCCTAAATATTTTGACAACTAATGCATCAGCCAGAAAGTATATACAATATATATATATATATATATATATGAAAGTAATAACAATACTAATTACTATTATAACTCTGTTAAGACAAGTTGAACAACGTAATTAAACACGTGGAAAAAATGAATTTATTGAACGTTTTCCGGTATCCAAGCACATTTTGTCATTAATAATAGCTATCATTTAGAGGAATTCGATTTTTCTACCAATTGATAGCAAATTTCGATCTCGTTCAAATTTATATAGATGAATTTATTAAGATATTATACTAATTATATAGTATTTCTGGTAAAAACAAAGAAAAAGTAAATTTTTATACCTTGCTCAGGCCTAGAATTATCCGTTAGATAAGCCCTTTTTCAAATTTTATACCACTACCGGCTCAATATTGTGTTTATTATCGACTTACTTATATTTACTTTATCTTGCTACAAAACCAACCTTCTAATAGGCTAAAAACTTCAGTCTGGAAAAGCTACTAAAAAATGAATGAGATTAGGTGAAAAATCCGCGATTTAGACGCCGCTATTCGGTCGATAAGGATGCTAGCGTCACCTGGCGATCAATTATCTAATCTGAATAATTTAGAATCAAAAATTTAACATAATAGTAATAAAAGTGCTGTAATTATTTTCTGAATGTAGATTACTCTGTGTTTTGTTTATAAAGAGTAAAAAAAAAACAAGAGCGAGAATAGATCGAGAGTTTCCTACTTGAGTATTAAAATGATCACTCTCTTCCAAATGATCTGAGTAATTAATAACCGATACATTCCTATCGTAAAAATTGATACAATTCTTGCTAATTTCTAAGAGTGAAATCTCAATAACTATTCATAAACGGGCTGTAAATTGAAAACCATCATAAAATGATAGAAAAAATGATTTTCTTTAAAGGCTGTATAACTTATTTACTACGTATACAGCCATTTCCACAGTAAAAGAGAGGAAGATATAAGCTAATAAATGTGCTAGGGGCCGTCATTTGTTTAAATGTCAAAATTTCTTTCCACAGGCTTAATAGTTTAGCAATCTTGGGTATCTCTGTCCTATTTATATATTTCCCAATGTTTCGTAAAAATTGATTAAGTCTGCTTCCAAGTGAGCAAAAAAATGGCTTTAACAAGATACTTGATTAGCAAGAGAGTTTTGTGCATGTTCCTAGGCTTAGTTTCTCTTTTAGAGTAAAGTTAAAAGGTCTGTTCTCCTTCTCTTCCGGTTTTTTTTCGCTTCGATAATAAATTATAAGAATAATGTGACGATATAAAAGGCACAATATTTATGAATTGACGAAGAAAAGCACGAAAAGGAAGAGAAGAAGAAAAAGAAGAAGAAGAAGAAGAAGAGCGAGAGGAGAAAGTGGAAGAGGAAGAATAAATAACCAGTATTATATATACTGTATATATATAGTTATATTATACTATAATAAGCAAATATAAATTTCCTTAAATGTCTTTATTGAAGATAATATTTAACTTTTATAAATTCAAAAGGCAACTGTAAATGTTTTAACAGAGGATAAAAGGAAGCAAAGGGAAATACACTCTATTCCCGAGACCTAATCCTAGGTTTAATTATTCTACTCTAGACTTAGTTTAAGAAGATATAATTTTAGGAACAGCTGTACTGGTAAGTTCAAAGCAATACGTTACTTTAGAAAACAATAAAACCTAGGTACAAGAAAAAAAACAGCCCAAATGATTCTTGGCATTTTAATGTAGAATGGTACTTGATGAAGCATACATATCTATATATTACACAGTACGTAAATACATACATGTTATTGAACTATTTATGAAATAAACATATAAAAAATTTCAATTAATATAATATTTAGATGTAAAGAAACATAATATAAGATATATAAACAAAGGAACAAAATATAAAATGTGAAAAAGTATACTTTTTATAAATTTTCCATACTAAACGGAATTGTAATATCCAATATACTTAACCGTATATAAATACAAAAGATCTATACATCTCAGCGAATGTAAACACGTAATAGTATACAGTATCCCCGACTTTTTTCTCTTTTCCTTTTCCCTTTATTTCCTCCTTTCTAAATACAAAACTGATGAAAACATCAATTTTTTGTTGTTTTCCTTTGGATTATATATATGTGTACTATATATTGTTTATAACATACAATCTATACTATATATATATGCTCTATAAAAAGTAAATGTATAGGCACAGTATATATTTATTTGTTTCTCCACCCTTGCTATCTGTAGAAATGAGAGAAGTTGAAACTTCTTCAATATCAATTTATTAACTTTTTCGCACCTCAACGAATAATTCGATCTTATTGTATTAATTCTGTTTCAATAGCGATGGGCATATTTATAAAATGGTTTCCATCAAAATAATTTAGCTAATGAGATTTTAATTGCTCTAATTAAAGAGCATCAGCTTTCTAGCTAGTTGATTTGTCACGAGGTATACCCTTTAAAGAACTAATTCATCCACTCTCCCTCTATCTCTATCTCTCGTCCTCTTTCTGTCTGTTTCTCTCTTGCTATCACTTTCTGTCTTTCTCTTGATTTTATTGCTTCCTCACATTTTACATATGTGTGGCTAGTTTTAGTCATCAGTTCGATATATTTTATGTGGCATATATCCCTTCCTTATCATTTCTAATCCCCAGCCACATTTCTTTCCTCTTTAAATAAGGATTTCTTTAGATTTCCATAATAAATGATGAATAAGTAAATGTGAAGCAGAGAGTAGAATAAATCATTTTCTTAACAGATTGCGGAATTTTCCAATTATATGACTATGTAGAAAATATCGGTAAACTAATGATAAATGATAAGAAAGAAAAGAGGAAGTGACGTTCAATTGATTATCTATAAATAAGCTAACCGTATTACATGATTATCCTCCTTTTTAATGTTTCTGGAAAAATATTGTTTGGATAATTTGCAAAGTACGATTACATTTTTGAAGAACAAGGAAAAATTAAATGAAAGTATGGAAGGAGTTGAATATATATACACTGTATATATATTGTATATTCAATATAATTGATACTAGATGCAGATTTCTGCATAAAACATAAATATATCACTAAACAAACAATAGAAAAACTTTAAAGATTGGTTAAGTAGAATAAAGAAAATCACAACTCAAAACTGTGTATAGATACATCAATTATATAGATATTGATGTAGTAGATTCCTCGTCTCTGTCTCCGTTCTTTTCTCCCTTTATTCTACTTTATTCTCCTATTTTTTATAGCTCTCTCTTCCTTCCTTGCTACCTCTTCTACATACAATATTAAATACATACCAATAGATAAAGTATAAAAATTTGCCACTTGTTCCTTACTCTACATTCTTTTAGTTAAAGAGAAAGTAAAATTCAATGAATCTAGGTATGAAAAAGGGAAAACAAACAATCAGATGGTAAATATGTACAATGTTTAATTATTTTTAAAAAAGATATTCTATTATGTCTATTGTTTTTTTTTTATTGACTTAATCAAAGTTTCTGTCTTTTTAAAATGAACAAGAAAAATGTATAGATTATTAATAATAATAAAAAAAACAGTTTGTTTGATATTCTATCAATCTTGCAGATGTTTCCTACCTGATTATACTCCTTAGTTAATTATATATGACAGATATATGTATTCTTATATATAAATATGTATTGTAAATGTATATTGGATATGCATAGAATATTTTTACTGATTAGTTTGGTAGTTACGTGAGATAAAAAGTAACCTAAATGATTAAGAGGACACGAGATAAAAAAGAGTATTTACTTCATTTAGTTATAATAAAGCTTTTAAATCTCTTTTGAATCAACTAGTAAATGTATTATTATTAATTAGATGTGGGAGGGATTTGACGAAAGTTTTTATAATAAAATGTTTGCTGGTATATTGGCCCTGACGTTTTCTTTTCTTTACTTACTAAGATTGACAGTTTGCGTTCCCTTCAGAATTATCTACTTCCCTCTTCCGTCGTGCAGAAAAAAGCTAGCTTTATCACTTGACTTTTTTCACAATTATCAAAAAGAATTCTGCCAGATATTCATTCTGTCCTTTTAATGCAAACTAGCTTCTAATGAAAAATGTATGAGCCCCTGGTTAAACTGTTCTTATTGCTCTTAAAACCAGCTGGCATGCTATAAGATCGTTAATTAATTTCAATTAGACCTTGTACCTGGAGAAATAGCAATTTTCAAGGAAGTAAAGTGTTAGTGTGACATGCTGGTAATGCTTTTTTAAGTCAATTTATTGACTTCAAAGTTAATACTTAGTGAGAAATGAAATAAAATTAAGATCAACACTAAATGCTCCTTGATTAGAAAAATGTAAAGACTTTTTTGTATGACTTTTAGATTTATATTGAAGAGAGAGAGAGAGAGAGAGAGAAAGAAAGAGAAGTTTAAAAAAAAAAAGAGCGACAGATTAATTAAGAAATTAATCAAGTAATTCGTAATTTCCTAATGAAAGAGAAAGAAGAGAAGAAGAAAATACAATAATGTAGAGAAGGAGAAAATACTTTAGATTAATCGAAGAGTAATATAATTCCTCTACATAATAACTAGAACATGTAGACTAGAGTATGCTTATAAATCGATTGTTTCCTACTTAGGGTTCGATTGACACCTATCCAGCAAAAAAAGGCTTTTTTATGTTCTGTTTTGATGACAGAGCACTCTAGGGCAAACCATTGCATTTAGTACATTATTATTATCATTCTGAGGCTATTTAATGTCTAGGAAATGCTCAAAATAAATGTATGCTTCCAAGTATCCGTGTAGGTTGAAGAGGATCAACAGGAAAGTCTATATAATATAAACAGTATATGTTATATTTACTATATAGAGTATATATATATATATATATATATATATATATACTGTATAATACAATTATTGTATTAGAAAGAATAGTATATTTTCTATATTTATGTAATTTTCTTTAAGTAAATCCATTTTACCTTTTGTTGAAATCATTATAAGCAATATTTACTTATAGTTTGTATATTACAACTCCATTGTTAGCTCTTAAGAAATCTTAATATTTCGTTTCTTACATGGTTTCTATTTTCCTAAAACATGACTTCTTACTCAATTAAACATTGGGAAAAGTCGTCAACGCCGAATAATAAATTACAAGAGACAGGCGTCTACTAGGAGGAAAGTCTACAAAACATTACTTTTTAAATCTAACAAAGAAAGCAGGTGATACAATTCTCAAACACTTTTCTTCTTTACTCTCTTCCCTTTCCTATTTGTTTATTCTACGATCTTATTCTTATTTAGCTAAAAAATATATATAAATGTATATATAGATATTTCGCTGGCAGTATTTTAAAGGAAAAAGAATTTAAAATTCGTTTCAAAAAAATTAACGTTTTAACGATTTTCTATCGAAAACTTTTAACTTTTCCAAGTTTTTTATGTTTGCTTTACACTTTTAATAGAAAAGAAAATATTTTTACTATATTTTGTAAACCTTAAAAGCTGCTAGTCTTTTCCCTAATTAATGAATATTCATGATTTTTGTTTTTTTCATCTTTTGTGTCATTCACAAAGATATAAACGTATATATTTTCTCTCCCTCGTTTTTTTCTTTTTTCTTTAGTATAGAGGAATTCTCTCAAAAAAAAAATCAAAGTCAAACATTAAATGACTTCGCATCGTCGCATTTCGTGTATAATAAATAGTTGAAGCTCAAAATTTGAAGCCAATATAATTCTTTAAAATAAAAAAAAACACACACGAACTAGTTTTTTTTCTCTTCTTGTTTTAAAGTTCTTCTAAAAAATATACGAATATAGGAACTTTCCTATATTAAGAGGAAAAAGGAATTAGGAAAATGAGGGCAAAAGGAGAGGAAGGGTTGAATATAGATGGACGAGAGGGGAGGGGAGAGGTTACGATTTTTAGTCAAACAGAAAAAATAGATATACACCAGGTGGGAAAGAACTATATACGATACTATTACGTTATCCAGGCTCTATATAAGAGCCCCATGATGTATTTTAAGTAAGATAAATTCGTAGCATTAGGACCTTGTAAAGTGCACTAAAAATACTATGTATTGTATGGACTTTAAATAGATCATTCCAGAACGAAACTTATCAGTTTGCGCATATTATGTATATCAACAGTACCCGTTTATAGGATAAGGAGCCTACTATAGAATGTCCTTGTCAACAAATAAAAGAAAAATAAGGTTCTCTACGGAGTATGTCTTGAGTAGCTCTAGAAGAATTCGACGCATACAAATTACCTAAATGACCTCAGCTTTCTGTGTCTCTTTGCTAACATTGCTGTAGCCTCAAAATTAATATTTTTTTTTCTACCTCTTGGCTAGACGGAATAAAAGTGAAAAATTGCTTTAAATCAGTAAACTATATACTACAAATAATAGGACAGTTTCGAAGCTATTTAGGCTTAAAAAAAATAATCAATTTCCTCTCTTTTTTTAATTCCTTTTTTGGTTAACATAAAATATTGAACGTAAGGTTAATAGGTTAAATTCTGCAGATAATACGATAAAGATTAAAAAGTCAGTTGCTTATTATATTGTAATAGAAAAAGAGATATATTAATTTTAAAAGGGAAAAGAAAATATTATAGAGAAGTCGTATCATCTAGTATAACAGTGGTGGTGGTGGTAGTTGTGCTGATAATTCATTCGTTTAAAAAAAATTGCCGATTAAGGAAGTCATTCAAAAGAATAAAAATAAATACTGTATTAATTTCATATTCAACTGTTCAAGTGGCACAAATTCTTTTGTGAAATGAATTGCATTCAAATAGATTTTTAGCGGCTGACTAATAAAACGTTAGAAGTATTTATACAAAAATTAATTTATAAATAAATATTATTCACTTGCTATTCAATTCTCTTTTTTATATATTTCTTACTTAAGATTAAATATAGGATTGCTTCCTTTAACTTTCAAACAAATGTTAATATAGAAAGCGTTTGCGGATGTATTATCTAGTTGTAATTCAAGGCGCCAGACGCATTTTATTATCTCTATGTATAGTCAGCTAATTATCAAATAATTATCTATTCATTTAATACTTTAAGATGAAAATAAATAAGATGGGGATTATATAATTAAATATTTAAATGATTATTATATATACTGAATATGTAACAAGTCTATAAAATGTAAAAGGTAATCTTTGCATATATCTAATTAGGAAGTACTATAATATTAAACATTCTTCGATGTAAATGGGATGTGGTTGTTTTCCTTAAAAGTAAAACAAATGCTATTAGCTTTTGGTACACTCTATTTTCTACACACATTCTTTCGTTATGTTCTTGTCTCTTCTATTTAAAAGCCTATTCGAATATATTCTTGATATAAAATAGCTTTTAGAACAAATATATAAGTGGCATCTTGATAAACAACTTTAAAGCAAATTAAACTGTTAATGGACACCAGTAAAAATAGACTATTAACGAGTTATTGTGTTTATCAGATTCTATTCGTTGTTCAAAGAAATACTTTAAAGAAGGAAAAGAAAATAAGAGTATTCGGATCAATGTGTTGTTTAGATGAATCGAAGCCTCCGTTAAAAAGAGAAAAAGAGGATCAGGCAGAGTAGATATCAAGAAAACTATGGATAAGAGAGCCTTAAGCGTATATACAAGTCACGTATATAAAGATCAATAGAACTACGGTCCAAAAAATTCTTTAAAAAAGAAAATACAGAATAGATTGCAGATTAGGAGTCTTAAGGCGTTTTATCATACTTCTATCTTTTACCTGATCTACTCCACTCTTTCTCCTCGTGTACCCTTTCGCCTCGAATTGCTAAAAAAAAAGGTATGTACAACCAATTTCTCGCTCAACCTCAAATCCCCTTACACGACGCTTTTCCTCTCTGACTCTCTCCTACCCAACGTTTTTCACTCATTTTCTCTATATTTCTCTCTCTGGTCTTTCATTCACTCCCTTTCTTGTTCGCTCTAAAATCCTTATAATTTAATTGGCTAAGAAATGAGGACTCTCAGTACCACTCATACTCTTTCTCTCTTTCTCTCCTTCCCTCTATTCTATTTTCCTTCTGGATGACGATTACGTAATAATCAAGACAGAATGATTTAGATATTTTTAGCTATAGACTTAACGTCAAAAATGTTTAGGTATAGATTAATACAAATCAATACAAGCTTATTCTCACAGCTAGGCCTAAGAATACGTATTTCAGTAAATCCAACATTTCAAGGTCATAAAAACTAATTTAAAAGTAGCAATTTAATTAGAATAATTTGTTAAGCTAATTTTAAAAGTACATTTTGTCAAGAATAAAAGTCTGCAATGATTCAATTTTGTAAAACTAAAACATATAAAACATGATGAATTATTAATGTATAAATAAATAATTGGGGTATATCATTCTCTTTTAAAGAAAAAATGCAACAAATATTCTAATTTTAAATAGAATATAATACAAGTAATATTAATAAATAGGTATATACTTTTATCAATCTTTTATCATTTGCAGAACGAATAGAGTACTATAAACTCTTATATAAAATAATAAAAACTAGGGCGAAATAAAGAAAAGGAAAAGAAAACACTATTGTAAAGTTTTTCTTGTAAAATAAATTACGTGTGCTGCTAAGTTTCTCTTGGTTAATGTTAAATAAAAGGATGATACTCAACCGCTATCTGGAGCCGCTGTGTAAACCGTTTCGATTCCAGTTCGAATTGCACCACGAACAGCTTGCGAATGAACGAAAGCTGGCAATTGTGGTTCGAGGAACTGCAACGAATAGTTCCGCATTTATTCTGGCCAACTGCAAAACTGCATAGCTACCTGCAGTGCCGCCCTTTGTGAAAAAAAGTATTTTTGCGAAAGAAGGTGGCTCGTTGCCTAGCAAACTATAAATCGGATTTTATACTCTATTTCTTTTGCGTTTAACACACTAAAATACTAGTTTTTAACTAATAAAATAATTAATTTATGTAAATTAACACTACTGGTCAAAACGTATTTTTCAGTGGAAAAAGGGGCGTCTAACCTTTAATATAAAATCGATTATAACGGCGAGTACCTGTATACGCCTTTTTTAGGCCTAAAAGATGAATATACATAGAGTATATTCGTACTTTTCTCTTTGTAAAACATGATAAATTATGTATTCATTTATAAAAAAATCTATAGAAAAGTCTATAAGACAAATTAAAGAGAGAAAAGTGAAAGAAAAGACAATTTGCGCAGCTAAAACTATTTCAGAAATATTCTATCTCTTTTTAAACGCTGTCGTCCCAATATATTCATTTTACAATTGCAAAAAAAAGAGAAATCATCTCTTTCATTTGGAACATCAATAATCACTTCACTCAAAAAAATTGCCTAAATAAAAGCCTATTATTAGAAGAAAATAAATTCCTCAGACATACGATCACTGTAAATATTAGAATTATATTTAAAGAGAAGGAAATTTAAGGTGCCAATTTTTTTTATCTTTTTTTAAAAGAAACCCTTTTCTCTCTCTCTCTCGTTCTCTCCTCTCCTTCCTTTCTGCAGCTTCTCCTGTCTCTTTGTCCACTCTTTTCTAACGCAAGGAGGAACTGATTTGTATTGGAAGATACGTAATATAACGACAAATTACAGAGTAAACAAACGAGAACCCCAACGCAATTAATGGTACTTCAGCATATTTTATGAGTTAATTTCTTTCCCTTTGTTGGTAAATATTGATAGAAATATGCCCTTTTTTTTAAATCATGCTTTTGAAGAATTAAAGTCATTTTTTTTAATTTTGTTAATAATGTATAATTTTTTTATAATTTCATCATTTTTAGTAATTTATATTGAAATTCTATTTAATATGCCCCATGATGACATCTCTCTTTCGCTATCTATAGCATAAATGATGTAAATGGAACAGGAGAATAGAATTATCAGTATTTCTTTTTATCTTTATCATTTATAACTGCTTATACGCAGTATAATGATGATGTGAAAAAGATATATATGCTGATCTGCTTCTTCTAGCTAATCAGCATTTACGGCTACTATTTCTTTTATAATTTTTATTTAAAACACAAGTACGAAATATATACAAGTAAATTTACAAAATAGGGCAATAAACACACCGAATATGAATAAATAAAAGATTAATCTTGTTAAAAATATTCTAATAAGCTTCATCATTATAAAGTCAAGATAAAAAATAAATAAAGAAAGCTTACCAATTTCTAATATGAGGTGTTTCTTACCAAGTTTAATAAAACGAGAGTATAATTAATTGTTATATCTATCTTTGCTATGTGCATACAACAGTTTTGTCTATTTACACAGATAATAGATGCTTCCGCTTGATAGAAATATATAAATTAAAAAGGAAACTTTTTTCCTACGGTATTAGAAGTTGTCATATTATTCATATAAACTGTATACTATACATAAATGGTGTTTAAATGGCATAAAGTTTCACTTTATGAGGTGGAAAAAGAAGTTAAAAAAAAAGAGAGAGAGAGAGAATTGGCTGGATTTTTTACGCTTTTTAATTTATCAACCAATTGATACTTTCCAGGATGGATAAAGGTTTCTAAAAAACACCTTTCAAATCCTCTTTGGATGGTTGAAATTGTCTTCCTAGACACATTCATTGCTAGGTAATTCATCAAGAAAAGCCGTCTGCATCCATGCGGAAATCAATTGTCTTTTAGACATGAAAGAAGCAAACTAGTGTAATGATTTTAGAAAACTGGAAAAAGTATAATAGAATCGTTTTTAACACCAAACTTTAGTTTCAATATAACAAAACAATATCCCTATGATTTGGGCAATTGAGAAATATTAATAAGTATAAGAAATCATATTATTAATATTAAAATTATCTGGAAATACCTCTTCAGTTTGTACATATACTTTATCTCTCTCCCTCTCTATCTCTCCGTTTCTAACTCTCTCTCTCTCTCTCTCACTCCCTCTCTATTCTTTCCTTCTTTTTCCCTGCTATACTAACTTGTGGTTAAAGCCTTACAATTTTTATATTTACTTTACCTTAAAACTTCATGGGAATTTCACAGACTTAGGATAATCCCGCTTTAGAAGCAATGTTAAAACAATGCCTTAAAAACTTTATTCTCGTCGACAGATAATTTGAGAAATCTTTCTGCCTGTTAAGACTCTAGGGCAATGATGTCAATGTTTGACATGTCTCTCTTTTCCGCTAACCTTTCATCTTTGCAAAAATAACGAGTCGAAACTTTAAAACACAAAAGTTGCCTTTCTATTACTTTTGAATCTTACTTTTGTTTATTTAGGGCTTTTGATTGCCCAATTAAAGCTTCATCGATTTAAAATAGGCCTATTTAATAGATCGGATCTACTTACAGCAATTCAGTCTGTAAATATAAATAGAATTTCGGTCTATTGACTGGTAAAATATCACCACGATATAGCTTAGGCACGTATCTAATTAAAAAACTGCGAAAAATCACAGATATTTACCAGTAATTCGTCTAATTTCTTCCATCTCCTAATAAGATATAAACTAAAGAAAAGTACAAACCATATTGTATTAATTTCATTTACAGTATATCCAATTGATTGTATTTACTACTTATATTTATTTCGGCGGGTATATGTTTATTTCTTATTCCAGTAAACTCTTTGATACAGGTGGCGCTATAACGAAAGGGTCAAAAAAGAAAAAAAACAGCTTAGTATTATATTGACAATATAATAATCCCATCGTATTAAACTAAAGGCAAGAGAAGAAAAGGAAAAGAGATAGAGAAATAGTTAACAGATGCTTACCTGATACAAGTAAGCAACTTGTGTATGAAAGGAGAAAATAATTGATTTGCTTCGAGCGTCGAATAATTTCTATTTATTGCTTATACATACTATATATATATATACAAATAGTATTCACTAATGTTTATCAATATAGATTTTTATAACGCTTGCTTAAAAGCTAGAAATACACTTTCTCGGAGCTAAGAGGAGATAAATTTTAAATTTTAAACACTAATTTCTAGTATTGGACTATTATAAGGCTTAATCAATTAATAATATGACAATTGACACATTTCTCCATTGTTCTTATATCATTATAAATAAAAAGTAACGATTATTCTAATTTGCTTGGAGGTGAAGTGTAACAAAAGAAGAGGATCACCCACTCTTTGTCCATTTCTTTAATTATTAATACCTTTCGATAGAATTTGTATATATCTTGGGAAAATAGAAAATATAATTACCATTTTAACTAAATGTGAATTCATAAATAAGTAAATATTTCCAATTCTTACTTATTTTAAACCAAAATACAAAAAAAGAACTCTCCTCACCAGTTTCTCTATAGTTTTTATAGTATTTTGGGTTTTGTTTCTTTTTTCCTTTTTGGCTATAGAACTATTTTAATTTTTAAATATACTTCATTTATTATTATTATTCTATATTTAGTAATAAAATAAGCCATTCTAGTCATTGCTTGTTATTTTTTTTTATGATTAAATATGATTTTGATCAATTATCTTTGCATTTGCTATTCTTTTTTACACTAGTTTTGCCTCTTCATTCGGCGAGGAGTGGAGAGGAGGGGAAAGGAAAAAAAAGCAACAAACTAATGATCGATTTACGAAATAGAAGAAAATTTCTTTCGAGAAATCGTGTAAAGCATAAAAAAGAAGATAACATCGATTGCAATTTACTGAGGAAGATATTTCTCTTCTCTAGTACATTAGACTTTATCTACGACTTCCTCCTTTTAGTATTAAAATTATATTTGAATAAAAAGTAAATGCTAGTCTTCCTTCTTAACTAAAATAGGTATAGGGTTAGAAAAACTTAACGGATAAAGTAGGAGGAAGAGAGTTAGTTCTCCTGGACCATTAATAATTCGACAGCATCTTATTCGTCATTAATGTTCCTTTAAACGAATTTTTCAATGCAATTCTTTCTTCATTCGAAATACTCTATTTGCTCCATATAGTATTTTATAGATATGTAGAAAAAGTGTATTAAATGCATAGGCTTAAAAGTAAAACGTCTACACTATTTATCTAATAATTAATGTTGAAAAAAGATATAAATTGAAGCACTACCCCCTTTCTTCAGTAGATGAACAGTCTAAGGAAAATTTAATTACAGTGTGTTCTAATTAACTAATCAGCTGTACTAGAATATTTAAATTAAAATAATTGATTACAGAATAATTAATGGAAAAAAAAAATAAAAAATATGATTGACCCCGACGTGATTTGAACACGCAACCTTCTGATCTGGAGTCAGACGCGCTACCGTTGCGCCACGGAGTCTTCACGCCTAGTGGTGTCAGAATTATGTAATATAAAATCTCAGCAATGAATTTCATCTAATTATGCAGTAGTGCCTCTAGCAAAACCTTAATAATCTATTTAAATTGAGTGAATAAGAAATAAAATCCTGGAAAATAATCTGAGAAAAGGCCATAGTACACAATGTAAGGGTTTGTATCTAATTATTTTGATAGGTCGTATAGTTTTGGTTATGATTCCAAGGAGTAGAAGAAGAATTCCGTGAGAGCTTTTATATTTATGAAATTTGCAAATTAAACGATTAAGTCGACGAGAAACTTCCATTATCTTTTCCTAAATTGTATCCTAATCGGACTAAACGGATTATTCAAACTTTAGTAGAGTACTCTGTTAGTTAAATAATTATACCACCAACGAATTTATATGAAGTCCCTCACTTATCAGAGAAAAATATAAAAGTGTTCTGAGAAGCCGGTTAGTCCCCATTTCTAATATTCTCATGAAACCATATATATAATAAAAAGTGACTATCTACTTGTTAATTCTCTCCCTACTTATGATATTTTCTAAAAAAAGATTTTTATCCAAGATAGGATCTTACTCCCCCTCTTTTTTTCCCCATTTCTTGAAAAGAAATGTTAGAATAAAGTATCGTAAAAAAAAATTTTCAATTTATGAAGAAAATCGATATAGAAACACTGCTAATAGCTTATTTGAACGATAAATAAACTGATTGAAAAAGCTTTTAAACCCCGATTTTGTTGCTTACTTCAAAAAAAAAACATAAAACACAAGAATAGAAGGCATAAGGTTTCTAAATTAGATGAAAAGAATAAGAGAAATCAACTTTCACCCACTTAATAATGTCAATAATTAATTACAGGCCTAAAAATTGACCATTAATTGCTGAGGTTGTTTTTTTGCATTTTCAATTTCAATGAGTTTTTTCAGCATTATCCTCGGTAGACGAAAAACTTAAGAATTGAGAGAAATCAATATACTGTATATTATACATTTAAATACACTATATACAATACACTACACGTATACTGTATATATAAATATAGTATCTGAACATAAAATGTATAGACATGCATCACATAAGCAAGGAATATGGTTCCTTTGGTTGTATATTTATAGATTTCGTACTAATTAGATTTTTTTAGACAAGAAAATACTTTTAGCCCATAACATTTCACTTTCGTAATCTCTTTAGTTTTTTTCCTTTTTTATTAGCGTTTGGCTTAGTCTTTGAAACCATGTTTTTGCCAAGTCCACTATCAAATTCATCTAACGCGTTCACTCTATTCAGAGAAAATATCAAATAATATTAAGGCTGTTTTATGAAATTTTGTACACATACTTTTTAATTGATGCCTTCAAACCAAATTTATATCCATAAACTTTCATTGGATTAAAGGAACCTTTAGCAGCTGTTTGTCTATCAAACTTAATGTCACTGGGTGCTTCGTTTAAACAAAAACTCTTGGCAACATGGCCAATATGTATATTCTTAATAAAAAAGAATTTTCTTAATTTTCCGGGATAAGCTGCGTAGGCTCTCAGAAAACTTCGAAAGCCTTTAAGGAAAAAATATGAAATAGTTAACCTAATAAAGCTAATATCTACATCTTCAATACAATATACCTTTCTTTGCAGCTTCTTTCAAGTCTTCATCCTCTAATGCCGTTTCAAACACCTTCTGCAATTCTATTGCCGCAACCTCTACAGCCTATATATTTTACAAGAATACAACTAAGAAACATTCTTCAATAGAATATATAATCAACCTTTTCTCCTTTAAGTTTCTTACTGATATCGTTAGCGAAGTAGATTAATAAGCATTTCAGAATATCATTCACTTCTAATGATTCAATTCTGCAAAAAAATAGCAAAAATTATATCTAAAACAACAACTTATAGCCATAAACTTTCATTAACATTTCAAAATAAATTCATTTGAATATTATCAATTAAATAAGATTGTATAATAGACCAAGCAGATAGGCATAGAGATTAATGGATTTTTTTAACATATAGATAAAGATATAAGTATGATTTACTTATCTTATAATTATACTAGAAAAATTTTTTGTTTTAAATAATTAGGCTAACCCTATATCGTTTTCTTTCAACATATCTAAGTAGCCAACTTCGGATGGAGCTAGAAATATTAATGCGTTTCCTTTAGCACCTGCTCTAGCTGTTCTTCCAACTCGATGAACATAGTCCTCAATTGAAGTGGCTGGATTATATTGAATTATCCAATCGACCCCCTGAAGATTAAGTCCCCTTGACCCAACATCCTATTAATACATAATATTATAAATATTATAGCAGACAAGTGTAATTAAGCTAATTACTAACGGTAGATAATAAAATTCCGCAAGTTGATTTGCTAAATTTCTCATAAACTTGACTTCGTTCCTGTAGAATAGAATATAGTAGAGTTAAAAAAAAGACCTATATTGACGTTCTTAGTTTTAAAATTCGAAAGAAGTTGAATAGATTAGAAAAAAGGTTAATGAAATATTCGCTATATCGAACCGTTTTATATGTTTTCACCTCAAAAACGATTTATTGTATTTTTTTCTCTTTCTTTTCGAATCAATATTAAATCCAGTCTTTAAATAGATAATTCTCAATGATTAATTAATTTATAATTGACTTTCAAATAGCAAACTATATAACAAGTGTACATATATTTAGTAAAATCAGAAAGTAATTGATTTTAATCTCTTTTGAGTACATATACAGTATATATGTTTACATTTATACCTAGTCCCTAAGCAAAATTATGGGAAATATCAATATTTAATGACTACATAAAAGATAAACGTTTAACGAAAGTTTAGCGGTCTTACTTTCGTATGGTAATGTTCACTGAATGATATTATACATGTGAATAAACAGAAGTATGAACTTTATACTCAAAGTTCAATTAATATTGCTCTTTTAAAGAATAATAATAAAAAATACCGCTACTAGACGCACCTTTTGTTCCATATTGCCATAGAGTTTGTAAAGATCGCATTCGGTTTGTAATTTGTCAACATCTTCAACATTTTTATTCAGCGTATACTCCAACAATCTGTACAAGAACTCAACAGTATCTTGAGTAGAAGAAAATACGATAGCCTTATTTTTCTTCTTGGAAATCTATTAATAGTTCATTCACTAAAAATCTTATGTAACATCAAGAGACAAAAAGTTATATACCTTGCATTTATCCAATAAAAAGGCTGTTAGAGTTACCAATCTTAACTTATATGGTACAATAACGCAAAAATTCTTCAAAGATATAGGAGTGGAGAATTTCTCCATATTCGATTCTTCAGCGTCTATTTTCAAAGGCTTTTTTAAAGCAATGCTCACCATACTCTCCACTTTATTCGTTAGTGTTGCGGAAAGAAGGATATTTTGCCTTAGAGAAGGATTAGATCTTTTATCAAGAGCTTCTATTATAGTTTTTATGTCTGCTTCAAAACCTAACTCTAGCAATCTAAGAAAAGGAAAAGATCACTTTGGATATAATTACTATTATACAAAAGGGGAAAAAAACCTGTCAGCTTCATCAATCACGAAATATTGGACATTTTGCAGGTTTAATGACTTTGTGCTCGTTATATGGTCTATTAGTCTTTTAGGCGTTGTTACTAGGATATTCACTCCTTTACGAATGCTATTAAAAGATGTATAATTATACAGCTATTACTTATTTTACACAAGAATAAATTCCAAATAATTACTTTGCTTTTTCTGTTTTTCTCTTTTCACCACCAATAATCAAACCGGGAACAATGCGAATAAAAGGCTGGAAAATAATTCAAGTCATTTATATAGATTTATCAGTCCCCCTTTTTTTATATAGTTACCTGAACAAGCTTTTGAAATGTTTGAAAAGTTTGCAAAGCAAGCTGAAATAATTAAACTTCAAGTTTTAATATCGCATTGTTTAAACGTAAAAACAACTTTGATAATTACCTCTCTTGTGGGCAGCATTATGATGGCGAAAACTCCATTACTTCTATTTATTTCGGGTGTTATACTTTGCAATTTGTGGAGAATAGGAATAGCATAAGTCAAAGTTTTGCCTAACATTGTTTTATAAGAAAATAAAACTCAAATTATAGCAAAATTCAATATTTGTTGCATAAAAACTTACCAGATCCTGTCTGACTCTTGACTAATATATCACTACCCTCTAACAGTTTTGGTATAGCCACCTCTTGAATTTTTGTCATTTCTGTAAATCCCATTTTACTTTGAACATAGTCTATAATAAATTTGTGAACTTTCAAACTATTGAATGAATTTGGTGCAAAAACTTTTTCAGGTTCGACAGTTGTTTTTGTGCTGTTGACAAAATTATTTTAATAATTTCATTGCGTTTAATCATCTAACTTACATTTCGATCTTGGGAATTTCAGGATTCTTTGTAAAAAGAGATGAAATAAACTGTCCTCCCTTATTTGGTTTTTGCTTTTTATTGGAAATCGAATTATTTTTTGAGCTTTTATTATCGACTAATTTCCTTTTCAAATTAGTTTTGACAGGCCGAGGCTTTGCCTTGCTGATTATATTTAGTTCAGTTTTCTTGAGGTTAAAAAAAGAAATATATTTAGTGAAAAGTTTTAAAGAGTAATTAAATTAAATCGAATTGAAAGACTTGCTCGAAAAATGGCTAACCTTTTCAATGTTGGGTTTCTTAGTAGGTTTTTTCTCAACATTTTTTTTTTTGGGTCCACTTGTAACAAAATTTATCATTAAATCACCATCGTTAAACATTTTAACAAATAAGATCGCTTAATAGATATTAAAATAATGTATAATTGGAAGCGTACATGTGCGTTTAGCAGTTTTTTGAAACATACATTCAAGAAACTGTGATAACTGGTATAGAGAGTGAGCGCAAAATATAAATGACATAGAGTTTTTTCTGATTTTATATAGTTTTTAATTCATTTGCAAATTACAAACTGCTCAAGAGAATATATTTAATTGAACGAATTTTCAAGTAAAATCACATCATTGTACTTTTCAATAAAGTTAATTGATGTATTCCATTATGGTTTCCTTGATGATGTTTGCTGCTTCTTGAAGCTGTTCTTCGCTGATAACCAAAGGTGGCGCGAATCTAATCTTATCAACGTGAGTTGGTTTCGCAAGTACACCATTATCTCTCAATTTCAGACATAATTGCCATGCGTCAATTTTCGAGTTCACAACAATAGCATTGAGCAGACCTTTTCCTCTTACAACAGATACAACGTCTTTCGGTAGCTCAGATAATTCCTTCCTCAGTAAAGCTCCCATTTTGTCAGCATTTTCGGCCAATTTTTCGTCTTCAAGAACCTCTAACGCAGTAATAGCAACCTTGGTACCCAAGGGATTTCCACCATAAGTAGATCCATGTTGACCAGGTTGAATTTGTAACATAATGTCATCGTCAGCTAATACTGCTGACACCGGATAAACACCTCCACTCAAGGCCTTACCTAGAATGACAATATCAGGTCTCACATTGTCATGATCAACACAAAGCCTCTTTCCAGTTCTGGCCAAACCAGTTTGTACTTCATCAGCAATAAATAGTACGTTATGCTTAGTACATAGCTTTCTAACACCTGCCAAGTAACCTTCATCTGGAACAACAACACCGGCTTCTCCTTGAATTGGTTCAACCATAAATGCGCACACTGTTGGATCGCTAAGAGCTTTGTCTAACTCTGGTAAGTTGTTATAGGGTACCAATTCCATGCGGGGCATGAAGGGGCCATATCCGCCATAACTATCAGAATCGTCACTGGAGGAAACGGCAGCCATAGTACGGCCCCAAAAATTTCCAGTTGCGAAAAGAGTTTTTGCCATGTTTTCGGGAATTTTCTTTACTTGATAACCCCATCGTCTGGCTAACTTTATAGCTGTTTCACCCCCTTCAACGCCAGTGTTCATTGGCAAAACCTTATCATAGCCAAACAATCCTGTGATATATTCCTCAAATTCCCCTAAAATATTGTTATAGTAGGCTCGAGATGTCAAGGTTAACGTAGTGGCCTGCTTCTTTAGAGTTTCAACTATTTTAGGATGGCAATGGCCTTGATTTACAGCGCTATAGGCCGAAAGAAAGTCGTAATAACGGTTTCCTTCCACATCCCAAAGGAATACACCTTCACCCTTAGCAATCGCAACAGGAAGGGGTTTATAATTATGGGCGCCATACTTGTCTTCACGATGAAATATTTCTTCAGATCTTGAACCAATCTAAATTGACAAAAAAAACATTTCAAGGCAATGAGATAAAATATCTTCCATTAAGTACTGTTAAAGCCTGTTAAATTGAAGAGATATAGAATTGTTTAAGTTAATCGAAAATAGTAGATATAAAAACATTACCAATTATGATAAGATTATTTAAAGATTTACAACAAAATTACAGAGAGGTGATTTCAAATCAAATTTGTGAAATGAGAAAAAGAGAGTTTGAGATATACGTCACAATGTTAATTATACTTTTGAAAAGCATCATGAAACAGCTGCGAATGAAACGTAAAAGTAACTTTAGAATTTTGGAATTATAATTTTTGAATAACTTATGAATAATACTTTGTCTTTTAAGAAGTTCAACTAATTTATTTTATCTAACAAAAACTATGGGGATGGGGAGAGGGGAGGGGGGAGAAAGAACTAAAATATGAAATACCACGTAATTAATTTTGTATTAAATTATTATAGCAATTAACTTTTACCTTTCTTAATGCTGCTGTGCTAGCTGCAGTGCTTTTTAAGCGCAAGCTTTGGATCGTCAAGCGAGTCAACATTATGGCTGAAAGTAAGTTATTGCATCAGTTTATTCTCATTTTATACCAAAGATACAGGCCAGTTCATAAGGCCTATTTTCTGGTTTGATAGCGAAACAATAGTCATATGACAAATTAGTAACGTAGATCTTTCCATTGTATTTAATACATTTTAAAATATGGTGTTTTTCACATGATGTTGCGAAATCTAATCTATTTTACGCAGATAAGTTGCGAAATTAAAGATTAGTTAGAAAATGGTCGTGTTCTACACGTGGTAGAAAGATGATAGAAAGATCATTCTAATTTAATTGAAAGCAACTCAATATTGAATTTGAATTTGTGATCTACTACTAGTAATTAAATTGCAAAAGATATGAGAGGTCTACCTTATCCTTGTCTGTGAATAAACGTATAAACATAAAATACAAACGTGACAAAACGTTCAGTGAACGGTTACTTGGAGCGGTGATTAACAAATGCAAATATAAGCCAAGAGCGGGAAGTTTAAAATGTATAGGTCATTCACGTGATTGAACTCTGCGTATTCATAAATCAGTCATGTCTGAAGCGACACACAGTGTACAACCGGAAAGTGATATTGAAACTTCAGATGTAGAAAACCGTAGATTATCAATGTCAGTGATAATCAAGAAGCAAGGGATAGTATCCCTGGTAAAAGCCCACCGAAGTAGTGAGAGATGCTGGGTTAGATAATAAAATATTTCTCAAATTTATCGTTAAACGAAAGAGGATATTTATATTAATAATACAATTTTAAACATGACTTAAACAGAGACGATTTATGGATTTATTCAAAAAGAAAAGATTTAAAACAGGCAAAAACATCTTTCTGGTTTTTTGCATTAAAGGTGAAAGTAAACCTGTTCTCGAATGCTTCCGTAAAGTTCAAGATGCGTCATTAAGAAAGAACTATGAAGAATTTGATTTATCTTTATCAAATTACGTTTATTTCAACGACATTGATGGAATTGTACGAATTCATGTTCAAGATGATATCTTTTCATTTAAAACTGCTAACATGTAAGTTAACAGCTCAGTTAGCAATGATATTATATAGAACGAATTATGACTAATGAACAGGATAGACTATAGAGTTGTTCTCTTACTTTAATTCAAACTTATTGAACATTAAATTAATTAATTAATATATTTAAACATTCAGAAAAGATAGTAAAGCAATAATTTTTTACTTTTTATTATAGTGAGGAAAGTGAGAATTGGTATCAGACAATAAATGTTTGTTTACAACAATTGAGAATTACCGAGGTAATTATATATAATTTTTATGTTATTAATCAATTTATTCATGTAGAAATATAGAAATTAGTATTGTAAAGGAGAAACTTTTATAATGATATAGACAGTTTTCTTTATTCTAAATAATACTTTACTTTTTAAATTTACGTATCTTTATTCATATTCATATTATACGTAGGCTTTACTATCTCAATATGGTGTTCAGTAATAATATTCGGCCTAAATTGTGAAAAATCTCACACAGAAAAAAGAATCTAACGATTATGTAGATTTCGTACCTAGAAGACTAGAAAGACCAATAAATATTAGGATATCTGATTTAGAAGACAGTTCGGAAGATGAACAAGAAAATAATATGAATGCTCCGGAAGTTGTCGAAGCTTTATGGTCTGGTGAATTAGTAGAGGCTACGTCGCCAATAACAAGGCAGTCCTCTACAGAATCTGCATCGAGATCATTGGAATTTGTCCCTGGGACCACTAGTTCATTTATTCATCGGCAGTCTTTAGTCGGAGAAGCAATAGTTACAAGCCCAATGTTACCAGACAGTGAAGATGTCATTCCTGCCCCTGATACACCTACCAGTATCCACTCTAGGTTGGTAAATGGCATTATTGTACTTATTTTCTTTAAATAAATAATAATTGTTGTTGAGATAAATGATAGACAAAAATTAGGATTTATATACTGTAAATATCAGTCATTAATTATATATTAATAATGTAAATATATGACATTTGCGGAGAGTTTTGTTATTCATTTTTCACTTAATTACCTATCTATAAGCTTCTAAATGTCCCAACATTTAGGCAGTCAACATCTTCTGATTACCGAAACTCAGAAGTTGTTTGCGACAATGAACTTCCTATTAAATATGATGGAGAGGATGCTGTTTTTGGATGGGAAGCTGCACCGTCGGATTATGATACACCACCTGAATATGATGAAAGAGGAGCAATGGGACCAATTGCACCTAAAGGTGTAGGATCTTTAAAACAACTTCAAGTAGAAAAATTAAAAGACGAGATAAATTGTACAGGTGGAGTTAAGGTAACTAGCAAAATAACTGTTTCATGAAAAGTAGCTGTTTTTGAGATGATACTATAGTACTATCTGCTTAGTTTAAAATAACACATCAGGATATACTTCCCGTGTTTTGAACTTGAAAATTACTATCTGTACTAGATTCTTGTATATATATATATAACATAAACTTAATATAAAATTCTGAAATACTACAACTTCAGGTTATCCTCAAAAAAGCCATTTGCTATCATTGTCTTGCTTTGGTCGACGCTCTTGACTCTGTCTGGTAAAATATAGTTATATTTGTTAAACGCATATTAATTAATTTCAATGCAAATCCATAGGATATCCGGGTGGCATACGACAATACGACCATATCTTAAACAAGTATTTCACATAGGAGATCAAGTTTTATTTGTAAATGGCCAAAAAGTTGAAAATTCGAAAATTGCCTACCAGTTAATAAAAAGAACTAAAGATGACGCTAATGTCACTTTTCTTATAAGGCGTATTCCGTACGCTACAGTCTTTGTAATTTCAAACCGAGAAGAATCGCAAGACTTGGGCATAGTTCGAAAAGGTGGAACAGCAGAAATAATTTCAGTAGTACAGGACAGTCTTGCTAATCGCTATGGGTTATCCGTGTCAGCTCATTTCGGAGGGCAGGAATGTAATTGGTTTCTCACGGAAATTAATGACCGGCCACTTAATTTATTCTTCAAGAGAGATGAGGTTCGTATAACATTGAGATAATTATATATAGTCAAATTACATAGTTTTGTAATTTCTTTATTAATGAAGGAAGTAACAGCCTATAGAATAATTGTACCCAGTTATAGCTCATTGTATTCATTAATAATTTTTCAGATTGAACATAGGCTACAAGCTGTTGGTCAAGATATATCTATTGTTGTTCAACCAATTACGTTTATTGAGCTGCTGAAAGGGCAATTGAAAATGTTAAAACGTCATGCGTCCTTTATAATGCATTAATTAGTTATTCAAAATCCCATCCTGCCTCTTATATTTCTCGCGGCGATATAATAAATTGCTTATAAAACATCTAAAGTAAATACTGATGTACAAAATTCACATAATGATAATATGCGAATATATATTTCATAACTAGTCCTGCAATCGCTATTTATCATATTGTCTTATTTTTTTCCATTCCAAAAAAAGACATCTTTCTAACTCATCTTTTCTTACTCTCTGTACTTAAAAAAAGAAAAAAAAATCTAATGCCTAAGAAGATACGTGATCAATTTTACTGCTATTGTATCAGTACATCTTTTTACTTTTAAGTAATAAATTTTAATATACTGTATGATATAAAATTAGACTCTATTAATCAAATAGTTTATTTAAAGTTTGATAAAATCAATAATAATGATAATAATATATAAATTTATATATATATATATAATAATGTATATATAAAGAGTTATTATTCCTAAACTGATCACAGTTATTAAGTCGATGCAGAGTATTATTTGTTATTTTTTTGTTTCTATAGACCTACTATTTCTCTTGATATTCTTCCCTCCCTCTCTTTGTCTGCCTTTCTTTCTCACTCTCTCACTCTCTCACTCTTCCCCTATTCCCCTATTCCCCTTCCCCCCTTTTCTCTCTCACTCTGACTCGTTTTATTCTCTCCCTAATTTTGCTCTCATTAGGACTTAATAGAAAGAAAACATTAATAGAATAAACAACAAGAACAAATAAAAATATAAATAAATATATACAGAGGCATTATATACATACGATGTGCTATAGACAGCAGTTATTAGACAATTATTATCAATATTATAAATAAACAAAGTAAAAATATTTGTATTAAGTTTAAATATACTGCATTAATTGACAGTATATAGTACATATATGTATATATATATTAGTAATAGATAATGACATATTAGACAGCTTCTTTCTTTCAATATATTCTCTTAGAAAGGATATAGCTGTTCTAAAAATAAAGACCAGGACAGTTTACAATTTTTTTTAATTGGCCTAATATTTCTTATATTTCTTTTTATTACATTATCTTGATCACTATCATAGCTATCGTTAATGTCGTTGTCATTTAATCACCGTCATGGTCATTTATTCTTTGAATTTCTTTAATAAATCTATTGAAAGCGTTACAGTTTATATTATTTGTTTCTAAACTACGTCTCATTAATAGATATAATTTTGCTTTGAAATACAATTAACGATTCCAGTGTTTCCTTTTTAAATGTTCAATGTTCAATATATATGAATTTTGTTTAAGTTTAAATAAAATATATATATGAAGATATCTGATGAAAAAATCATTTCTTCTATCTTCAATGATTTATCACAAATGGTACTCTTTGGATTATCCATGGAAAAAATATGTAAATAACTCACATATTCTCTTTAATAAATATCCTACCCTGTCGACTCCCGACCCACTTTTTTAAACCCCTCCTTAATCATTCTTGTACCTAGCTACAAAAAAGAAACAAATAATGCACGAATTTTAGTAAGAGAGGAGGGAGAGGGGATTTGCTTGTCTAGTGAAATATTCAGAAGATTCTCTAGATGATTTCAAAAGTGATAAAATTTCTTTTTTGCCTTCTTCATTTTGAATGATATTCGCTGGCAGCAATAGGATTTATGAATCCGAGAATAAAAATTGTGTTTCTACTTTTATCTGTCTAGTGTTAGATTTAGAAGGAGGGTAATATTAGCGACAAGATTCGATTTATCTAAAGTTGAGTACTAATATATCGTCTTGTTCTTGACCAAGTTCTTCTATTAGGAGTTTGTGTCTGCTTTTCAACTTTCCTATACAGAGGAACTCCTAATACAAAATGAGGATTCAATTCACAGACGTCCGGAAGATCTATAATTGCAACATCTTCCTTTTGAGCCAACATTTCCACTCTATCGTAGGAATCAAAGTTCCTTAGACGGAATAATAGCATTAAACTAACGTAAAGTATGAAATCAGGGAGTTCTTGAGTAAGCGGCGTTACGTACGCAACGTCCTGTTTATTGAAATAAGATAACTTTTTAAAGTTTTCACTATAAAAACATAATGCGGTAAAAAAGTACAGATTTATAAAGTTTACCTTAAAGATGGCGTCGATACATCTTAAGAGACTAAATGCAAAAGTATAAGCTGCACAAATATTCCTAAATGCGGACAGAATATTTTGCTTCGCTGCCAACTGTTGGTCCATCGTAATGGTTCCAAATCGATAGCGCAAATTGAAACGATTAATTAAACGTCGATATCTGGAACGAATCTTTCGAAGAATTTCAAGGCTCTCTGAACACCATTTCATGCTTTTGTACATGGAGAACATTGTAAAGCAAAGTGTTAATGCCTGTTTATTATAAAAAAGAAGTACTTGTTTGTAAATATATCAATTTTTGCATGATTATGTACTGCACATATTCATTGTATAAAGTATGAAATATACACAACTCGACAGGAATAACTTATCGATCAACTTACCATTACGTAGTGGTGTATTAGCTTTGCACTAGTAACGGACGCAAAGTAGAGAAGAAACAGCACTGTGTTACGAAATCAATAAATATAATAATACTAAACAATAAGATCATTATTTGAAAAATTGAAAAAGAAAGAGTTTGTTTACTTCAAGGTCAAAAATAGACTATTCATTAATTTTATCTCCTTTTGTTAATTACTTAAGTTATAGTTTCGATCTATTATTTTTTCTTAAAAGTATTCTTATTAAAATTCATAATTGAATGACATGCCTCCAACGTCGTATGAAGCTGACGCTTGAGTAATTCTAAGCGAACTTTTATGGTAATTTACAGTGCACTTTGAATAAATTCTACCCTTTTCAAGGTTATTTTTTTATTTTTGGTATTTCTACAGAATAATCAAATAACACTTGTTTAACCTCTTTCCTCACTAAAACCCGTCCGCCCTCCACCCTCTCCGCAAAACTATTTATTCCTCATATGCTAATGTATATGTAACAAAACATATATTTTAAAAATAAAGTTTTACTTACCTAAGCAGCCAGTAAATCTATTTTTGGCGATGTATACTCTTATAATAGCCCATCCAGCACTAATTAATAACATTAGAGTAAATAATAGAGATTTTTCCAAATTAGAACACAAAAGATTGATAGTAGTGTAATCATCTCTCTCCTCACCTGCTCAAGAAATAATCGATAAAAATTTTTCAGTGTTTTGAGTTACTTAAAAAATGTTTGTTATTTTATTTTACGTTCGAAAAAGTTCATATTTTTCATTTACAAATATCATTTATAATTGAGAAATAAGAAATGAAATATATATATATATATATACCTATTTGACTAACACTATCTTGCCATTGCAACAGCCCGACGGCTACACAAATCAACTTCAGAAACAATGCTATGGTAAGCAATTGATGAATTCGATTTGAATGCTGTATAGATTTTGAAAAAGAAAAATTCATTATTAAAATTATAGCTATCATTTGTACATTAATAAAAAAACTACGAGTTACGATAACTTCTATACGATATATATACAGTATATATTATTCTCTTCTTTTTATCAATAATTATTAAAATACAACAAGAATAATACAGAGAAACCAAATCGTTCTTTTTATTTCCAGGAAAATTAATATGAACGCATAGAATTTGTATACAAGTGCAAATATGCTTTTTATACTCTTTGAGAATGACTGCTAATTAGATCTTAGTGAAATCTGGAAGAGATATCAATTATCATCCTTGGAAAATTTTATATATTTTTAATATATATATCGTATAATATATAAATACGTTCTAATATTCTAACAGACTAGTTCTTGTAATTTGACTTGTGAATATTTAAAAAATGAATTGATGAAAAAAGGAGATTGATAAAAAGTGCTTTTAATATAATTATACAAAAAATTGATATATAATATAGATTATAGATGTCAGAAGGAAAAAATTGTAGGTAACAAAATACTTAAATGATTAGTTTAGGTCAGGGAAACAATTGAGAAGATGAAAAAAAAAAGAAAGTTTTCCCTTCATATTTACTTTATTATAAAAAGTAGGTTATATAATAGTTGAAACATTTTACAATACTTTTATAAAATGTGTTGTTGCTTACCCTGAAATGAAGGAAAAAATTGAAAAACCATATAGTTAGTTGACCAGGCCATATAATACATAAAGCAGTATAAATCAGAGGCATTGCAAATTCATCAGTACTCAAATGATTCCCATTCAAATTCAACAGAGTTACTTTAGCTGAGCATCTTTGAGGCCAACTGTATGTTTGATTATTAACGTTTGAGTCTGGACATTGTGCAAGCGTAACAAAATGAAATTTCCTTTCTAAAACAGTTAATTTTGCTTCATTATTAACTAATCTCTCCCGTACACACCCTGATTCAGGTGTCAAAGTAGGTTTCGTTTCTAGATAATTACATCTAAGTAGCGTTGATGGAGGACTGGCTGATGAAAACTGTAAATATACAATTAGAATAATTTTAGCTTAGTAAAAAAGAACATTTTTTATTAACAACTCTATAAATAATTAGTTCAAGGAAAGAACACTAAGGTCTCTTGTTTGCAAGAATGAGGATAAGGTCTAAATTCTTCGAAATCTTGGTTTAAAAGGTCAAAAGTAACATTATTATGTTATTTTAAATTTTTGTGAAATGAAAAAAAAAGCATTTGGTTTTAATTTCGTTAAGAGAGAGATATATAGAGAACGCGCGGAGGAGAGGGGAGGAAGAAAGAAAGGGAGAGAGATTAAATAATTTCTCTAATATATTATATACAGTATTTGAAGCATATGATAGATATATTCTGATACTTATACTTGAAATATATACATATATAATGCATATTAGAGTATATACTAGAAGAAAAGAAATCATTCATTTTTCAATGGACTGTGTTGACTCTAATTTCTTTATTTAAGGAAGGAAAAGAAGAATTGTTCAAAGAAAAGAAATACTATAGAGAAAAAATAAGAAGATTGGAAATAGTAATGTGTTAACATGATATGTCCAGTTGATTTTCTGTTTAATCTTTATATATTCTTTAAAACAATTTGCTAATTTCCCTGTTTTATATCATATTTGAAACAATAACACACATTTTCTGTTGGTTTATATGTCTGGAAAAAGTACTGATAGTATTTATTCTGATTATTTTATCTTTTATTCTAATTAAAACGGGCAAGAATTTTACTTGTATCTTTATCTTACTCTCAAACTGTTTATTTTTATCGGATTTATGAAAAGAAAAAGAGCTTAAGCTATATATATATATATATATATATATATATATATATATATATATAAAGAACCATTGGAAGAGGTCTATTTATCTTGTATTTATATATCAGGTTACTAAATTTTGTCATCGACCTATTTATTTAATGTTACTATTTACAAGTTTATATTCTAGATAAAAACAAAAACAGAAAAGAAAGAAGCTTATTTAAAACCATTGTATCTTGTCCTATTTCAAGTTAATTTGACTTACTTTATATTGCATACAAAAAAGCTATATAGCATCTTAATACCGAATAAATAAATAATAATGTTACTTTCTATGTTTAAGTTTAATTAGATATTAAAAGATCTTGAGGTTTAGAAGGTTATTTTATCTAGCTACATAAGAAAAGATAATTAATTTTGCTTTTTTATTATAGACGTATACAGTATATAAGAGGTATATATACTTACAAAGGTAACTGGGCCTTCTGAAATGCTGCAGACAATTAGCCACAAGTTTGGCTTAACAGCTGCAGGATAACGTGAAGCCAACTGAAAAACAAAAAGGTATGCTGTAGATAATAAGAAAATATGCATAGAATTCGTAAACTTTTACTATAATTTATAACACGAAAAATACATTCTTTCGCAAAATTCGACCTGTTTGGAAAGCTTTCTATTTAAATATGCAATTTTACTATATGTTTGAGTTTATTTTATAAAATGAACACATATACCGTATGTATAGTACACGTATTATACATAATGCGTATTGTATATGAATGAATAAACGCTCATGTTTATTACAATTTATCGAATTCTACTAATTAAAATATTTAAAAAAAAAAGTAATAATTCCTTCAAAAAAATAGTTATCATAAAAATATTACTATAAAGTAGGTTTAATAGCTACAGTTTTACAAGATACTATGTTAACTGACTGCGTCTTCTCATGTCTAGACGTAATAATATAAATGTTAATTAAAAGTATGAAAACGAGATAAAAAGAGACGAATCTGTTGCTCCTTTCAAGGAGGCACTTTTTATTACAAAATTCCTTATTTGGTGGGAGATATAAGCCAATTAATAGAAAACAGCGATAACCTTTTGCCAAAGTTTACAATTAAACGACGAATCAACAATGAGACATGATTTATGCATTAAAGTAAAACATTCTTATTGTAATGTATGATGAGTTCATTCAGTTCCTTTTTTTTCATACTCGTACTAATTAAGCGAAAAAGGTAAGGCGTGGGATGAGAAGAAAACAAAATTAAACACAATTTACGTATAAAGATGAAGCTTTTATTAAAAAGTTTCAATATTATTAAAATTATATATTATAGTATCACCTATTATTATTAGAATATGACTCTATCGTATAGATTATATTTATGGATTTTTTACACTTGAAAATCAAATATTCTTTACTCTCTCTATCTGTCTCTCCTTATATATATATATATATAATAGAATCCATAAAAGTATGCAAAACAAAGCAATATAGAAGAAAAAAAGGAGAAAAGAACAAGAAGTTTTGCAACTATCGGATAAGTCATGAAACAAAAATAAATCATATCTTTCTAGAGTATTATGAGCGCGTGGGCGACAAAGTACAGAACCAAATTTGAGACACGAATGCAGACATATAGAAATAGACACCTTCATCCTCAATTTTCATGACCACTAAATTATTTAAGTCACTGGAGAACGGCTTTAAGAATTTAAATTAACAGATTTATTGCTTTGAAAAAGCTTTTGACTCTGTGATTGCATAGTTAGTTTGTAGAGATTATAGTATAAACATTGAAGCTTTAAAAATGTTCAGTTTTATATTATTACTAGTATAAATAGTTTAAACAAACTAGATCTATTTTCAAGTTTATTTATGTACAATAAAAGTCTTTTTGTACATGAATTGTATAGGAATTCTATTTGTAATGATTTTCTACATACCTGGTAAAAATGGTTTGTTAGATGCACACTGATTGTCTATTGTATAATAACTATAATTTAGATCAACATATCAAATCTATTAATAGAAATCACATCTATTTGAGAAAATTTCAATAGAAATATAATTTTCTATTGAAAGTATTAAGAGAGAATAGTTTTGTTAAGAATATTGAAAAGAAATCTTCATCATTCTTTTAGTATTACGTAAATGATAATCTTACAAGGGAGTATTATATTATATTCTCTTTATAGTTTCAAACTTACCGAAATGTTAACAATTAGATTTTCATTTGAAAAATATATATTTATCAAGAAAAATAATAGTAATCAAAGAAGATTTAGTGAAAATGTTCTTTTCTTTTTGTGTTATAGTTTTATTGTTACTATAGCAAGTCATTGAATTAAACAATTTCCGCTCTCTTACCTTGGAATCAGTACAATCCAAGTCGACAGATGCAGTACCTCCAGCTTCAAATCCAAAATTTTTATCCATTAATCTGTCATGCAGAGCACCCTCTTTATTATAATAGATTCGGATCACTTTCCTATAAATTCGGCAGTCGGCCAAATAGACAAATATTAACGCGTAGAAACTGAATATTATCACCAGACGTCTCATACTGATTTCTTTATTTATCAATAAACGAATTTGTTAGCAATCGACTAGCTAACAATTCGACTACGTCAAAATAAAAGGTGAAATAGTTGAGAAACTCTAAATTTCTAGGAAGTAGTCTGGTTGGCACCGGAATATCATATGGAACACAAATCAGTTTAAACAGCGCCATCTATGGGAAAAGTGTTGCAACATGGCAGCTGAAATTAAGGATTCGCTACCACCCGGTGTTGACCCTAATAACACAATGAAATTACAATTACTTAGAAAAATTGATAGTTGTGAGGATAATATAAATATGGCTATTTTGATTCAAAATGAAGATGGATTGATTAGCATCTCCGATGACAAGTAAACGACCCTTTTTTTCTTTACTCTTGCTACATGTTAATATATAGTGTATAATATTGCAACGACGCCTCTAATGACTAATACTTGAATGACAATTTCAGAACAATTCGAATATGGTTAAAAAGAGATACTGGTCAATATTGGCCTAGCATTTGTCACAATTTACCTGGTAAATACATCCATTCCTAATTAACAATTGAGCAATTACATATATTTATTTACATGTGTATATATTATTTTTGAAATCGTTTTGAACAGCAATACCAACTTGCCTGGAATATGAACACGTTACTCATAAATTATTTATTGGAATGGAAAATGGAACAATAAGCGTAAGTATATTCAAAATATTCTAAAATAAGATAGATAGATTTTTCGTTAACACCTTCTTTTTAATCTAAATACGAAATGAGCAAAAAAAAAAGATAATAATAAATAACAATATAAAAAAGACTGCGTCTATATTTCTTCTATTTTGTTTCATTAGGAGTACAAAGTTTCAGAGGACTATAATAGTTTAAAACAGGAACGTGACTATCTTGGTAATATTATTATTTCTTTATTTATTACATAATTTGTTAATATTGTTTTTTTCTTACTATCTATTATTCTCTGCTTGTCAAACGATGTAACGTATAGTCATAATTTTTTTTTTAGCTCATATACTCAAAGTCACGAGTGTTCAATTTAGTCCTACTGATAATTGGTTGTTAAGCTGCTCCAGAGATAAAAACTTTCAATGGCATTGCACTCAAACTGGAAGAAGACTGGGTGGCTATGTTACGAACGCTTGGTGTACTTGTTTACAGTTAGTTATATAGTTAAATTATGTAACGCTCTTTTACTCTTTTTTACCGTTTTTTTTCAAGGTATGATACACAAGCAAAGTATGCATTCGTTGGCGATTACGCTGGAAACGTCTCTCTACTAAAACTAACAAGTAATGAAGGTAAAATCTATAAATATTTTTTTTATTTCTTATTAGTTAATTAATTTAAGGAACTTATTATAAAGCTATTAATTAAGAGAAAGTATAGTGTAAAATACCCTTTTGAGATGGTAGCCACTTATACGTACCTAGCTTTCCGAATAGAGCTGCCATTTAGAGCAAATAATACAAAATGGTCCTTATTGTAAGACAAAATTCGATAACAAAATAACAATAGCTACACGAAAAATTACAGTATTATCTATACGAAAATATCTTTATACAATTCAATAAGAGTCAGAATATATTAAACAATCTATTATACAGTATATTTATATATATTTTATAGTACTATTCTTACATTTAATAAAACACGCTCTTTTTTATTGAAACACAGAAAAAAAATGATTATCTTTATCCTTACAACGAAATTTTATATGATTTCGAAACTTTAGACTATTGTAGTTGTAATTCTGGATTCATTTGAATGGTTTTATTAAATATTGTTCGGCTATAAACGCATTTACGCCATCTACAATATAGTTGTAACGAAATTTTTTTTTATAATAGGCTTAGAATTGGTTACAACTCTAAAAGGCCATTCTGGAAGTATATGTTGCCTATGTTGGGATTCGCAGAAGCAGCTGTTATTTTCTGGTAGCTTTGATCAAAGTATAGTCGTATGGGATATTGGAGGTCAGAAAGGTACCGCCTTCGAACTTCAAGGTCACAGAGAAAAAGTTCAATCTGTTGTTTACATTCCTGAATCTAAAGTATTAGTCTCTGCAAGCGATGATTGTACAATTGGTATTTGGGATTTAAAAGTTCAAAGAAATGAAGTATGTAAAAGAAGACAGTTATTAGTGTTACACTTACATTTCATTTATTGTTTTAATTAATAATAGTGTCCAGAATGGGCTGAAAGTAATGACTGCCAAAAATGCGATCGACCTTTCTTTTGGAATTTCAAATCAATGTGGCAACAAAAAACCTTAGGTGGACGCCAGGTAATTAACAATAATCTATAATAAATGCTTTAGCTAATTGTAATCTATGTCTATTTACAGCATCATTGCAGAAAATGTGGTCTTGCCTTTTGTGACAGCTGCAGCACTAGAAGAACAACAATACCGTTGTTAGGATTCGAATACGCTGTTAGAATATGCGATAGGTGCGACGAGTCAATATCTGATAGTGATAAAAAACCATTAGCCTTCTTTCACGATTCGAGACATCATATAGTAAATGCAAGCTATTCAAGTAGAACAAAGATGCTCCTTACTGTGGGAAAAGACAAAATAATGAAGGTTAATTATGTTTATAATAGAAATTATAGTACACTAAAAAAGACTTTTTTATTGCAGTTATGGGATATGAAACCAGTTTTGAATTAATTCACAAAAATTCTTCCATCCACCTCAACGAAAAAAATATAATTATAAATTTATGCAAAAAATTAAGAGATAGAAATGACAGTTGAGAATTTATAGTATTCAAATGCTATTATATGTCTATAATATGGATTCTTGACAATAAACACATAAGAAGCTCTTTTTTCATACAATTCAAGAATGCTAAGAATATGCTTACTTTTCGTTTTAATTGAATATATATATATCTTTTTTTTGTTTAATTTTGTTTAAAAAAAATTGATACAATGTCTGAATCATATTATATCTGAGCATTTAAGATAATTCATATTAATCGTTAATAATTTGCAATTATTTCTCTTTATGAAATTATTAAAAAGCATTCACTCCTGTATTATTGTTTGTCTAAAAGTTTGGTAAGTACTGGTTTTCTTTTTAATATAAATTTATAAGTATATATATGTATATATTATATACTTTAAAATTCAGTAAACCGTTTACTATCATATGTTTATTATTTATAACTATTACGCAATGGTTGATATTTTAATACATATTTTTATTGCGAATATAACTTGAACACAATATTCTCAAGAAATATCGATAAAATTCACCCTTCATTGAATTGTATATGCCTCAACCAATACCTAGCAACTTATATAAACAAGCCAGAGCTGTTCAATATAGTCAATATTTTCAAAACTTGAATTTAGAAATGATCTTGTCTGCATCAACTATAAAGGATCAGAGTCCTGATAACCCTAATTTGGATGGAGATTACATAGCTCTTCTACAACAATTGAAAACATGTGACAGACCGATTTCAGGAAAAAAACGACTACTAAAAACTATTTCAAAGATTGCCGGAAATGGCTCGGTGGAAGATAAAACTGACTATTCAGATTTATTTGACGCGGTTGAAAAGAATAACTTGAATTTATTACAAAATTCTGATTTAGTTTCGGCTAAATTAAATGGGAAAAGCTTATTACATCATGCAGTTTTACTCGAAAAGAAGGATGTAACTACTTATATCTTGAATAATCATCCGAAGATGATTTTAGAAAATTTTGATATATATGTAAAAGGTTTACAATCTCAAAAGAATATTGTACACATTCTAGCAGAGAATGGTGACTTAGATTCTATTAAATATGTTCTATCAGTTATCGAAACTAACAAATACAACAAACAAGCGTATATTCATCAAACTGTCCTAACTGAAATCGCTGGACAAAGGCCAAGATTACTGTCAATACTTCATCTCGCGGCTCTTCATGGCCATACTGAATTAGTCATATACCTAGTTGAAGTAGTTGGAATGTCGGTGAATTTAACTAACAACAAAAATGATACACCAGTTCTTTGGGCGGCAAGGTGAACACAAACTTTTACTATCAAATTTATATTTAATATTTATGTTCGATAATATCATAAATAACATTCTTAGAGAAATTAATCATAATAACTATGTTGATTAATTATGAAAGAAATTTTTTAATATTTTACAGATGGAATCACATAGAAACAGTTAAGGCTATGATAACATTAAAAGCCAATTTGCAACATCAGAATGATAAAGGATCCACGCCTTTGTATTGGGCAATACGTTACGGTTTTCCAGACATGGTTAAGGTCTTAATTGAGGAGGGGAAAGCTGATATAAATCAAACCCGTAAATTAGGCTTAGTTTCGCCATTAATTTTAGCCGCTTCCATGGGTTATAGCCAAATTCTTGAAATTCTCTTGGAAAACGGCGCCAATGTTGACACAACAATACACGGACATGAAACTGCCCTTCACTATGCAAGTGCCCTCGGCCATACAACATGTGCCAAAATACTCCTGAACAAAGGTGCGAGTGTTGACTTTCTCAATGAACTTGGAGAAACACCTCTTCAGTTAGCTGCAATGGGTGATCATTGTGAAATAGTAAACCTCCTCTTGGAGAACGGTGCAAGATTGGATCATAGCAGCAAAGATGGAACTTCTCTTTGGCATATAGCAATTGAAAAGAAAGATACAACTCTATTGGAATTGTTTATTCAATTTTACATGCAAACACGTCGCTTATCGAAATTAATATTTCCAGAAAATACACGTAGTCCACTTCATATAGCAGCTTATTACGGTTCTGTATCGGCAATTAAAGAATTCAAAGAATATGGGGTTGACTTACAAGGTTGCGATGAACATGGAAATACTATTTTACACGTTGGAGCAAGGGAAAATCATTCCGAATTTCTTTCAGAATTTTTAGACCACAGCCTAGTAGATTTACAAAGTAAAAATGGTGAAACTGCACTACATGTTGCAGTTCGATACGATCTGAGCGAGTCTGTTAAAGGTAATCAATTGTTGAATTACTCTTTATAATAAAAACATATATATTGTATGTAAAGCATAAAATGATCTAACCAACGATTGATTACCTTTAAACTATTAGTTTTATTAAAAAAGTCTAAACTAAGCATTTACAATGAACAAGGAGAAAGTGTAGTTCATGTTGCTGCAAAATCGTCATCGCCGGAAATTGTCTCTTCTTTAATTGAGGTCTTAGTCAAAACGGCTAGTTGGTCTCATGTTAACAACGGTGATAAGCAAGGAAACACAATTCTTCATATTGCTGCACGTTTTGAAAGATCTGATTTATTAAAAACTTTAGATGTTGTTAATCCAAAAGCTCAAAATAGAGATGGGGATACTGTAGTTCACGTGGCTGTTCGATACGCTTCCGCTAACCTCTTACAAATCCTACTTGGAACTTTTGACGCTAAATCTTTGCCAATTGATGCTCAAAATATCGTAGGAGAATCTCCTTTACATTTAGGTTTGACAAAAAATTTATTACTCTAATTAAGCTAATTTGATTATTGTAAATTCAGCTGCAAAACTTGCGAAGAATGAACATGTTGAGATATTGCTCAAGGCTGGCTGCAATCTACTTTTAAAGGATAAGAGAGGAAATACAGTTTTACATACCTTAGTACAAGCGTCTATATCAACAAATATAGATTATATGCCTACTCTAAACGAAATCATAAAAGGATCAACAAGATGGTGGTGCGTTGTAAACGACCTTACTCTGCCTGATAATGATACAGACTTGTATGATGAATACAGAAGGGCTTCATTAATTAATCTAACATCGTGTCAACTAAATAATAGTGATTTATCTGTTGTAGAGTTTGCAGCAAAATTGGGCGCTAAAAATATTTTAGCATCTCTTTTGAATCTTAAAGACGTATACGTCTTCAAAGATGAAACAACTACTATGTTTGATGTAAGCAACCTTACTCCCAATACACAAATAAATAGAAGCTTTAATTCTAAAAAGAACCAAATAAAAGAAGATACACCTAATAAACCATCTTGTTTAGATCTTATTTGCAATATTGAAGATATAAACGTTTCTAGCGAAATTCTTCGGATGACGCCAATTGCACAATTGGTTGTAAATTACTGGGCTCCTTATAGATGGTTATTCGTTATTCTTATGGTCATCCATATAGGCTATATGACTACTCTGAGTGTATTTGGTATTCAATTTTCCGAAAAAAATGATGTTTCATCACTTGCTGGTAAATTATTTAATTATATAAATCGTTTCTACATATTTTACCTTTCTTTAGGTTTGTTACTGATATGGCCGGTAATTCTACTATTATTCGTATTTTATTACGGTCTACAGAAAGTCTATGTAAATTGTACAAAGAAATTTAGGAAAAGTTGGAAATCGGATAGAGAAGATACTAGGAATATCTTTACTAGACTGCTAGATTTTGTAATAGATTACATGTCGCAAATAACATGTTTGATATTTTCTGCTTCTCTGATTGCTTGGTATATCCTGTATAGAGTTTCCAGTGGCGATAGAAATTATCCTTTAGCCGTTGCTTACGTATTCGGGTGGATGTTTTCAATAAGTTTCACGCAGGGCTTTGAAGCTATTTTTGCCTTCTCAATAATGTTTAAATACATTATTATTAGGGATATAATTCGATTTCTCTTCCTTTATATATTCGTCTTGCTAGCATTTTCATTGGCTTTACATTCTCTATTTCTAATGGCTCCTGGACTCCTAAGTACGTTCACCTCTCAATGGGATACAATATTTACAGTTTTTAATATGATGATTGGCATGTCTAGTTTGTTTGAAGGAGATGAACTAGTTAAAGAATACGAGAAAGTAAATATAAGAGGTTTTAAGGGAATAATTCAAATTTTTTAATTATATTCTTCGACAGGTAAACAAGACCATATGGACGGTTCGAATTACTTATTTAATATACATTATTCTGGCCACTATAATTCTACTGAATCTACTTATTGCTATGATGAATGACTCTTATGTTGCTGTAAAGGCAAGAGAGGGCAGCACGTGGCGGGTAGGAAGCATAAAACTCGCTCTTCAAATGGAAAAATCTGTACCGTGGTTGTCAAATGCTCTTAAAAAGATAGGAGTTGTGAGAAATAGAGTTAGATGGAATGATGATATCGAAAGATATATGTTTACTGTTTCAAATTCTCTACTACAAGATAGTTCATCTCTCCAAGTTACTACTACAAATCAAGCTATAAAGGCTTTAGATATTCAAGTGTCTCTTTTGAAGAAATCAATCGAGAATCTATCAAAGAAAATAGCGGAAATTGAAGAGAGAAGACATATTGATAAAACTTTACACGCCTTCAGGGATGCAGTACGAGTAAAACAAGGTCCTAGGCCTGTAACTGCAACAAGAGCACCAAGACCAACAACAGCCAAAAGATCTTGACATCGTTGTAAATTTCACAAAGTGTTTTTTGTACCCATTTTTGCTTATTGCTTATTAAATACTTAAATAAAGTAACTTCTAGGCATTTAAAATGAAATAAAATGTTATCTTTTTTCATTTGATTAAGACTTTTACTCCAAAAAGAATCGAAAATGAACTAATTTTAATCTATACGGAGAGTGGGGGAGGGGGTGAAAAATTCCTTAAATAGAAAAAGAGTCTTTTGCATATTAATGTGATAACTAAATCCATTTGAAGCGAAATCAAATGATTGATATGTAAATGCTTAATTTAAGTTTCAGCTATAACTGGTACATAATTTAACACATATTATGAAATTCATTACTTAAAAAGATCTAACTATTTTAGACATAATTAATTTATTAATAAAAAAAAGAAGTTAGTTTTTCATGTTATTTTGTCAATTAACATTGAAAGCAACAAGTGTAATTGGATTAGAAAAGTATTGTCAAAAAAATGTCATATTAATAACTTGCTGAATACATTCATTATTTAAGTAACATAAACATTTAATCAAGATAAGCAATAAAAACTTAAAAGAATAAAAAACAACGTTCGGTGAGAAAATAAAAGAAAGTGTTAAAAATAATTTCAAACTTATACCTTGACAGTCATCGTAGGAAAGAAATTCACTCTAACTCACTATTTAATTAATGTGACAGGCAGGATAAACTCTAATCGTAATTTATTATAATTCGATAACATAATTCAAAGTAAAACCGTCATGTAGCTTTTGGTAAATCGTTAATAAAGTAAAGTTTTTGATTTTCTTATTCATATTTTTAAGTTATCTTTTTTTTATATATCCCTTTAAAAGCCAACATGTTTGATTGGTAGGCACAATTATTAATCTTTTTTTTAAACAATTATTCAGTATATACAGTAATTTTTGAAAAGCAGTCTATAAATCACAGAAATGCTTAACTTTCAATAGGCAATGGATGAGCTTCCGTATTGAAAACGTATTTGTCTAATGGTACTACAGAGTCATCTGAGAATAATAAATATAAATATTTGAAGGTCTCAGCAAACACAAAACTCTGCTGAACGTCATCTTGTTGTGGGTGAATTTGATAAACGTCTTTAATTCCTGAAAAACCGGAAGCTGTCCTACAATGCTTTTCGATGGCTTGAGCTGCCTCCCATCCCCACTCTCTGTATTTTGGATCTTTGGTTAATCTCCACATGTAGAAGTACGTTTCAATAACTTCTGGCCGCAAAATATAGTACTTTTCATTTGCTCTCACTGCAGTTGCTTCTGCACTACCAGAAAAACGAAACGATTCAGGCCCTAATTTCGTTGGTGTCCGATCATAACTTTCGTGACAAGTTTTTGCTATTTCGGCTCCTAAATTCAAGTAATATTGTTTATTAGAGGAGCCTTCGGCGCCTAATGCCAGCATTCCCCCGCAGAAACACGCTAAATGATCCATTTTATGTTCTAGTCTCCCAGATTTATATTCGGCAAAATACTTTAGACCGCCTGAAGATGTTTGAAGTAGTTTTTCTTCCATTGCCTTGATAGCATTGTCATACAAAGTTCGTAATTCAGATTTGGTTTTTTTGCTAAATATCCAAGCTTTCAATAGATATTCGTAGAATGAATCACCCAGCGCTCCAATGGAGACATGCCTCTGTCCCCAAGAGCCCGATCTAGGATTCAGATAGTTGGGGTAAAGACCATTGTCCACTGTCCCTGCGCTTTTAATAGCTGCATTTATTTTGTCAATTTTCTGCGCATAAATAGGATTCGAAGTTATGCGACTTAAATAAGTAAACTCTAAAGATAGAGATCCAAATTCAGCAAGTATAGATGAACCTAACAAAGAAAAAAATAATAATATAAACAAACTTTCTAACTTTCATAACATTTTTATTTAGAATTTTCACTTTGAAATATTACACATCATATTTCTTCACATACGGAATTATCTTAGCTAACTTATTTTCCTATTGCACAAATTATGCGACCATAATCAACATTATTTATGTCACGCAGCCTTTTACACTTCAATGATCAAATTATTTAACGGCTTTGCTACATTATCAATGAATTAAACTATAACAAAATGTTTAAGATAAAATTTATAATTGTCTTATTTTATATTACATCTGTTAATTTCGCAGTGTAGATAAATAATGTACTAGAATTAAGTACATAGTAAAAGAGAGAGTAAGGAAAGAAGAGAGCTATGAAAGAATAATGTAACATTATTTATTAAATGTAATTAAAGCAACATATATGTAGAATTCATTTAATATGACCTGTGCAATCGCTAAATACAGTATATTTGATTGAATTTATATTATAATAAAAGGAATAATATCATCTATTTTTAAACTATACTTCAAAAGAAACTCTTGTAGGTATTATTAAAACCCGATTATTTTATCCTATATTATTTAACAGCTGCCGAACTTGAGAAATAATAAATCACTAGATGTTAAGTCTATATATTTTTGTAATTTTAATTATGAATGGGGAACATATTTTCTATAGAGAAAAAAAAGACAGAAATAACTAAAGTATGTTATAACTGTATATAGTATATATTGTATATCTATACTATACAGTATATGATATAATAAATTCTTATCTCTTATTCATCATAATTAATATTTTATTTCATTTCAAAAAACTTTTATGAGACTGATTGATCATATTTGTTTTAAACAAGAGAGAATAGATATTCTTATGAATTTTTTATAATATAATTTACCTTTTCTAGCTTTATGATTAATTATAGGTATAATTATTTAAGGAATAAGGGTCAAGTCGAGTTTCATGATCAATAGTATGTGTACTCTACATTAAGTAATAAATAGTATTATTCTGTATATACAAGGTCGACTAGGCGTTTCTAGTTACAAGTAATGAAGAAATAAGGCGGATTCGGTACATCTAGCTTGTTAATTAAAAGAAAGGTACAAAATGTATAACAAACCTCCTGACGCCCAGCCCCAATTTCTTCCAACACCAGTTTTTAAGTTTATAATACCATAAGGTATTCCTGTTTGGGTATTAAATGCAGGCAATAGTTTATCAGCAAGTTGTACAGCTTTTTCCTTAAATAGAGAATCTCCTGTAAAGCCATAACAAGCTAATAGCCCCCCTACAAATCTAATGTTTGCTTCAAAGAGCGACATATCTGATCTTGTGTTTCCGAAATCGAGATTTTCAGCAACCCAGTTTCTCCCTTTATTAAACTCATCTTTCATTCCCATCAACCAAAGAGTATCTAGAGCATCAATTATGGTAACGCCAAGTAATGTATTGCCGAATATATTCGCCGAATGGCCTCGTCTTGAAATTGGTCTTAGTTCGTTTGCTCCCCAAGAATATTTTGCATATGAATCCCAACCAAACTTCATCATTTCTTTAATTTTTTCTCTACGTCTCGTATTTTCAGGATCATCGTTGGATTGGGTTATTGGTGGATGACCGGGGTGCTCTATCTTGGGAGCTTGTGCAGTTTGTCCCTCTATACGCTTCTTCAAATTTTCAATTATTTTCTGTTTTTCCTTGTCAATCTGTTTTTGTAAAGCAGTTAAATTGTCTACCTTCTTAAAGATTTCGTTCCTTCTCAAGTCTGCTTCAATTCTCTCTTTAATATTTCTAACGTCGTTTGCTTTATGTGGATCGTGGGCCAAACCATGCCTAATGATATTACCCCTCAACTCATTCCCTGGCTGAGGTAGAAACCCTTGATCTATAGCATCTCTAATTGTTGAAACTGAGCTTTCAGGCAAATATATAATAGTGCCAAAACAAACAATACAGAACACACCAAATATTAAAAGGACTATATATTTTTCTGTTAATTTTAAAGTTCTACGATGAGAGGAAGATGAATAATTACTATAATTGCTGAAATGTCGATCAGAGTAGTTTCTATGGGGGGCCATTTTGAAACCGTGGCGATGATTAATGTTTTACTTTAAAATTGCATACTGGGAGAACTATTTACCAGTTTCCACTATAGTCGGATTCTTTCTTTATAAAATTCTTATTTTTATTTAATTTTCATCTACTTTTCCTTCAATCAAAGTTTAAATGTGATATTTTACAAACTGATTTTTCTAGTAACATGCTTTGTTATTAGAAAGTTATTATATCTCTTAAATACGAGACAAATGTTACTTTTTACATTTTTTTGAGTGATAAATGAGTTACTTTTTAAATAACAAAATTCAACAATAATGAGCCAAGACAATGAAACAAGGTAATAATAAAATATTTCTAGGTTAAGTAGTAAAATTAATGTATATAAATGTTTATAGTTTACATAGAATGCTTATTTTAAAACGCGTTGAAACATGTATACTTAGGCCTATACTTAAAAAAGAGCACGAAAAACGAACGAAATTGACATTTTTCTTCTCACAATTAATTGAAAAGTTTTAAATATGAAATAACCTAGTTTCATTTGTTTTTCTTCATTTCCATAAATGTGCCTGCTTTAATCAAATAATCAAATAAACAGTTCAGTCGGAAGCCGGCTACGGGCTAGGATGGAAGCGATGAGGAAGAAAACGGCTATTGAAAAGGAGAATAACGCAGTAAGAAAAACTTTTTATACTCTTTTTTTTATATTTATATAAATGTTTTTCTTATAGGTTGAACAATTTAAAAATGATTCTGAGGAAGAAGTAGAAGAAGCGGTACATTTTAACTGATTTCGTATTTTAAAACAATCCATGTTGATTTTAACAACAGCCCCAAGATAATAAAGATAGCGAAATGTTAGTTAAACAACTTCAAAGAAGGAGAAAAGCCACGGAGAAAGCAGTACGAATCCTATTTGAAACCTATCTTTTACATTATAATCTAAAAATACCATATTTCTAGATTCGGAAAACACCTGACTCGGAAGGTGAAGATGCTCCCGATGCTAGACAAACTACTTCATTTGCTCGTTCACGATTACGAGACAAAATTTTACTACAGACGAGAAAGGCCAAAGAAGAAGACCAAGGCGATGATTATTCACCACCGGCTAGCGCTAGAAGTTCCCTTCTAACATCGCCCAGTAATTATCACTGTTTTTTATATACTATTTCTAATATTAAACAACTGTTAATTTTCTAGGAAAAGCAAGTCTAACATTAAAATCGCCTCGAACTGATACAATGGAAAAATATCGAAAGAGATTTCAAAAGATGGCCAAAGTAACTAATTTTAGCAAATTGATTTCGGGATTTATCTTTTAATTACGTAGGAGGTAGAATCGAAAGAAGAAGAAGAAGAAGAAGAATCCTCTGAAAGACTTACAAGGAATGCAATGAGAAGTACAAGGTTTGATGATGTAAGTATAAAATAATTGTTTATATTTAATCAATTATATATTGCCATTTTGCTTCTATTAAACAGGATTTATATTCTGAACCACGTACATGGAGACCAATGAAACCAGAAACAACTGATACTCAGGTAATAGAATTGTCAAATGACTAAACAGTTCTGAAAATGTATCTTTGCAGCCTAAAGATCCACTAGTACCAACTGGGGAAGAAGCTTATAATTTTTTTACAAAAATATATCAAGAAGAGGATGTAGAAGAAGAAATTCCACCGGAGCCAGAGCCATCAACTGCTGCCCCCGTTGAACCATCTGAAGAAGTAACAGAAACACAAGCTGATCAACCAAGAGAAGCAACAGAAGAACCCCCTGGAGATAGACCAGAAGAGCAACCCAAAGAAGGTTGTAATAGACTTTACATGTTAATAGCAATAGAGGGTCTACAAATTCTTTTATCTTAAAGACAAATCAGCTGCAGAAAAGAAAATATCTGGCTTTAGTATACTGACTGGAACGTCTTATGTGCCGTTAAAGTCGAGATTAGAAGAAGAAAGTAAACTTTATCACTATGTGAACGCTGTTGAAGGTATTTCTATCATATACACGAATAGAAGTAACATAAAATTTCTTAGAACCGATCAAAAATCGAATATTTGATGTCGAACAACCACGTTTTATTGAAGATGAAGGCTTTTTTGTTGGAAAAAAACCGTTTATTTCCAGAGGAAATCTCATTCGCATGGAAAATCGTTTATTGAAGCAAAAAGATCAAGTAAGTAAGTCTAATGAACTCTACTTTCAATTAATTGTTTCTTTTGTTAATTGAAAAAAGGGAAGAAATTGGTTTGGAGAAGATGGCAGACTTATTATGCTCCCTGATCCACTTAAGTCCAACCCTATAAAACCGTTTGTTCCAGACGATCCTGACCTTGGATTTACCACTGGATACCAACCTGTAAATATTTTGAAAGAAAAATTTACACACTCCTTCATTTATATTATATTATGTTTCAGACCATTAAGTTAGATATGGACAAAAGAATTATAGATAGTGATAGGGGAATTTCATCAAATTCAGGAAAATACCAACTTAACGTAGATATCAACACGATAAGATTTACGCATCATCATCTGTTTTCAAGGGAACACGTACTAGCATCTATTCTAACTGAGTATTGCGAAGCATACGAAGAGAGATCAAAGCAGAAAATCAGTGACTACCTTTCATCTAAAGTAAGAATTTAGATGAAGAAATGTATTATACAATTAATCATATTTAAATTAGATAAAAGCTTTGAAAAAAGCGACTGAACATTTGGAGAGAAGTATTGAAGAAGCGAATGAAACAAAGAAAAAAACTCCTACAGATCATATAAATCGTCTTAAACAATATAAAGAAGAGCTAAAGTATCCCTATTAAAAATTATATTTATGCTTCATTTTAAAAACTTCATGGCTACAGGTATACTCGAGAACAATGGCATTCAGAACTATCAACTGATAGAGAGCTAATTAGGAGCATCATTAAGACTTGGAAAGATTTGAAAGAGCTTCGGAAAACTCAAGGTTTCTTTTCTACGCCAACAAAATTGACAATTCACAAGTACGTATATAAAAATATCACTTTTTGGTGTTGTTAACTTTCTTATTACAATATTCCAATAGAGAGGAAGTCGACAAGGAAGCTGACAATGCAAATTATCAACTTGACGTTGATGAGGAAGTTGCCGAAATTGTCGAAAGACGCCAAGAAAATTACAAGTTAGCATTAGAAAAATACAAAGAAGAGAGAGCCAGATATGACGAACAAGCAAAAGCTAGAGTTTGTTAAAAGATACTGATTCATGTTGAATTGTTTTCATATTGTTGCAATTTCAATTCTAATAGAAAGAAGCTCGTAAACGAGAAAAGATAAGAGAAAAGAAACGTCTTAAACGCCAAACCAAAAAGAAACGCGGGGAAGAAGAGCAAGAAGAAGAGGCGATAGATACTGAAGAAGATGAGGTAACTAACTACTTATACTTAATAATAAGTTATGACGTATTATTCATTTTTAAAAACTGTATTTGAGAAAATCACAATGGTGCTGTTGATTTTCTTTCTGATTGTTAATCTGTACAAATCAAAGAGCACCAGTATAACTTCAACAGTCGTTAATCTAAACATGACTAATATTACAAATTCTCTATCTAAAAAAGAGAACTTAAGTCACGACTCAAAAGTTAACCTACAAAATTCAAAGAACCAAAGTTCATTACTGAAATTTCCTAGAAAAGAGTACGTTCTTTCCTGAGCATAGTAATATATATAATGACAAAGTGACATTTTTCATTAGTGCTATAAAAGAATTAGAAACCCATTTGAATTCTCTTACAATGATAATAAGCGTTCTAGGCGTTCTATGTTTAGCATTAACAGCACTTTATGGTATACGATATGCTTTGAAAAAAAATACTGACGAAAATCATCTATATCCAAATACTCTAAATTTATTTCCTGCAAGAAAACACTATGAACAAAATGCGAATATTTATCTTTCAAATATGTAGAATTAGTGCAATTATATGAATCGTATTTCTTTTAATAGTCTCTTATTCTTAATATAGATGATTGTGAATAATAGCTATATAATAAAAAAAATACACGTTTCTTTTCTTAGTCATAGATTGAATATCTTTTGAACTAGGTCACCGTAAAATTTTAATTTCTTATCAGCTTTTGTTTTCTTTAACAAAGGAACAAGAAAGACAGGATTTGGACATAATTAATGCTCCCCAAATTGAAAAGCCAATAAAACCGTCGCCTATTGATCAAGAAGATGTAAAACAAAAAGTTTTGGATTTATACTCCAAAATCCGAAGACTTCCAGGTATGATTCTTGGTTTAATTCTGAAATATTATTTCAATAACTAATTTAATTGCTTTTCACAAAAGGCGAACATATCCTTCATCCCGAACTCTCCTCCTCTGGAACTATTACCGCTACAAATACTTGTCCAAAGTTCGTTTATTTTATTTTATCTCTTAATTTATAGTCTTAAAATATTCTTGTTCTACAGGAGTGAACAACTGCGAAGGAATGAAGTTGACAAATGCAAACTATACATTAAAATCTACTTTGACAATAAGGAAGTTTGTAAGACGTCCTCAAAGTAAGTAATAAGTGTTTACTTCTATTGATGATTGTTAATATCTCTATTTTGTAAAGGCCATTAGGTCAAGAATTTACCATAAGATTTGCTCAAGTTTTTGAGACAAGGATTGTAAGATGGCCAGAGAATATACGTCTAGATGTCTACGAAACTATCAGATTAACGACAAATCTGCTAACTCAGATTTTTACTGGTATTCCAGAGGCAAATGTAACTAATGAAAATGTCCAATTGGACCAAAATTCGTTTAGTAGTGTTTTGAAATTTACATACAATCACGAGGGAGTTGGAAGTGGTATGAATATTTTGTATTTTTACACTAGTATTCATTCTGAATAAATGAAACTTTTCCTTCCTAATAAAGGACACCCAATCAATGTTGGCTCTAATAGTAATAACTACATTAATTTAAATACCACGGGTAACCTTTGGGCATCCGTCTCGTGGGCTGTTGATGAGGATGGAAATGTCCTTTCACCCGCTCCATCTGGTGGATACGGGTATGTTGTGTATTTCTTTTTAGTGCCTGGATAGATAAATTACTTCTTTAGTTTCCATAAATATTTATACGATAACTATTGACTAAGCCTATTGAAAATTATACAACCGAAAAGTAACCTCTGCAAGAATATTCCTTTCATATCGTCATTCTCTCGAAGAAATCAATTTTTTAATTACAATTATACATATGAGAACTTTCTTTCAGAGACATTTCAAAAGGAAATGATCCTATTTCGGCCATTGGTGCTGCAGGAATTGCTGATATGGATAAATTTCGTAAATGGATCATTAATGCTCGTCTTGATCCAAACGATCCGAATGATGCGGATCTTATGCTATACAAAAAGGTATTAATAAATTTATTTACTATTTGATAATGAGCGTTTTAAATAGTATGTTTTTATGTTTAGGAACAACTTCCAAATCAAACTGCTGCTAATATTGGACGTCAAGTCTTCCGGTTAGATCAATTACAGACCGAATTTGATTTCGCGGATGATGAAGATATTGAACGTTCAAAGCGTTTTCGATTAATTTCACTTCGAGAGCAAGAAGTTAAAGAATTTCACAACTCTAAAAATATCCCACCGTTCGATAGGGAAATTAAAGATGAGGTATTCCGAAGTTACGATGATAGAAAACATCTAGAAAAGAAACCAAGAGAAGAACAGCGTAGTCAAGTTAGCCAATATATGCAAGCTGTTAAAGAACAAATTATGGTCCGTTTCAAAATGGCCTCTCATCGAAAAACCTTTCAGGATATTATAAGCGAAGATCCTATGCCAGCAGTTGAGTAAGTTGAGATAGTGGTATTCTCTTCATTATTGAAAATGATTTCTTAAAACAAATCTTTTTCCTAGCAATTTACTACCGTTTATAAAGAACGTATTTAAACCTCGAACAAGAAAACTCTTAGTAACAAGGAAACCATTAAAGAAACAACCACCACAAGTTCTCCAAGGCTTAAATGTTAAATTATTAGCAAATATTATCAGAGCGGTTAATATTCCTGTAAGATCAAATCCCATTAGAGAGCCTCCAGTGTAAGTCATTTCTTTTAGGATTATAGGTCGATCTATATTGAGATAAACCTCAAACTTAACAAAATTAAATTAAAATTCACTTTCATCTTCCTCTAAAGACCGGATTCAACTACTAGAGGCGGTACTTTTATGGGAACTGCAAGAAGCCAATTTGGCGGTGGTATGACTAGAAGAGACGGTGGCCCTATGGTTAGTCTTTTTTTAATGATAAATCAAACAATAATAAACAGCATTTATATCATAATATATATACTAGTCTACACCTTTTTATTAATCTTATTCTTTTATATCTTTTCTTTCTATGAACTTGAAAAGATACAGGATAATTATGTAAAGTATTTTAATTATCATTTAGTTAAATGTCTGTAATGAGTTTGAATGTTAGTTAGAGTTTTCTCTATACGTTAAGTGTTGATTTATTTTCAAGTATTTTTACATATTTTCTTTACTGATAATAGGTGGCCGTGAGACCGTTAGTACAAATATTGTTTCAAGGAAGATCTTATGCAACAACAGTTGCAGAAGGTTCTAATCCTACCTGGAATGAGCAACAAGAGCTAGCTTTTAGGTATAACCGTGGTATTATTTTTGAATTGAACAGTGTTCTTTATATTGTTTCTCTAATAGACCGCCAGATAACAACTATAGTCCGTCAAATCTCCAAACTATTAAAGACTGTATTATCATAAGTATTTTTGATGAATGCATTATTGAAGAACAGCAGGTAATTAGAGTCTTATAATATTAGTCGAAAAAAGGTGCTAATAATACTTTTGTCTTTTTCTAATAATTAGCAAAGTGATAATCGAGTGCAAAGAATCACTGAAAAAAGATGTCTAGGTAGCTTAACAATCCCTTTTACAACTGTCTATTTCAATGGAAGAGTAAGGAGATATTTTTTTATAATAATAGAAAATTGAAGAGAAATATGTTTTTAATCTATTTTTACATCAAGGTTGATGGAACTTTTAAATTGAGTAAACCACCTATACTATTGGGCTATGCGAATGCAGATCCAAGAGAAAAGGATACTTACATTACACTTTTTATAACCCTGGAACCTCTTTTAAATAGGCCTGATCCATTCAAAGATAGGGTATGCAACATAGATTATATTATTATCTTAACTCTAACTTTTTCATACAAACTTTACATTCTATACTTTTTTGTCTAAGCCATTTTTATAAATTTTCTTTTTTTCATCTTTCTAATATTCTGTTGCTATGCACATTTGAATTTTTTTTACAGGTTTATGAAAACCTCTTAAAGGTGAAATAGCAAAAAAATACCATGATTTACAAAATATCCTATATACTGTATATTATACACTAATTCGTTTCAATTAATTAAGAAATTTTGCATGTTTTGCATGATTTTTTAAAGAATCGGATGGATAAAATTATTGGTCCTAATTATAAATATCAATATTATAGTTTATGATTTTTTACGCAATTTTTGTTTATTCTTAGTAGTACACCAATAATGATTATATTTTTTCTCATTTATACTTATTTATCTCTTTCATTGCGTTTATTTACATTAAATTCTGTTGCAGTTGGAAAGTAACGAAGAACCTAAATGGACTGAAGCTTCTGAAAGATGGCTTCAAGAATTAGAATCTAAATATCCTAAACGTAGTTATAAGGTAAAACAAACATATAACTTATTATTCATATAATAAATTATCGAAAATTTATAATAATTATACATTTTTGTCCTTTTTAGACACTTGTAATAGATATTAATGGAAAATCTACAATGATAACAAGGTTTATTAAGCCATTACCACCTCCCCCAGACGTTGTGCCTGAAGGCTCTTCAAAAATGGAAGCTATGGTTTGTCATACTTTCGCTATTGCTTATTCTATTTATACATTTTTTTACAGAGATTAATAGCAAAATTCGTTTCTATGATACCATTTGTTCCTGATAGCGTTGTATTCCCAGGAATGTGTGATATATGGGCTACTTGCGAAGTATTTATTTTAGGAATACAGCTAACCGTTTTTCAATGTATTTATTTTTTGACAACTACAGCAATTTCTGCTTATGAAAGAAGGTGATGAAGAAGAACACGCTGTTCTACTTTGCAATTACTTCTTATCTCTAGGCGTGACTGCTTATCTTGTTCTGGGTAATTTTTCTTGATAGAAAATCATAACGATAAAATAATAAAACTTGCTTTACAGGTTTAGCCATTCCTGAAGGGCCAACAGCATACGTTTTAACTGGAGAAAGTACAAAACTAGACAAGTTATGGAATGCCAGTACAGGAGAAGTATGGGATGTTTGTGATCAACGTTGCGCTCTAAAAAGGATCGATTGTTTGGTATCGGATAAGAATGTAATTTTATTTTAAATCCTTTTTTCATTCACACTTAGGCTAAATGTTTTTTGTTATAAATAGATATGGGCAAATATTCAACGATTCGACGAACCATTTAGATTAAATTTTAAAATAAATGAATCCAGCCTTTGGAAACCGTTCCTCTCAACTGGTGATGATTTGCCATCAATTCAAGTAATATTAACATTAATTTTCTAATACTAATATTTAATATCTATGATTCTCCTTTAGCCTGAAGTTCTTTATTATCAACCAACTGATCAAATGAAAGTACTCAACCTTAAAGATACTTTAGAAAGACAGATAAGGGCAAATGTTGAAAGCTGGAGAAGCAGACAAATAACGAGATGGAATAGATATTGTTTGCAAACATTTAGGAATATCTTGGAAGGATTAGAAAGAAATATGTCTGGTAATTATGAAAATCTGCTAAGCAACGAACTAAAAAGTATTGAAAGCGGTCATTATTTAATCGGTTTTCCAATTAATTTGGCATATTCTGGAGAAAGTGCAGTAATTGAACGAGTTAGAGCAACGGGAATTCATGCATACGAAAATCAACATATTGAATTTGCGGTTGCTGTTCATATTCATCCATATCCAAATGATATATTAAGTGTATGGATATTTATTGCTTCACTAGTACCAAAAAGAATGTAAAAGACTATTTCTATTATTCTTTATACAATTTTTATATATTGTCTCAAAAATTTATTAATCCGTCCATAAAAAAATGTTTTCTAATACATTTGAATATTACAGAATAATCAAAAAGGATTAATTAAGTCACCTGTACTAAATATATTTAATAAAAAAAAGATAATACACAAGTAAAAAGAAATCAATATAGGCTATAATTTTCAAACGAATAACAATTAATTCATCAGTGCAAAAAAAAAGAAAAAAGACTTCAAAGCATACTTTCTCAAATGCGGAAAATAGCCGTGTTATCTCTTTTTAATACTTCTTTCTTTTATAAAAATTTCGCATGCAACTTCTTTTTTATTTAACTTACATATCCATTAATTCACAGAGAGAGGGTGAGATAGAGAGAAAGATAACAAAAAAACTCTTCTTAATTCAAGTAAGAAAAGTATAAAAGAAAAGAAAATGCATGATTTATTAAAAATCTAACAATTTTTAATATGCAATAAGAACATAATAAAATTAATTCTTGTTTATTTAGCAAAATATAAAAAGAGACTAAGTTATAAGATGTACAATATGAGGTAGAAAGTATAGTAATTGTGCACCATATACTTGTTAAATTTCATGTATAATTTAATCACCGGTCCTCTATATGATATAAAAATCTCACTAAAATTGGTCAAAAATTGCAGTTGATAATTATATACCCTGTTGTACTGATAATATCTATGGAAAACCATGAAACGAAATATCAAAAAGGAGTTTTTGAAAAACAATAATTCTCTCACATTATACATAGATATAAGCATATGTATATCAGTATTGTATAAAATATTTTTTAAAATTACATGCAGGTCAACCTGTTTCCTTTTTAATGGGCTTGAAAGACCTGTAACATTTTTTGAAAAGTTAATAATACAAGCTTCTATATATAAAATCAAGTAACAATTTATACTGACGGTTTGAATAAAAGACCTTTGTTAATAACGTGTGGAGGTAGTGAGACATTTTCATTTCTAGTAAACATCTCTTTAACTAAAGCAGGTAATTCAAATTTTCTTTCACGAGCTAAATCTAAAATGCATTCTGCACCTAAAAAATTGTAAATGTTATCATTAAATAAAGGTTGGTAAAAAAAAGATATCTATAAACTTTACCAGTTATACTGATATCTCTTAAATCGGCTAATTTTAAAAGCATCTCCGTAAATATATGAGGTTTATTCCTTCTCTTTCTCCTTGAATAATGCTTAAATGCAGCCAGAATAGGTCCCTGAATCTTATCTATCTGATCCGATTGTTCTAATGTATAATGATCTATAGATAATTATAAAATAAATTATAAATAAACATATAGAAATGAAAATTTTTACTATTCACCTGAACTGTACAAACATAACGCAGAGATGAGAGCATACTCAGTTGAATCCATATCATAATTGCTAAATTGTTTGGCGAGACGGAAAATATTTTGAGCTACGTGACTGAAAGCACAAGCAGCAGCTTGTTTATCTGTCAACATCACGCCACCATCAAATGAGAGTGCATTATCCAGATCCGAATAAGAGCTGATGAGTCTTATAATCTGTACAATCAACTAAGTGTTATTATTTAAATATACTTAGATATATTTATTTATTCTTTCGCACGTAGTTTGCAAAAAACTCTACTTAAATTTACAACTTCATTTATTAAGATAAAAGACTGCTTTATCAAATCATTAAAAAGATTGCCAATAAAATACTAAAAACAAACCAGAATTTCCAATAAGGCAGCTTTTATAAGCACAATCTGATCACTTGTTGTAATGGAATTGAAAGATGGCGTTCTTTTTGCAAATTCAACGATTTGAACTAGTCCCCGAGTGGATAATTCTTTGAGAACACCCCAAACTAAGGTTCCATTCTCCAAAGCTTCATCCACTTGATCTTTGACGTTGAGCTTTGATGGTTTATCACCATTCGCTCGATGAGCACCATTTCCATTTGTGGTTCCTAACGCTTCTTCATCAAATGAGCCGATATCATCGCTTAAAATCGTTTCCTCGTACGCTTGTACTACCTTGATAATTATAATGGAAAATTATTTATTTTAAGTTTGCAAAAATAATACACTTCAAATTGTACCCTGTTAATTATCTCCTCTTCCTCTGGACTCAAATCTTCCGCTGACTGAGAAATGGCTCCTTCTTGTTTTGACTGCTTTTTCTTTTTATTTCTATCATTTCTCACAGCTTAAAGATCGATAAGATTAGTGTACAGTTTGACTACAAACAGAATTATAGAATACCTTCTTTTGACATTCCCTTGTCGAAACATTTCTGAAATCTACAATACTGACATCGATTCCTGGTTATTTTATTAACTTGACACTTTCCTTCTTTATGACAAGTATACTGCATGCTTTTCTGCACGGATCTTCGAAAGAAACCCTTGCAACCTTCACAGGATGATACGCCATCTGGTGAAAAGTGTAATAGAATTAATTAAGGAATTTGGATTAAGTTATAGGTAAAAGCATACAGCTATGTACAAGGTAGTTGTTTGAAAACTAATTGCCAGTTTCTTTCCAACGAATAAGAAATATTGATAAGAAAATTGGCGTTGATATTACGAAAAATACCTTCCGGGTATAGTAATTTTATATAGAAAGATGACAGTTGCTCTAGTCTGGAAAAAATAAAGCAATTTCCAATCGACAGAATAGAGTGGAGACGCCAGATGGCAGTCATAAACTTTTGTATATACTCTCTTAGTGTATATACTTTAACAACAGAGCACTGTCTGTAGATTTCCGACTTAGCATTTACAAATAAGAGCGTATTTGTTTACGCAAAGTATGTGCTTTGTACATTTACCGATAACAGTTGAAGAAATGCACGAATTTGCAAATAAAATTATCCGTCTTTTATCAAAGTGTTAAGTTCTAATAGTTATACAAATAGCTATTCATAAACAATAAACATAGTAAAAATACAATTGAATACTTACAATGATATCCAGAACTCTTATCCCCACACACTACGCAAGGTTTATATATCCGTGGAGGTGGTGGAGGCGATTGACTAATAGGGACTGGTGGAGGTAGCATATTTGTAGGCATTTGTAGCTGGGAATCATCAGTATTGGAGAAATGACTAAGATCAAACGACTGCGTATCATCGTTGGGCAAGAAAATTATTTCAGGTGATTGCATTGCAACAGGAGTATGATGATTTGTAGAGTAGGGTGATTGTGGTGGAGTTTGATGAAAAGAAGCATTGCTGTCACTTTGGCAATGAAACGTAAAACCTGTCTGCGAATCCGATTTCTCTGTTGGGGTTACAGATATATTTCAAAATATGTCTCGTCCTTCATGGGTCAATGCAATAGTATTCAAATTGAAGGGAGCACACTTTAACCGTGGGAGAAATATACATGGTGACTTTCGAACAAACAAAGCTTTTGCTACAAATAATAGTCTAAGTATAGTGAATTAAGTACTTCAATGACAGGTCTGTATTAATAAACTCCCTTATCCAAATTGAAATCTCTAATTTTCATTTAAATACATAGAATATTAATGATTTTAATTCAATGAGGCGTTGAAATTTTTTCAGAATTTAATACCATTTGCATTCCTTAAATTCCAAATGCATACATGGCGCATAGAGTATTTTACAATGTACATGTATATTGAAGAAATACAAGGCTTTTATAGTATCACCTGAATAGAAACAGTATGAATGAAATTTAATGTCAATGATACACTTCCCAAGTAGCCCTACCATATTGCGAATTTGAAATATTTTAAATATATTGTCCAGTGTTAATACTATTTAATAGATAAACTGCCTTACCTGTTGAGACGTTTGTACTCGTTACAGGTTGTTTTGGCTGAGCATCCGCTCCATTCCCTGTTTCACTAACATGCTGATACATCTTCCACGGTCATAATCTGTCGGAAAAAGTTTTTTTTTAATATTAATAATAATATTTCAAAGATAAACGAAACTGCGCATGCGCGTTATTACGTCATCTTGCGTACGCGCATCGATCGATGAATTACTCTCGAAGCTAATAAAAAATTTCTTCTGTACTCTCACCAATTCACCATGAAAAAATAGACTGTTTCCCAGATAAGAATCGCAGCTGTGTGAAGTCTGGTCGAAAAAACTTTCACTTTTCAAACACCGCCGTTTTTTCTGTTTACAGACGCCCCTTCTCGTTTACATGTACTATTTTTAGAATTTATAAAAACAGAGCCAATTTTTGCATATTTCGCCAAAAATTGTCCGTTCTATCAGTTATGCAATCATATTTACGAATTACTTATATTCTCCATAGCTTTAAACAAAAAAATTAAGCCTATATTTAGTTGTTGACAGGTAAATAGACTCGAATGTCTAAATCGTTTTTGAGTCATAGTAGAATCCGTTCATTTTACTTGCAGCTTACCTTTATTATTATACATCAGAAAAATCAACCATCATGTTGTAAAAAAAATAATATTGCAGAGGTAACGAGAAGGTCAGAGTATTGCAGGAATGTGCAGTGAAAAAGAGACTGACAGAATGGGTTATATAACTTTACGTAATAACATGGCGGTTAACGGCTAGTCACGTGATGCTGCGTTTTTTCGTATATATCCGGGTTCAATGCATATAACATAGAAGCACTGACGCTTTAGCAATATAGGCTTAATATAGAAAATAACAATAAACCTGTAGCAAAGCATGTCGTTTTGCACATATACAATACACGTCACTTTTGCTATTTTCAACAGAAAACAACAATAAACCATTTCTTTCGGTTAATGCAATTACTTTTTGTTACATTGACACTTATATTGGCATTTAACCATATTTTTTCTCTTATAATTAGAGAATATAGTAACCCTTAAAAAATTTTACGTCCAAACTTACTTTGTTAGGTTTCGTGAAAAAAATAACAGCTTCGTGACTTTAAGGCACTTAAAGATAGAAAATATTTAACAGTGTTCTGATTCATATCCTTTCAGTGGAATACTATTAAGAGCTTAAATGGAATTGACTACGCTACAACCGGTGGAGGACAAAAATTAACCGGTTTCGCCCGACTCTTTATATACAATTGGCTGGATATTATATAAGTTACGGAATACCTTATTACACAAACCATAGTTGATAAGTATCTTGGTTTCAGAGATTGTTAAATCAAGCATCCATCTATTTCAATTTATCCAAATTATTATTACTTTCTTGTGAAGCAGTATCTCGAGTTGATGGAAATGCCAGGTTTGCATTCGCCGTATTTCGCGCCATCAAGTTCTTTCCGGTCACGTGGAATTTTTAAGTCTCGTGGAAATACGGCGTCCATCTTCCTTTTTCTCGAGATTTCGGATTGTTGCACGCCGTCAGGTACTTTATGACAAATTTTGCAGTTTAACGCATGTTTATTCTCAAATTTTAGTCATTTTTTGTGTATAATATAACATTACACATATTCTTGACCAGAAATATTTAAAAATTTGTGAAGTTTTTACGTAAAAATACAACACGTTACCACCTCTTCCTATTATCGCCCCCAACATGTAGTAATGACATATTTTTTCAGCATGTTGATGCCCAAGAAGAATCGTCAACTTATATACGAATACCTTTTCAACGAAGGTGTTATGGTTGCCAAGAAGGATTTTTTCTCCCCAAAGCACCCGGATGTGGCAGTCCCTAACCTTCATGTTATCAAAGCTCTTACAGTGCGTGGAAATGAAAATTTGTTTTTTTAAAGCTTCAAATCCAATTTCTTTATTTTTCAGTCTTTGAAATCTAGAGGTTACGTGACCGAACAATTTGCTTGGCGTCACTATTATTGGTAAGTGCTATTGCATTTCTCCATTGCTCAGACGACATTGCGCTGTAACATAAAATGTTCAACTAATTGTCAACTGAAAGTCTTGCCCCATTGCTAGATAAGAAAGTATTTACAACGACATTTCATTCTATAGGTACCTCACCAACGACGGTGTCCAATATTTACGTGATTATTTGGGTCTACCACCAGAGATCGTCCCTGCTACTTTGAAGAGACAAAATAGACCCGAGACCGCTCGCCCAAGACCGAAACCAGAAGCAGCAAGATCAGGAGCCGCAGCTAGCGCTGATGCTGAAAGATCAGCTTACAGAAGAGATAAGGTCGCTGAAGCCGGCGCTGGATCTACCCAAGATTTCCAATTCAGAGGACGAGGATCAGGATTCGGACGCGGTGGTGGACAACCTCAGTAAGAAATGATGGTTTAAAAATAAATGTTTATTTGATGAATTAGAGAAGTTGTTCGTTTTCGCGATAGGAAGTGTTAACTTAAGACAGTCGAAGAAAAACAATTAGCATATCCACAAATGAGGACTTTAGCGGGGCTAGTCATTTATATATTTAGCCTTTTCCATTTAAATATTTGAAGTAGAAATCTCATTATATCCTACAAGTTACCAACAACAGACGTACTAATAGACATATTGATAAAACAATGCCCCTGTAAAAGTTGATGTTCAATAAGAAATATAAATTGCGATTACATTTTTATTGAATAATGATGTAGATAATAAAATAATGACTTGTACTTAAAAAGTAAGCCTAAAAATGTAAGAATAAAACCATCGGCAAGATTCCGTTTTTTGCCAAAGGCAGTTTGATTTCCGGAATTCGAAAGACCTCGATAGTATGTCACTTTTACATTTCAGCTTTTAAGTAATGACCATTGAATTTGTTCTTTCGCATTTTTCAACACTTGACCTAAAGTTTGTTCGCTCAGTGGAATTTCATCACCTCGAACTAAACATCTCTCAACTATGGCCCGAGGATTGCTTTCCAAAATTATGCTGAAACATATAAGCAATTAGAGAATTCATACCCTACAAAAGTAATTGTAAACTATAAACTCACCCCTGATCGCAAATCTCATCGAGGATTAAAAACACTTGATCTAAATTATCCAAAAGCTCAGTTTTTTCTACATTCTTTCTTAGAATATAACTAACTGATTCATAAAATGTAGATAAAACGTGTGATAAAATCAACTCATTCTCGCTTGAACCTCCAACAACATAAAAAAAGAGATCAACATTATTCCTGTAAACAGCAGTCAGTTGATCTAGAATTGTAATGTCAGAATTGGCTTTATGTGTTTTTGAGAAGAGCTTAGTTTCCCACTGCTTTTGCTCTTTTATAGACGGGAATGTATCATCATAATACTGAAAAAAAAGAAGTTGACTTTAATGATATCAAACAACCTTTGAGATTTAGCATTAGCAAGAGGTAGTTAATATATCTAAAGATTACAAAAAGACGAAAGCTTTGTTTTTTTAAATAAATACATATTTTGAAACTCTATTCTTCGAATAAAAAGATTAAATTAATTAAATACTTTAGTTACCAAGAATTTTGTATTAAAATAAAGCACATAAGCAATATTAGTATTCATTCAGAAATTATATATGGGAATAAATGATGCATCATCTTGATATGCTATATCTTAGATACGGTATCTAAACAATTATATATATAATATTCGAATTACGAAGTCACACTATATTCTATGGATATTTTATGAGAAACTTTAATGGTATAAAAAAAGAAATATGATTGACATATCAAATACATTTAAATAGGATAATCTAAATCATGTGATGGGCGATAATAGGCAAATACCTTTGAAATTATCCTTTTCCCATTGTTATCAAGGATAATAATGGCCTTTATAGTCAGAAGGGAAGGCTCCTGTTTACAACGAAAAAAAATTTTAGATTAGAAGATTTTTATAATGCTATTCAAATGATTTCATATAAAATAGATACCATCTATAACTCAAGTCGGCGAAATGTGTTTTAGTAATACCCATTAATTTTTCTACCAGTTATTCTTTTTACGTAAAGTGAAAAAAATAGATTTTTAGAGAAAAACTGAGGATTCAACGACTTCTTCGCTAAAACAGCTATGTCAGATCCCTTAGATAAAGCTCACGATCCTAAAAAAGTCGACATTACTAATTCAAACAGAGGCTTATGGCTTGTTAAGGCAAATATTATTTTATTCGTTCTCATCTTTAATATCGCATGGTCATTTATAATTTTAGATTCCAAAGTATGTCTCAGATAGATGGGAAAGTTCTTCAGGAGACGGCCAAGTAGGGACTCTGATTGTTAAAAAGCCAAGGTATTTTGATATTTACCGTTTAAATAAATGTAGTCTGGTTTTTTTCAACAGTGATAAAAATGGTAAATCTGACGTGCGTTTTCACCTAAAAGACGAACTGGTAAACGGAAAGTCGGGTGATGATTCGAAAATCCCAAAAGAATTAAAGTTTAACATGAATACGTTTAACAATGAACACTTTTATGCAATGAGTCAGACTCCCTGCTACGGTTAGTAAACGAATTATCTCCAGGCTCTAATTTAAATAATTCTGTTCTTAGATGCCTCAGGAAAAACTCTTCTTCAATATCAAGGTAGCCTGAATCAGTTATGAAACTAATTGCAATAAATTGCAATAAATTTCAATTTCAGAGAGAGTAGCTATCACTGGTCGAATAAAGCAGAAAGCCGATGGCGTGCCAATGCGTGATGATAATACATACTTGAAAATGAAATCGTAAGATTTGTCAACTTGTTTCGATTAAATATTTTAATATTAAATATTTATAGTAAGCAAGTTCTGAAGAGAAATGAGCCAATCAGAAAGGTTATACAAACGAATGAAGTCTGTGTTATTAAACCTCTCAGTCGTTCATCTCACGATGTAAGATAAGACACCTCCATACTTATTTAACTCTCATAGCTAAATAATTGCTTTATTTATTAATTTAGACAAGTCGTAAAGACACTACAAAGAAGGTCAGAGGAGAAAAGGACCAGGTTCAAGAACGACTTTTTGCGGTACGCACAAAATACGAAACATTTTTTGTGGTTATATTCAAGTTCAATTCCTTTACAGGCTTTCGAAAAGCATCAATACTATAATATCAAGGATTTACAGACTCTCACTCAACAACCCATTGTAAATAATATATTTTTTATAGTTATATGTAGTTTATTAAATATCTTTTTTGGTTTTAGGCTTTTCTGAAAGAAATACTAAACGAACTCTGCATTTACAACACGAAAGCTCCACACAAGAATATGTGGGAATTGAAACCTGAGTTTAGACATTACAGCAAATAATTTAGAGCTTTTATATAACTTCAAGTATTTAGTATCATATATTTATATACATAACCCCTTACAAAATATATTTTTGGAAGGTCAGAAACTATGTTTCATGTATTCTGAAAAAAAGCTGAGATATGATGCTCAAAAAGATAAAATTAGCTTTTTGGGCTTTTCAAAAAACAGAATATGAAAGCTTTACATTTTTTCCCGGCTTTCACAAGTTTCTTATCTTGTAGCAAATTTCCATCAGAACCAATACATCATTCGATTATTAATCTTTAATTGTTTTCAATTATCGAGTTTTTCTTTTTTTTATTTGACATATAACTATATTTAAGTTAACTTTTAATCAAAAAGTTTAATTGCAAAATGTATGTATTTGTGACTTTTATCTAGGTTAGAATCGCTGACTGTTCCATTCCAAATTGCCGGTTGCAATACGGTGTCCCGAGCGATATTATAAATTTACCATGGCTGCATGGGAACTTTTGAAAGATCAAAACTTTCGCCTTGATGGAAGAAAACCAACAGAATTGAGACGTATAGAAACGAGGTTGGGTGTCTTTCCCAACGCCGATGGCTCTGCCTACCTAGAACAGGGTAACACAAAAGTTTTAGCTACAGTCTATGGACCTCATGAAGTTAAGGGCGGCAGGGGACGTTCTAATCCCGATAAAGCTGTTATCAATTGTCAATTTAGCAAGAGTGCATTTAGTAGTTCTGAGAGAAAGACTCATATGAAATTTGGTCGAAATTCCAGCGAAACGAATCAGGTACATCACTTATCTATTTCATATAATTTTAAGGCTCTTTATATTAGGACGATCTGATGCATCTGCTAACTCTTTTATAGCACTTGGTTCAAGCATTAAATGCTGCTGTTATGTCCCACTTATACGCGCGATGTCAAATTGATGTATACGTAGAAATAGTTCAATCCGATGGAAGCGACTTCTGTGCTTGTCTTAATGCTTCAACTCTAGCTCTAATTGACGCTGGTAAGGATTTAAATGTAATTCTTATTTACTCTATTTTAAACGAACAAAAAAATTTTAGGTATTGCTCTAAAGGACATTGTCACCTGCTGCTCTGCTACAATAGTAGATGAGAAATCAGTTGTGGATGTAAATTATGTAGAGGAATCGTCTGGTAGTGCTGTTCTAATTGTTGGCCTTTTACCAAAAGATGAACAAATTGCTTACATGCAAATGAAAGGTCGATTACACGCTGATCATTTGGAAAAGCTACTTGACTGTGCTGTTGAAGGCTGTCGAAATATTAATAACATTCTTAAGGAAAGAATAGGAGAACATTTGAAAACTCATTCTAGTCACTTTACTTTAACGTAAGTGATAAAAGTAATTCGTAGTATACTTCTGATGCTTAAATTTTAACATGTAAATACATTCTTTTATAACTTATCAAAATAAGCATTTAAGTTTCAAAACTTTAAAAGAAAACCTGCAACAAGTGAAGCAAAAGTTCTTCTATTATTTAGACATTTTCGTATGACACGCAAAACGAGACATGTATAAAGAGGGTCTAGTAATAAGATAACCATATTGCTCCGAATGACAAGAACGAGACATCTTTCATTAGTAAAAGTTAAAAAAAAAAGCCACAGGGAATGGAAAAGAGCAGCGAATTAGAAACCATAATTTATCAATCGACAAATTGAATAGAACACTAAAAATAAAGGCCTTAACTTTAGGCGTCCTGCCACGCCTGGTCGAGCAGAACGGTCTCGCCCCGCGATCGCTTGATTGAATCATTGCAGGTGTTCGAACGGAATTCTGACACTATTCGAACGTTTTGACAAGTCCCGTCAACAGAGCACACTTGAACAGCACCCAACTTTCCTTCTCATTCTTCCAATCTCTCCCAAAGCTTTTTGCCGAAGGGAGAATCTGAAAGACTGGTTCTATATTCTGTATTTTTTCTTTAGCGCGTGCAGGCGCGTGCCCTCTTGTCGCTAACCTTCACTATCACTTCAAAAAGTTACCAATTAGGAAGTTTCTCACAGTTTACATAAAAGTTAATGACCGTTCAAACGTCACCTTTAAATATCTTTTTTTATATACGCAATTTCTGTAAAGAGAGAAAGTTGCCGACCAAATTCGTGCTTTCTAAGTCTTCCTAGTTGGATTGCGGGGTTTTCTTAAAATTAAAGAATTTAAATAAGAAAGAGAAGAATAAATAAAATCTTCAGTTTTCTTTGAACTTGAAGGAGATGAAAAAATAAAATTTGATACATTACACTGCCAATTGAAGATAGATGAATAGATTCAATTATTTCAAGTATTTTGAAACACACCTTCCATAAAGATATATATATATATATCTTGCTTATCTCCTTTAACAGGCTTAGATTTGTAATATTAATAAATAAAAGAAAAGGAAAATATTGACTATGGATACAGAAACAAAAGGAATAGGAAATAATGTTTAGAATTTGTCCTAATTGTTAACATATTCAGGTTTAGAGGCTGTTTATTTCAAGTCTTTTGTCGGTTGGTAATAAAATGGAAATAGAGAAAGATTTTAGGCATTTTCACACTACTCGTAGGTTTCCGTATTGAGTAAATGGCCATCAAAGTTTCGGGATATATGCCGCCTAAACGGCCTAATTAGCACCCACTTTAGGAATATTTAACTTTTACTCCTTCTAACAAGGAGAATTTCATACGAAGAAATGTAAAATTAATGGCTATTTCCTCCGAATAAACATTTCTAAAAAAACCTGGGGAAATTATGCAAATTTATTGTAATATCTTACGGCTAGAGTGAAAAAAAGGAGTGGATAAATGCGTAAAAGACGGTATTTACAACTTTTTTCAAGTAAAAGCAACCTTTTAAAATAAAATACGCCCAAATTCATCAAATAACCTTCATAATCGTCTTGAATCCATATGTTTCACACATGAATTGATCGTTTGAGAGAATTTCTATTTAAAGGCATTTGTACGTGATAAAATTGATTGATGATTATCTAAAGAACCTTCTTTTCTATATCATTTAATATTTCGAACGAATTATCAAAAGAGAATTCAACTTTAGAATCAAAGTTTACAAGTTTGAATGAAATTTAAGCCAAAAACTAATTATAGAGAAGAAAAGTAAAAAATTTATGTATTTAACAGAGAATTTTCCTGCTGGTTGACAGTTTTGTCCCTTAAACGTTCGAATGGCTGTCGACATCGAAAGAGAGGGAAATTATTGTTCATTTAATATATTCCTTAAAAGTCCGGGTGGTCGGCATCAACTTGCAACTCAATTCCAAGCATTTTGTATTGGGTTTCATTATATATATGCCATACAGAATTCTAACAGAGATCACTAACTTACAAATAATGTTTCAGTCTAATCACTTTGCGAAAAATTAAGGATCGTGTCTATTTTGCGAAAAGAGGGAGGAAATTACCCTTAAGAAGTTACAAATTGGACAAATATTAAGAAAGAATTTAGGGAACACATTAGGCATAATTACATTTAGATCTTGGGTTGAAGACATACATACACCCCTTTTTAAAGTTAAGTGCACGTGCCGCTTATGCGAACGGAATAGCCCTGAAATCTAACGGTTTACACCCGCCTTCTTTGTCGGCCTATCATAAAATGTAAACGACGCTGAAAATTTCATCTTTTGCCCGTTGAAACACCTTTCTTCTTATTTAACAGACGCTATTTCCTTGCCGCAAAATTCCTATGGCCAGTATCCATGGCTTTTAGGTCAGGGGTCGGTTCTTCTACGTCATTTCGGCGGCATCTTCACTAGATCCCGCATTCTACCCTTCTTCATATCTCTTCAAGACGTAACTTATCATATTCTATTTCTCCTCAGAATTCTTCAATTGAAGGTCGACAGCTCACAATATGTCATTTTTTCTCTTTCTTTCCAAGAGACATTTATAGAATGCACCATTTTTTTTTACAAACGCGCACGTTCTACCTTAAGGGTCTTTATTACCGTTGTAAACATTTCATTTGTTTATGATTTTTATCCAAATTTTACGACTGATGACATATGAATGAATAAGGAGGAGTCAAATAAACCACAGCAATCGTAAAAGTTTCAAATATTCTCTCTTCTGCATTTCATTTAAAATATACTTTTTCAATAAATAGAACTTTCTGATGCGGAACGTGAATACTTTATATCTATTTGGCTGCTCAACTTTAATAAATAACGTCTAAATTCAATGCAAAATTTGTCCTCAATAACATAAATACAGTTATACCAAGCTATTCTTAGTGTAAATACATTTCGTTAAACAGTAACTCAAAATGATGTTTTAATTCAAAAATACGTTCTTAATTCATTATAATTATGATAACGATAAGGTTAATTAGATTTCGTTTATATACTTGTAGTTTTATTTAATGAAATGAACGTCTGACAGAAGAAATTCTACTCCAAGATGTCAAAAAATGACTGAACTTTTGTTCCTAAATGAAAAAAATTCCAGAAGAGATTAATATTTTTATGAAAATAATTACCAAAAACGGTAGAATTACGTAATTTAATCGTTATGAAAAGATAGAGATTAAGTTTACACTGGCCAATAAAATTCGAAAGGAGGAGCTAAGAAAAAAGGTCAACCAATCAACGTCCAATGGTATCGTTTTAAATATGAAAGCTACAATCTGTTTTCATTGCATTTTTAAGGTGAAATTTGAATAGAACAGTTTTTGAGCAGGTTCTACTAACAATGTTAGACGATAATGAGGAATTTAATGACGAACAAAACGCTGGCGTATCCACAGTAACCAAAGTTTGTATATCTATAAAATATATTATCCGATAAAGAATTATAGATTAAGATTTAACTTTAATTAAATCAAAATCAACAAAATATTGAAGTTTATTTGAATCTTTTTCTAAATATTATCATTATATTTTAATGTTAATCTTCATAACATTGTGCTAAAAGCTACAAGAAAGTTTCAAATTACTGTAACCATTGAAGTGTATACTATACGTCTCCGCTTACTTACAGTAAATATAGTCTGTACAAGTAATTTTCTCACCAAAACCTCAGAGTATTCAACTCGAATTTAAATACTTTAAAAATATTATCGATAGAATATTTTTCATTGTACAAAATCAAAAAGATAAATACAAATTTTTACTATTGTCTCTTTTATTTAAGTAGAAAACAGAATGTCATCAGCTTTACGAAATATGGCGTTTAATTTTTATTTTATATTCAATTTCAATGATAAACTGTCAGCCTTGATAGATAAAGAAAGGAGAGAGAGAGAGAGAGAGAGAGAGAGATGAATAATTTAAGGCGTTAAAGTGGGACATATCCCAGTTAGAGACGGAGGCGTTTCTTTTCAGTAAATGATTTAATGCTGAAAGAAGTCTTTATTGGCTTTTCGTTTAAAAAAAACACCATTAAAAGTTATAAAAATTCTCAGTGTTCGTTACATTTGCCTAATGACCCTTGGAATCCGTCTTTTTTTCTTCTTTTTGTTAATATATGATCAGAATATTGTGGATTAGTGATAAATAATTTCCCTTTTAACGTATTGATAGTACGTTTAGAAGATACGTGCAATTGGAATCTTTGGATATAATAAAATTTCAAAGTTTATGCGGGTGTCCCCAATAAGGTTAAAGTTACTCAATTGATTATATGCTATAAATTTTACACAATATGTTACATAGAGATATGAACATAATATAAAAATAAGAGTCTTTTTAAAGATAGAGTATTATAAATATTTTGTTTCTTTAGTGGACGGTAATATACTGTATATGGTATACATGAACTTATATGTATAGTAGTACTTTAACAAGAACATCATAATGCCGTGAAATCTCTAGAGAAAAGACGAATATAGGCTTAGGAATGTGAAAAACGCCTGGATCGTGAGAAAACTAATAGTCCGATCATAATAAGCAATTTATAAATTCTCATAGGCCATTCAAATTGAAACTTCCCTCAGAAAAGTCCTGACAGTAGAGTGTTACGGCACTATTCATAAAATCGGACGCCTTTGACCCGGACGGTGCGACGGCTTGTTAACGCCATTCAGCTCAGTTGGAAAGATTTTTCAAAAAGCCAAATATTCAGCACGCGTTCAACTCGTGCTTGAACAATTTCTTCAAGCGTACAACTCAAACAAAAGTTTTTGAACATATATTTGAACAATTTACCATCAAAGTTAAGATCTATCTTAAAAAGGAAAAGGAAAGAAACTAATCTGTCAAAATTTTTAAATAGAATAGCTCGATTTTTAAGATAAATTTTTCAATACTTGAACGACACACGCTTCAATAAACGTAAAAGATTAATTGAAGAATCACTTGAAACGTGTCAATTAATTTATATAAAATTAAAATATTTTACCACAACTATTTATAATATGCTTCTTTTCTATCATTAATTAGACTGCTAAACCTTTAATGGAAAAGAGACGAAGAGCGAGAATAAATGAGTGTTTGTCTCAATTGAAGCTGATGATTTTGGGCGAACATCTACAAAGAAAAGTAAGATTCGCACTTTTTAATTGTTATTATTATAGAATCTAAATTAAATTATATCTTATCTCTCAATTGTATTTATGCAGAATCCGAAATTATGTAAATTAGACAAGGCTGCAATATTAGAATTAACTGTTGATCATCTAAACATAATGAGAAGAACGGCTGGTAATTATTAAATAATATCATTATTTCACTATTTCTATTTAAAA